ATTTTTTTAAACTGGGTGCTTTGTTCTATTAATGTTGACTTTTATGAGTTCTTTGTATATTTGAGGCATTAACTCTATCAGATATATACTGTGCAAGTAAACTTGAGCCTGAAGCCACCTAGTGGACCAATTCCAGCAGATGTTTAATATGAACAAAAATACATGGTTAGCCCGGTCAAATGTTTTCTAGTTTCAAGCCTTTAAAAATATACAATCAGAAATAGCAAATAGACACCCAAATGCTATAGTGGTGTTGAATAGATTTTAATTTTTTATCCCCAAAGATTGTATTTTAGAAAATCTGTATTTTTCAGGTATTCCTTCCTCACCTTCATCATCTAAAAATAGCCCTCATCAGAAGAACACATACTCCTCTGGCACAATATCTCTGGGGCTTATCCCCAGGGGAAAGATACATAATATTAGGGGGTGGCTATTTGTACTAAATGGGCTTCCCTGGTGGTTCAGCGGTAAAGAATCTGCCTGCAATGCAGGAGACGTGGGTTTGATCCCTGGGTTGGGAAGGTCCCCTGCATGAGGGCATGGCAACCCACTCCCATGGAGAGAGGAGCCTGAAGAATCCCATGAACTGAGGAGCCTGGTGGGCTACAGTCCATAGGGTCGCAAAGAGTTAGACACGACTGAAGCAACTGAGCCCATTTATACTAAATACATTAATTATTAAAATGACTGCAGGAAAAAAAATATAAATAAATAAAATGACCGCAGGAAAGGAATTTCATGCTTAAAGCTAAAACATTACAGAAAATATGAAAATGGAGAAGTGAAAAAACATTAATTTACCTCTGTTTATGCCCCTGAAATCATAAAATGAGAGTGAAGTTTTGGCTTTCTTTGTTTTAAACATAAGCTCAGGACAGGCAGAACAGGGGACTCCGTGACGACAGTCGGACGCTCTGCCTGGGAATGTGCTGTGGTGCATGAGGCTGTGCTCTGCTCTATACTGTCCCAAAATATGTTGCCTGGCAGCCCTCTTTGAATCTGGTGAGTCTGATTGACAGACTTGAAACTTGAAACCTTGAAACTCATTGAAGTAGTGTAACCAGGATCATGAAACAAGGCCTTCAGAATTCTGAGGCAGGGTAGGGGGAGGTGGTTATTCCCAATCTAGAATTCTACACCCAACAAACTATCTAAATTGAGGGCAGAATAAAGATATTCACAGATACTCACAGTATTGAAACTGTTCCCAGCAACAGTCTGTTCTGACAGTCATCTCACCACCATGTACCTTTTCTCAGGGACCTTCTCTAAGATATGCCCGCCCAACTGAGAAAAATTCTAGATTCTGGGGGTTCCAGTTCAAGAAGGTGGAGGATGCCTCTGTCCCCGCCCTCCCCCACCCCAGGAGTGCTGAGGAGGGCGAACCCAGGAAGACAGCAGTGCAGAAGGTCCAGTGACTGATCAGTCCAGGCTGGAGGTGGTCAGAGGCTCCAGGAGGGGCTTCTTCAATAAGAAACCCTTTTTAGGACACCCAATGTGCTTGAATTGGAGAAGGCAATGACACCCCAACTCCAGTACTCTTGCCTGGAAAATCCCATGGACGGAGGAGCCTGGTGGGCTGCAGTACATGGGGTCGCTAAGAGTCAGACACGATTGAGCGACTTCACTTTCACTTTTCACTTTCATACATTGGAGAAGGAAATGGCAACCCACTCCAGTGTTCTTGCCTGGAGAATCCCAGGGACGGGGGAGCCTGGTGGGCTGCCNTCTTGCCTGGAGAATCCCAGGGACGGGGGAGCCTGGTGGGCTGCCATCTATGGGATCACACAGAGTCGGACACGACTGAAGTGACTTAGCAGCAGCAGCAGCAATGTGCTTGAATACCGAGAGAAGGTTACACAGCTGGGAGAAGGGTTTGGTTACAGGTTAGCAATAAAATATACAAAATCAATGTCCCCACAGCCCCGGGCAGAAAAGACAAATTTGAAATGCACGAAAATACATTTTATACAGAAAGTCATCACAGTACACAACGTGATAAAGCTGTGAGTAGCACTTACAGTCATAATACCAAACAATGAATGAATACTGATGCAACCAAATTAAAAGAATATTGGGAGGATGGAGAGATGGTAGTGTGTGCAGAGGAGAGGGAGGTGAAAGAAAGCCCTTCCATGATGGAAATTCAAAAGAAAATACCTAAAACTGAAACACTATTAAGGAACATGTGATTTGAAGACAAAGTAAATCGGCTAAAAGCCTTGAGCCTGGTGGCCTCTAGGGAAGGGTGATACAGAAGACAGAGTGGGTCTTACTGTTTCAAAGGAAGGTTTATAGATCTATTTTGCTCATTTAAAATGTGTAGGTGTAATTTTACTTAAAAAATGACTTAATTTACGATGACAGAAGTCTTTTATTACTGTCACACACATGTTAAAATCAGCGAATATGTCAACAGGTACAGGACAAATGAGCACTGACATTAAAAACAAAACTGAAAATGTAGAGAGAAAAAACCAAAGCCGATACTGATTTAGGCCCTTGTGACATCCTGAGCTAGACTTTAAGAAATCATTCACCTTCTGGACACTTGTGTTTCCAGTTCTGCAGAGGAGTATTCTAAATAGATGAGATCTAAGTTCCTTTGAAATCTGAGTCTCTTTAAGTGCAGTAATTGAATAGGGTAAACACATTTTCTGGACGCATTTCTAAAGGGTATTCCATTTTAAACAGGCCTTGTTTTCAACTGGTACTGATTAATAGGGCTTTTTACTCTTCTTATATGTAAAAAATATGTAATAATTTTAAATGATCGCAGAAAAACCCTTTAATATGACACATGAAATGAAGGTTCTAAACTGTTCCTTGACCTTAAGAAGCAGAAGTAATAGCCACAGCTCAATGCTAAGTGGCCACTCTTGGCAATACCAGAACTTCAAAACATAGCTCTAAAGTGGGTTAAAAGCAGACTGCTGTGGTAGATCTGAAAGCTCAACTGTTCATGCATAAACCGAGGAAGATTTATGAGAAAGTGTATTCTCAAACTCATTAAGTAACTGAGGAAGAGAAACCCATGGAAAAGCCGAATAAAAGAAAAAGCGTTGGCAGTGATCTGATACAGGTAAAACTTCATACACCCCACTGACAGCCGAGGGCCGAGCCAGGCCTGCACTCACCCCACCTCCAGTCGGCACAGCTGTTGTCCTTGGCAGTAAACAAATGCAGAGCTCTTTTTCAAATTATGCATTTACTATCATCTTCCCAATCTTTGAAATTAATGATGATGTATTTTTAAGGGCAAGTTCCGATTTCTCAGCCTGAGGGGTGACTAGGTGACTGTGGGTGACTAGGTTTTAGGCAGTACTGCTGCCCCAAGCGGAGAAGGCAATGGCACCCCACTCCAGTACTCTTGCCTGAAACATCCCATGGACGGAGGAGCCTGGTAGGCTGCAGTCCATGGGGTCACTAAAAGTCAGACAGGACTGAGCAACTTCACTTTCACTTTTCACTTTCATGCACTGGAGAAGGAAATGGCAACCCACTCCAGTGTTCTTGCCTGGAGAATCCCGGGGACGGGGGAACCTGGTGGGCTGCCGTCTATGGGGTCACACAGAGTCGGACACGACTGAAGTGACTTAGCAGCAGCAGCAGCTGCCCCAGGGGGCTCCTGGTACAGGTTAGCAATCTTTGTGTGAGTTCCCAGTCGCTTCCCTTTCCTACTTCCCCTCCCTTTCCTACTTCCCAGGGTGACCACCCATCTCCATTACTTTCTCAGATGTTCATCTCACCCTCACTGTTCCCCTGACTACTCCCTGCAGCCCCTTCAGGGCCTCCACTTCTACAGGCCCTTCTTTTGTGACTCACCCGAGTGTCTGCCTGTCCTCTTGGGTGTTCCTTCCACCACTGTTCCTTCAGTTACATCCACAGGGCAGTTTTCAACCTTGAAGGTCCTCAGAGTCACCTTGAGGGAATGCTGGCCCCAGCCTCAGAGTCTGATTCAACAGGTCTGGGTTAGGGCTTAACAATGTGCACTTCTAACAAGTCCCCAGATGAGGCTAACGCTGTTGGTCCAGGGACCCCACTCTGAGAAGCACTATTATTAATATGTGACTTTACGCTTACATCTGTCACTAGACTGCAAGCTTCTTGAGGTCAGGGAGCATTTCTTACACGTCTCATCTCCAGGGTCTAGCCAGTGTCCAGCAGTCATTCAGTCAACAAATATTTATTGAATGCCTGTTACGTGCTAGACACTAGATTCAGCAGTTAAAAAAAAATTTACACACACACACACACACACACACACAGGCTGAGCGGGCTGCTGTCCAACCAGGGGCACCGGTCATATGCTAGATACTGTTGCAGGCACTAGATTCAGCAGTTAAAAAAAAAATTTACACACACACACATACAGAGGCTGAGCGGGCTGCTGTTCAAACAGGGGCACCAGGCCACGTGCGGGTGGTCCTGCCCACCCTCCTGAGACTGGCGGGAGGCCCTGTGAGGATACGAGACGCCCTGGGAAGAAAGTGGGCGACCGCAGAGCTGGAGCTGACTCCCCGCACAGAGCACGTCACACCCCGGGCCTGCCTGCGGGCCATCAGCCATGCGGCTCCCTCCCTATCTCCAGGGAAGTACAAAGCCTGTGCCTTCATCTTTGGGCTAATCTTCTGAAAGTTTCCGCAACAAATAAAAAATGAGAGGACTCATGAAGAGCAATTTGGAAAATAACTGAACTGACCATCATGTTTACCGGCAAGACTTTCAGTATTCTTACGGTTTGCAAATGTTTTTGTAAGGTCTTCCATTCAAAGCCCTGAAAAGCTCTCTGCTAATTATATGGAGGGGATAATGGGCAGCATTTATGAATGGAATTCCAGACTCAAATATTTCTTCTCTTGTTAGTGGTTTCAAGAGTCAGTGAGATCAGAGAGTAATATTGTCTGAGAATAAAGCTATCTTCCTATTGCTACCCTGAATCAGTGATGTAATACCAGAGTCCAACAAGTGATGATGATTTTTACACACTGCAAGACTGAAAAAAATGAATAACCTTGTTAGGAACACACTTTTATAATGGAGCCCAGTCCACCAAATTCATTTGTATGACTCCATGCTAATCAAGTAAATTCTGATTACCAGAAAGTTTTGGGTATAAATGGGGCCTTTTGTTAAGTCACACATTGGCTTAAAAATGGTCAGGTTGCTGTTTATTTCCCTTGAGTAGATTACTAATTATCACCTTCATAATCCAAAGGGATTAATGTTTCTGAAAAGGTGTGTACTTCTCTGCTGAGATGAGAACCTCCAATGAACCAGCCCCTTTCAGACTGGATCCCCTAAAGCTAAGACCAGGAGAAATCAATCCTTGTAGCCAACTGAACTGGTCTCATGAAATGATTGACACTTCTTTCAGTGTAAGAAAAGAATGCACCACTGTACTCTGGAAAACATACAAATAAATCTAAATAAAAATATTAGTATCATTTGTATGCTAATAATAAATTAGCTTCCTTTAAAAATTTTTTCAACTATTTACAAAATCCATTCTTATTTTCTGAGTTAACAAGGCTGGATTTTAAAAGTGCAATAAAAATTCTTGAGGCCTTCAGCCCTTGCTCAGACAAGACTTCTTAGTGGTTTGAAAGACGCAGCTTCTTGTTCTGGTGCGGTTCTTCCTCCAGGGGTACGGGTCCCAACACGCCATCTGGCAGTCAAGAATAACTTAACGTCAGGAAAACGTCACTTCAAAGAAATGAGCATTTGTTAAAGTCAGAGGTTGTAAGATCAAAATAATGCTTAAGCTAAAGAGGATTATTTAAAAAATAAAAATGAAAAAGGGCATATTGATTTTATCTTTAAAATTCTCAACTGTTAAAGAGCAGACTCTAGATAAGTCACTCACAGGTGACACAAAGTATCTGACCTTTTACAAACTGGATTCATCAACAGTGTATAGACAATTCACAAAACTTTTTTGGGGGGAAAGTTATTACTGTTAGGCTGGATGAGACAACATGACCCATCTGTTGTCCAGGGAGAGAAGGGAGCCGTCTTCGGGGCAGGGAGGTGTGAGGGGACACCCCGCCATCCCCACACTCCCCCACCAGAAGGCAAGCAGACTCATCAGCTTGGTCAGGTGGGAAATGGGCCTGGCTTCCACTTCACCCCATGACCTGATTTCCCTGGCTTTCCTGGGACACACACTCTGTGTGTGTAAAGTGCACAATGTTATGGGTTTCAACACAAGCACACATCAAAGAATCCACCACAATGGTTAAGATGGTAAGTATACCCACCACCTCTCAAAGTCTCCTTTTATCCTGCTGCTTTCTATCTCTCCAGGGATCTGCCTGCCCTTCAAGCCTCTGTGCTCGCCTCACTCTTCCTAGTCTTAAGGACACCTGGATCAAGGTGCAGGGAAAATAGATCTGGAAAGCCTTCTCTCTTATTATGTAATATTGGAAACATTAAAAAAAGACTGTGTGTGATACAGATGAGAGTCCTAAAGCCTAATAATAAATTAACACTCAAGAACCTACTTTGTTGTTGTTCATTTGCTAAGCCGTGTCGGACTCTTTCACCCCAGGCTCCTCTGTCCTCCACTCTTTCCCAGTTTGCTCAAGAACCTACTACCCAACCCGCAAAACTAGAATGTTACCACTTCCCACGTGCCCCCTAGTCTAATCCCATCCCTCTTTCTCCCTTATTCAGAAGTAACCACTGTGCTGAATTGTTTATCATTCCATTGCTTCTTAGAAATAATTTTGCCACATGTACTAACCAATACACTATTTGCCTTCTTGTTTAACTCTATATAGAAGTTGCATTATAATGTATTTAGTCTTCTGGAACTTGATTTTTTCATTTAGCATTATATTTCTAAGATCCATCAATGTTCAAGAATGTAGATGTAATTCATTTTACTTTCACTGCTTTATAATATTCCACTGTAATATTTTAATTTCCAGAGATAAATTTTTGTGCTATTTCCAGTTTTTGCTTTTAAGAGCAATGTTGCAATGTATTATCTATCTCTGTCTTTCCTATGAAACATGTAAGAGTTTTCCTAGGGCATATGCTTAGAGGTCAAATTGCTGGGTCATGGAGTATACACATCTTCAGTTTTACAAAGGTAACATTAAACTGCTTTCCCAAGGTGGCTGTATATATTTTCAGTCCAGCCAGCAATACACAAAAATTTTAACAATCCACCTCCTCGCTAGCACTTGGTGTCATCAAACTTTAATTTTGCAATTCTAGTAGGTACAGCAAATGGTGTAAACACTGTTGCAGTGATTTTAATTTGCATTTCCATGACTGCTAATGAGCTTGAGCATTTTTTCATGTGTTTATTAGGTGTCTGTGTTTCTTCTGTTGTGAAATACCTTTAACTATCTTTTACCCATTCTCACATGAACTCAACCATTAATCAACTGTATATAATTGACAACCACGGACTACTTCATCCAACAATAGCAAAATAGACATTGTTCTTAACCTCACATGGAATGTTCACCAAGAGAGACCACATTCTGGGCCATAAAACACACCCTAATAAATTTAAAAGAATAGAAATCATGTCTGCTCTCAGACCGCAATATAATTAAACTAGAAAAGACTAATAGAAACATAACTGGGAAATCTCAAAATATATGTGGAAGTTAAATAATACATTGCTAAATAACAAATGAGTAAAACAAACAAACAAACAAACAAAAAACTCAAGATAAATTTTAAAATATTTTGGACCCAGAGGAATCGGGTGGAGAGGGAGGTGGGAGGGGGGATTGGGATGGGGAATACATGTAAATCCATGGCTTTCATGTCAATGTATGACAAAAACCACTACAATATTGTAAAGTAATTAACCTCCAACTAATAAAAATAAATGGAAAAAAAATAAATTTTTAAAAGTTTTGAAATAAAAACGCAACTTATCAAAATTTCTTCCATTCAGTGGAAGAAACGCTAGAGAAATGCTAGAGAGAAAGTGAATGTATATATGAGAAAAGAGGAACGATCTAAAATCAATGACCAGAATATATGAATCCAAAAACCAAAGTAGATTCGTGGTGGCCTGGGGCTGAAGGCAGGAGGAAACAGGGATAACTAATAAATGGGCAAGAGGATTCTTTTTGAGCTGATGGAAAATTCTGAAATTAGGCTGTGGTGATGGTTACACAACTCTGAATCTACCAAAACCCACCCAATTCTGTACTTTAAAAGGGCAAATTTATGGTATATGGATTATACCTCAATCAAGCTCTTATAAAATTGAAAAAGAGATAAGGATATTATTTACTGATATAAAACACTTGTTGAAAACTACATATAAAACATAAACCTGCAGATCAGTGGACAGTCATAAAGCAAACATATTTAACCATCACCCAGGTCAAGAAACAGAGCATTACCAGCAAAATGAAAGCATTCCTCTCATCCCCTCGCCACCACGACCCCCCCTTCCCCCCACAGTACGTCACCCTCTCCTTAGTGATCTAGGGACAGGGAACCCTGGCTACGGCTCTTGCTTGTAAGTGGCAAAAATCTCCCCTTTCATGGCTTGCCTTTGTGCTCTTTTAGTGCTATCTTTTGACAAACAGATGTTCTTTATTTTAACACAGATAAATGAATTCATATTTTATGTTTAATGCTTTTTTGTGTCTTCTCCCTAACAACAGGGAATATTAACTCACCCCCCTCAAACACTATTATTGAATACATATTCTTTAATCAGATCCATATTTTTTCCTTTCATCTTTAGCTACTTTTTTTCCCCCCTGATAAAATTTTAAAAAGAGAGATGGAGTGGATATGTACTTTTTTTCCAGACTGCAAATTAAAATTTTACTACCTGAATAAAATAAAGCTAAGTTAGAACACAAAAATCAGGATATTCACATAGACATTATTTTCATAAAGACTTTCATAGTTACTGATTTTTCAGAGTAATCAAATCATTGTTATTATCAAGAAAATTTTACTTATTATATTGAACTTCTACTTACCTTGAATCCAAACATAAAGATAACATAACTAATATTTTAAAATAATATTGTACAGTAATAATTCATATTCAAAATAATACGCATGAAGAATTGCAAGGTCTCCTAGAGACTATATTACATTAAAAATATGTGTTAATATATAAACAGTAAAACTCTGAAGACTAATAATTCATTTATGGTATCTGTGATGACTCTTAATTAGAGTATTAAAATAACCAGGACACTTCTGTTCTCTGACCAATCTGAGCTAATATGGCTTTACTCTAACAAGAATCTACATAGCCTCATAATTTGGCTCTAGATCCATCTGTATTAATTATATGTATTTTTCCTTTCTAATTGCCCAAGAGGCTTTTGTTTTGGTATAGAGAGCACTGTTGCCTAGTCTCATATAAATTTAATTTATAAATTCAATTTGTGCATGATTATTTGTATTAAACTGCAGAGTCCGTAGGACTAGTCATTAATCAGCACTTCCCATGACATCGAGCATATATAGTCGATACACAAGTGTCTGTGCACAAACTGAATAGGAAAAATCTAATCTGCAAAAAGAATATGCTCCACCTCCAACCACAGCAATTTCCAACACCTGATCATTATAAGTCACTATTTTTCTTTTCTTAGCAACAAAATCAACCTCAATAAAGGACTCGTAGATACTTACTCTCTCTGCCTTCAGGCTCATTTTGCTCAAGAACACCAGTTCTTGATGGATTCAGTTGCCACTATAAAAGGACACAAACATTTTATGTATATGTTTAAGAAGGTTTTAATAAATAGCATTTCAGCATTGTGCTTTCAAATATCCAAACAGCTTAAAACAGTAAGAAAAGTTAATGTGTCATACCAACCAAGCCCTAATAACAACTTTGGATGACCCTGAAGATATGACTACTGATGGATTAAGGATCAAAATTCTTAGAGAATCTTATATGCATGGTTTAGTAAGTATTTTTTAGGTGCTTTATATGTTCCAGGCACCCTGGACTCAAACAGAAAAGTCAAGTTGAAATCTATAATAAACAGTACTATTATATGCTTTTTGTACTTAACCGCAAACTATAGCATATAAAAGTTACATTAAGTGCCAGAATTATCATTAACAAGCAACACATGATTCTAGACAGGATCCTTTTGCTATAAAGAACTTTATTGGGACAACTGGTAAACCCACTGAATTCTGTGGATTAAATAGTAGCAACATATCAATGAAAATTTCCTAAGTTTTGTGGTTGTATTGTGGTTATGTAGGATAATCTACTGTTTGAGGAAATAGACATGAAAGTATTTAAGAATGACTTGGCATCATGGCAACAACTTAACTCTCAAGTGTTTCTGGAAAAAAATTCTTTGTAGTATTTTTGTAACTTTTCTGCATGCTTGAGATTATTTCTAAAAAGAGAAAGGTTTTTAGAAACCAGAGTAGTTAAAAAAAACCATGAGGAATTAAAGTTCTGAGTTTTCCACAAAATAGTTACCATGTCAGCAGTTCTTTGGAAATATCAAATACTAATTGCTTCTAATTTTTTCCTGATTTTTCTTATAAGAAATGCATGCATGTGTGTATGTGTATGGGTTCCCTTCTTTTGTGTAATCTTAAACTTTAAACTATGTTCACCTCTATCTACTACTCTCTACTACTGAATTTAAGTTGGTTTAAAGTTCAACATTCAGAAAACGAAGATTATGGCATCTGGTCCCATCATTTCATGGCAAATAGATGGGGAAACAGTGGAAACAGTGGCAGACTTTATATTGGGGGGCTCCAAAATCACTGCAGATGGTGGCTGCAGCCATGAAACTAAAAGACGCTTACTCCTTGGAAGAAAAGTTATGATCAACCTAGACAGCATATTAAAAAGCAGAGACATTACTTTGCCAACAAGGGTCCATCTAGTCAAGGCTATGGTTTTTCCAGTAGTCAGGTACGGATGTGAGAGTTGGACTATAAAGAAAGCTGAGCACTGAAGAACTGATGCTTCTGAATTGTGGTGTTTGGAGAAGACTCTTGAGAGTCCCTTGGACTGCAAGGAGATCCAACCAGTCCATTCTAAAGGAGATCAGTCCTGGGTGTTCATTTGAAGGATTGATGCTGAAGCTGAAACTCCAATACTTTGGCCACCTGATGTGAACAGCTGACTCATTTGAAAAGACCCTGATGCTGGGAGGGATTGGGGGCAGGAGGAGAAGGGGACGACAGAGGATGAGATGGCTGGATGGCATCACCGACTCGATGGGCATGAGTTTGAGTAAACTCCGGGAGTTGGTGATGGGACAGAGAGGCCTGGCATGCTGTGGTTCATGGGGTCGCAAAGAGTCGAACACAACTGAATGACTGAACTACTGAATTTTGTCAGCCACCAGATGGCACTATAGAACCAACTAATTCAAGGTCTGTAAGGTCAAGGGCTTCCCTGGTAGCTCAGCTGGTAAAGAATCCACCTGCGATGTGAGACTTGGGTTGGATCCCTGGATTGGGAAGATCTCCTGGAGGAGGGCATGGCAACCCACTCCAGTATTCTTGCCTGGAGAGTCCCCATGGACAGAGGAGCCTTGACGGGCCACAGTCCACGGGGTCGCAGAGGACGACACGAGAGCCTAGGCACAGCACAGCACCAGGTCAAGGTAAAATTCTCTCTCTAGAGACATATATTCAGAAGGCAGATCCTAAGTGAACATTTGTGACTAGGCAAGTGCTTGCACATAAAAATAAACTCAATGATAAAATTTTGTTGAAACTCTTTAAAAGGGTAAGAATCACTAGTTTAAAATATGCAGCAGAGTAACTTAACAACCTGGGCTTCCCAGGTGGCTCAGTAGTAAAGAGTTCGCCTGCCAATGCAGGAGACATGGGTTCGATCCCTTGGTTGAGAAGATTCCCCAAAGGGGGAAATGACAACCTACTCCAGTATTCTTGCCTGGAAAATCCCATGGACAGAGGAGCCTGGCAGGCTACAGCCCATGGGGTCACAAAACAGTCGGACGTGACTTAGTGACTAAACAACAGCTATCAACATAATATGAAGTATATTTGAAAAAAATGTGTATCTACTTACTGTAAATTTGCTGACACCTTCAAGTTCCCCAAATCTCATGTAAGAGATGTCTGCCTTCTTTTTTCCAACATCTACATCCCCAGCATAGATTTGTTTTATGCCTGCACCTTTAATTAAGGGTACACATTCATCACAAGGGCACTTGGTCACAAAAATCATACTTCTTTCTTCTGGTTTTATTTCTTGACACCTACAAAAATATATATACATATGAAAAAATTAGGAAGGTACCTTCTAAAAGGGTAAGTTATGTTTGAGAAAAATCTTGAAACATTAAAATTGAGCCACTTTGGAAACAGATTTACAATATTATACACAATAATGATCAAACCTTATTCTTGCTGAATTAGTCAATGCCAAGATTTTCACTATTTAGACTACAAAAGAAAAGAAAACAGACAGAATAATGCTAAGTAGGAAACTCCTTATAAAGCCAGAATTATGGGCCAGAACTAATGCCTTCCCTGAGAATGTACCATGTGTGATTAGACATTAAGTCATTGTGGTCGCCAGAAGGTCTACCTCTCATCCGGTGCCTCACAGATATTTAATAAATGCTTACTAAATTGATTAATGTTAGAGTTCTGTTTTGAGTTATAGTTCCCTTACTGCTTTTACCTCACATAGGATAATTTAACAAACACTTGGATTTGACAAAATGAAGCAAGTAATGAAGAGTTCAAGGAAAAAAGCCTGTGTGGTGAAATTCTGCACGCTGGGGTAGTTTAGGACTGAGGATAGAGGAGTTGTACTTCTGGGTTCTGTGGTTTACAAAGCTCTTGGTCTTATGTTTCCCATCACTAGCGTTCAGCATCCATGTCCTCAGTTTAGAGTCTCATTCTGTTCCCCTGGACCAGGGAAGCAGAATTGTATGCATCTAGCCTGTTCAAACCATACACCTGCAACCGAAGTAATCATTACTGTAGCTCTGTCAATGTCTTTCCACTGCTACCAAATGAGGTCTAAACTCGAGGTCCTCCCTTGTCAGTCCCAAGCTAGCCTGTGGTCCAGCCTAACTGGAACATCTATGTTCCTAAACGCACAAGCATTTTCCGACTTCTAGCCCACTGCTATGCCTCAGGCAAGAATGGTTTCCCTTCAAGTAAGCATCTTCAATTGCCATAGCCCTACCAAACCTTTAAAGCTCAGCTCAAATGCCAGTTTCTCCATAAAGGTTTTCCCTCACACTCCCCCTCCATCTACTGCAGCCCTTGAATTTCCACCCACTTTGTGTTGGCCCTTCTCACACAACTGATCATGTTAGGTTGAGTACAGTCTTATATCCCACACTGGACTATAACCTCCTCAGGACAGAAACCATGACTCCTGCAGATTTGAATCTCCCAAGAGCACCCACTAAATGGTAAATGCTGAGAAAGATTTGTGGAAATTATCTAAATTAACATTGAAAGGAGGTAATGCCAGTGACAATCTCTAACAAAAACTATGTTAAAGCAATTTGGTTCATAATAATATCTATATATTCATAAATACATGCTCAGAATTTAGAAAACAAAGGTGATCTTACAATGCAGAAATATGCAAGACCCTAAGGACAAACTTTAAGCAGTTTTATCCTAGAGAGAGAAGGAAGAAAGGAAAAAAGATTTGCTCGATAAATTTGAAGGCCTGGAGGATCCCTGACAATGGCCTCTGGTCACGTAGCAAAAACCAAGTATGACCGGAGCTATACTTCTGAAAAGGATATTTCTTGGAATTTTTAAAAAGGCAGTGAGTTACAGCAAAATGAAAGCTAATTTCAACTAACCCTTGCTACATTTTATACAAAATACACATAAACAGATTTCATACCTAAATGTTAGGGCATTCTGTTCCGCATGCACGATGTATCTGAATTTCCTTATTTCTCTGTCTTTCTGTTTGTCATCCATGTGCGGGAAGTCAGCATACTCGGATCCAACAGGAAAAGCATTATAACCGCATCCTATGAAGTACATGGCGCCTGTCCCATCACAACTTCTCTATGGAAAGTGAGCAAACAAACAAAGCTGTGTTCAAGGTTCTGAAAAGACATCTTACATTGTATCTTTAAAGCCTAGTATCACACTTTGTATGACGGATTCACTTTTCCATAACACACTATAAAGCTACGGCAAACCTAGACAGCATATTAAAAAGCAGAGACTTGGCTGACAAAAGTCTGCCCAGTCAAAGCTATGGTTTTTCCAGTAGTCACGTATGGATGTGAGAGCTGGACCATAAAGAAGGCTGAGTGCTGAAGAATTGATGCTTTCAAATTGTGGTGCTGGAGAAGACTCTCAGGAGTCCCAGGGACAGCAAGGAGATCAAACCAGTCAATCCCACAGAAAATCAATCTTGAATATTCATTGCAAGGACTGAAGCTGAAGTGCCAATACTGTGAACACCTGATGCAAAGAGCCGGCTCATTGGAAAGACCCTGATGCTGGGAAGAACTGAGGGCCGGAGGAGAAGGGAACGACAGAGGATGAGATGGTTGGATGGCATCACTGACTCGATGGACATGAGTTTGACCCAGCTCTGTGAGATAGGCAAGGGCAGGGAGGCCTGGCTGCTATAGTCCAGGGGGTTGCAAAGAGTCGGACACAACTTAGTGACTCAACAATGAACAACAGTGATAAACTGAGCCATCAGAAAAATACAGTATTAGATTTTCCTTCAGCAGGGTGATCTTGTCAAAGTTAAATTTCAAGCAGGCTGATCATCTCTAGTATATATATATATATATATATATATATATATATATATTTTCCCCCATGATTAAGAAGCTGAATACTTTAATAAACTGTTTATTCTCCTGCAAGGCTGTTGCCTCACTGTATAAAAATAACACCAGCAAACACAGTATATTGCAAAAGTAAGACAGTAGTATTCTTCACTGGACACTATACAACTAACAAACTTTTCTCCACTGGCAGTTATTTCTAGTGGGAAGATCATTTTGACCCAATCCAAGGATAGCTATAAGCAAGTTACAATGTCATATAAGGTAAAAGATAACCATGTTATCCTTGAATTACATAATTTTTGTAATTAGTTTTACCAGAGATAATTTCAGGAATTCTGAATATTATAACTGGAGCCTAGCCTAAAAATCACAAGATGCTGTGGAAAAGATGCACAGTGTTTATCTGAAGGCATTAGAAAGTTAAGGGGTATTTTCTTCAGGAAACATTGTTACAAGTAGTTTCTTTTGCTAAAAGTTCTTTTTAAGTTTTAAAAGAATTGCCACTAATTTAAGGCAACTATGCTAGATTAAGTTGTTTCAAAGTAGTTTATTTAGGGGTTCCATTTTCATTCCTCAATAGATTTTATGTATTTCTCATACGCTTCTTCACTCATTAGTTCATCTAGTTCTGAAGGGTTACTGAATGTCATCTTGATCAGCCAACCATCTTCATAACAAGACTTGTTGACAAGTCCTGGATTTTCTGCTAGCTTTATTAATTTCCGTTACTTCTGATAGAGGGGAATAGCGTTCACTAGACGCTTTCACACTTTCCAAAGCACCAAACTCCTCGTTTGTTCAACTTTGTCCCACCTTCAGGCAGACTACAGTAAACAACGTCTCCCAAAGCTTCCTGTGCAAAACGGCTGATTCCCACTGCTCCAACACCGTTTTCTGTTGTTACCCATTCGTGTTTTTCTGTGAATTTCCGCGCCGACAGCAGCGCAGGGCCGGGGCGCAGCGCCCTGACTGCGCCCGCCCGCAGTCCCCAGGGCCGCGGCGAGCAGCGCGCTGGGGGCCCAGACGGCGCGCAGGCTGCCGCCCGCGCCCGCACGCTCCGCACCGCTTGCAGCACCATGTTCGCACGGGTGCCCATCTCTAGTATATAATATCAAGACAGTCCTTCATTTTAGCAGTTAGTTAAAAACTAGCTTAATTCACAAACTGTTTCACTTGACTCAGACATCCCTCCCTGATTGGTTATAAAATCCTAGAGAACAGAAACCATGTTTTGTAGCTTCTTTCTAGCCCTTAAAGCACACCTATTATAGTGGTCCATACAGAGCAGGTACTCTATATTATTATAAATTATTGTTAATTTATTATATGCTCTGTGCTGTGCTACTGGCTAGCAAGTCAGAACTTCTAAAAATATTCTGAACAATTTCTGTTTGGGGTTAAACACGTGCTATTATATATATAGTTGGAAAATAAATAATGTATTTTCCTTTCATCTTTATGTTTACTGAACCTCTATTGCGTGTATGTATGTGTGTGTGTGTGTGTGTATATATATAATAGAACTTCCTACTTAAGTGGCATTTTTCTTTCTCCTTGTCAGTGGCATATTAGGTGTTAATATGAATGCTTTATCAACTCTAAGAGTGAAGTATTTAATAAACCAAACCTGTTCATAATAGTTGGGAGCTATAAACCTCACAAAATTTCAATATATTAATATTATAATTACTCATGTGATAGTATCAACAGTATCATATTTACTGTCTCCTAGTTCCATTCCTTCTCAACACATCCCCATAATTTCAAGTCCTCATCATCTCTTTTCTTAATCTCCCTACTTCCTGTCTAGCCCCACTTTATTTTTAAAATGGGAATCTGATCATTTTTCCACTTAAGATATTGTTGGATTGCACTGTCCAATACAGGAGCCATTAGATACACGTGGTTAGCGCAAACCGAGAGGTGCCAGAAGATGCCCTGGAGAAGGAACTGGCAACCCACTCCAGGGTTCCTGCCTGGAAGGTCTCATGGACAGAGGAGCCTAGTGGGCTACAGGCAAGGGGGTCGCAGAAGAGTCTGACATGACTGAAGTGACTAAACAACAACAAATAAGTATAAAATACACATAGAATTATTAAGACTCAATACTCCCCTCAAATGCAAAATATTTTATTAAAAATATTAACCAATATTTCTATATTGGTTACATGCTGAAATGGTAATATTTCTCAACAGGTGATTAAGTATATTCCTAAAATTAATTCACCTGTTTCTTATTTTTTTTTAATGAGGCTCCTAAGAATTTTTAAATCACATATGTGGCTTGCTTTTTATTTCTGCTGGTTAATGCTATGCTAGGGTATCCCTGCTGTCGAAAAGATAAAGTCTAAACTCTCCATGGTATACAAAATTCTTCATGGTGCAGCCTAATTTTTTTGTTACTCTACTAAACATAGGACTCTGGACTCCAATGTGCCAAATCACTTGCATTTCCCCATATTCTTACACATTACCTTTGCATGTTACCCTCCGAGTCCCACTAACTTGTTCTGCTGATGAACTCCTCCTCATTCTTCAATACTAATAGCACCTGACCTCCTCCAGGAATGCTTTACTTATTTCTCCGAGCAGAGAAAGAGGCCTCCTCTATGCTCTCACGATGTCATGTTATGATTACGGTTATATGCCCGTCTCTTTTCACCTCTGTCTCCATCACTAGACTGTGTAAGGCCATGAAGGGTGGAATATGTGGCCTTTAACTTCCCACTGTTCACGGGGGGTACAGAGTCTACCCTGTCCTGTGGAAGGTGTTGAATGAAGGTTTACTAAATGAATGTATCTATCCAGAAAACTGCTGAAAGAAAGCACAAAATGTTTTTAGAACTTAATAAATACCCTAATAAGAAATACTAATCCCCATGGGTCAACAAAATGTCATGCACTTAAGATCAAAATATGTTAAATAAAGTCAAGTTTAAATGATTATAAAGAATTAATTTCACACTTACAGATTTTCCTTCTGCCCAGATGACTGCCCCGACTCCTGTTTTATGATCCTCTGAAAGATACATGGCATGTGACTCAGTGAAAACCAATGATCTGTTAGTTTCAGAAATAGTTTTTCCAAAAATAATAAACATGTTTATTGAAATATACTGCATAAATGTAGCGGCAATCCTTGACAACATCACTAATTATGGAAAAGTATGAGAATAAATACTGGCAAACATAGAATATGGGAGCTAGGTATGAACTAATTATAGACAGTGTCACTACCAAACCAGTCATAGATGATGCTGTGCAGAGATCACTGCAGTAGCAGTGTCCACACTTTGGTGATTTCAAAGCTGTAACCAGACTTTAGGGTAACTTTACTGAATTTCCACCAAGTCAGTTTTTAAATACCTATTTCTAATAGATGATGAAAGTAAGACAGAAGTTTCTGAACTAATGGATTTGGTTTAATAGAATAACCATTCACAACAATCAAATGTGTCTTTTCCTAACAATTTTTGCACTCTCATCAGGGAAAATACATTTCATGGACGTGTTCTTGCTATGAAAAAAGTTCAAACTCATAAACATATATCCTTATGGGCCTTCACATCCATATATATATACACACACACACACACATATATTGCTGGAATATACATGAAAGGAGTTTTAATTTACACAAAATGATGTCCTTTCCCTGCCCTTCAGAGTTTACCTTGTGGGGAGAAGAAAGCCAAGTTGGTGACATGACGCTCGTTTCTAAATCAAGTGGTAGAAGTTATAAATATTAGATTAAAATTTCCCTGCAGAACCAATTTAATTACTTTGCAACAAGCAAAGCTCTATTTCTTTAAACTATTAACCTTACACAGAAAATACAAAACCAAAATAGAAATTCTACATATTCAAATTAAGTAATTAAGATTTTAGGTCTCTTTACCCAACCTGCTTGCCTTCCTCTGACATGAAGAATTTCATAACCAAGACTTCCCTTTACTGATACCTGAGTCCCTACACTCATGAAGCTCATGGTCTGGTGTGGGAGGAAGGTGGTAACGAGAAAGAGTCTAAAAGCAAAGGCAGTGTGCTGGGCTATAAAGGAAAGGAGCATGATACTGAGGAACAGTGTGGCAGGAATGTACGTTAGAGGTGGAGACTGTCAGCAAAGGGATTTGGGGATAAACAAAGTCTTGTGCCTTCCAAGATCTTCAGAATATAACATGGTGAGAAAAGAACATAATTATGGCTTTATGATCATTTCTAAGGCAAATAGCAGAAGCTAAAAATGAAAACCTCTAAGTAAAATTGTACTTAATACATGCATAAATCTGAAACAAAAAATGAAAAACTCATAGAAATTTTTCAAATCCCAAGCTTTTAATTTTAAAAGTTAAAAATATTAACTTTATCTAGAGAGCTTAGGGCAGTGAATAACATATGGTAAAAGTTCAAAAACCGTTTGCTGAATGAAAAAAACAGTAATATGATTTTAATGAAATAAGAATATCTATTTGCTGGGGGTGGGGAGAGAAATTCTTCATATCAAGTCTACTTTTCCTACCACTTCCTGTCTTTCCTAGAAGACACTAAGTATTCTTCATATTATTATTTTTCAGTCCAGGAGCCACTTTTTCTGTTTCAGCCTAAGGACAGACTAAATCTTGTCAAGAGGGGGAAAAATGTGATTTTTTAAAAATTTTCTTCTTTTTTAAGAATTTTGTTTATGGCTGTGCTGGGTCTTCACTGCTGCGCAAGCTTCTCTCTAATTGCGGTGAGCGGGGGCTATTCTTGCGGGGACTAGTTGCCGTGCGAGAGCTTCCCGCTGAGGTGCTTCTCGTTGCAGAGTGTGGGCTCTCATCTAGGTCGCCCAGGCTTCAGGAGCTGGGGCACATGGGCCCAGCAGCTGCAGCTCCCGAGCTCTCCAGCACAGGTTCAATAGCACCTGGGCTTAGCTGTCTCACAGTACGTGGATCTTCCTGGATCAGGGATTGAAGTCGTGTCTCCTGCATTGGCAGACAGGTTCTTTCTACCGAGCCACCAGGGAAGCCCCCCAAAACGTCATTTTTAAACTAAGCTCCACTGTTCAGCTAAGGTTAGTTTCACCAAAAGAATACACTTTACTACATGTCTTTTGAAATTGGAATAAAATTTCATCCATATACAATGGAGAAGGTTTCACTCAGCTCTCAAGGTTGGATGACAGATGAGGTAATTTCTCAAAAATCATTTCACAGCTGTAATTTTTGTAAAACTTCTTAAAAAAAAAATCTTTCATGTCTATAAATTGCTACCCAGGATCCGCTCATTCACAGGGTTTTCTCTGTATACCCTCGAAGGAAAGGTCAACTTGTAATCACTAAGCCAAACTCCTAGGACCCTTTGATCACCGAAAGTCAGAGGACTCTTTGCTATTGTTTTGGAACACAGGCATGGTTATTTTCACTCCCAATTCTGTGGTCACATCAGGGTTTGTCCAAGTGTGGTCCACAGACCAACTGCATCAGAATCACTGGACGCTTGTTCAAAAGGTAGACTCCTGACCCCCATGGAAACTCCCTCACTTAACCTCTCCAAGGGAGGCAGCAGACTTGGGAAGCTGGATTTCTCATGAGCATCGCCTCAACTGAAAGTTGGGAACCACTGAGTTATGATTTGAAACAGTTAATTAAGCTTTTTGGCTATATCACCCTACTTTCATCATCAACATTGTGTAGTTCAGGAGGAAGGCATAATTGTCAGCTTTGGAAAACACCTAGTCTAATGGAAAACAGGACATAAAAAGAAATCAAAACTCACACTTAAACAAGATAGATAAGATGTGATGCCCTACAGTTGTTTGGCATCATACAGTCTGTGCCTGTAGTAGAATCCAATTCTTTTAAGAATCGCGTGATGATTAACCCTGTTGATTGTTGGAATCCCTTGCAGAATTTTAAAAATTCACAGGCCTAGGACATACCCACAGGGACCAGGCTTAGTAGGTCTGGGTTAGAATTTGAGCATTTGTACTTAGGACTCCCCTGGTGGCTCAGATGGTAAAGCATCTGCCCACAATGTGGGAGACCTGGGTTCGATCCCTGTGTCAGGAAGATCCTCTGGAGAAGGAAATGGGAACCCACTCCAGTACTCTTGCCTGGAAAATCCCATGGGCAGAGGAACCTGGTGGGCTATAGCCCACGGGGTCGCAAAGAGTCGGACAAGACTGAATAACTTTCACTTTTAATAAAGGTTTCTATGGTGATCCTGACAAGCTGCCTTTAAAAACTCCATTTTACTGAAATTACTTCAACCCGTGGTCTTTGTTGAGCGTGTACTGCAGACCAGTGCATCTATATGGACTTTTTCTGAAGATTTTCTCTATCCTCCTTCTCTTCTTGGGATAAGTTTTAAAATTCCTACTATATAGCCCACTCACCAGATATTCCTCTACTGTTCCTCCTGCCGGCATTTTCTTTTCCTTATTTCAAAGCCGCATTTTAAAAAGTGATCATCATTCTACTTTCAAAAATGTTATGTCTGGTAAGATGTAAAAACACTATTCTGTAACTGGAAATATAGATACCACACTTTATCATGATAAGGTAAAATTCCCAAGTAATATTTTCCTTCTTCACATACTGATGTACAACTTAATAAAGTAAAAATTGTTTGATTTCTCCCCTTGCTGTTTGAAAACATACCAGAAATTGGAAGAATCTGCCAAATTTTCTTTACTTTGATTCTACTGGTTATTAGAAATTCATATTTTTAGTTAAAAGATTTTTAAAGTTTTTACTAAATACTGAATACATATAGAATATTGAGCAGTTAAAAAAGAGGACTAATTCTGGTTCTCTCTTTTTGTCCTTTCTCTAGTGGAGGGCTCATTCAATTGGGAAATGATGAAAGCAAGAAGCAGAAAGGGCTGAATTAGATCCTGATTTATAAATACAGCATCCAATACAGGCCACAAGAAATCCTAAAACTGCTCTAAGAAAGAGTTGTGTACTCAAGGGTCTCACTAACTTTTCTATATTGGTATGAGCAGCAACACTTTAGTATCTAAGAGTCAATAAAGGCTACCAGAAGTGAAATGAACACCATTTTATGTCTGACCCAAATACAACCCCATCAACCCCGATTTAGGAACTAAGCGTGTAACTCACCAGTTCGATATGCCAGTAACCTGGCCTGAATCATGCAGTGCCTTGCAATTTCTTGTGGCAAACTTTGATTGTGAATTTCATTACTGTGTTCCGTGTTGCCACAATAAAATCCGTAGTGTTTAAAGTTGGGCACGCTGGAAGCTACTGCGGCCAGGAGAAGGACAAGGTCTTTCATGTTCTGCCTTAGATTGCTAAAGTATGGATTCTCACACAAGTTCTCCAAACCTATAGTCATCAGTATTTGCTTATGCATTTCTTCATTGGAAACCAAAAATATCATTTCATATTCTTTTATTCTCTCTTGTTTACATTCAGAATAAAAATCAAAGTTAGTGTCTGGCAATGTTTTGGAAATTTTTTGAATAAAGTCACATTTGTAAGAGGTCTCCTCTACAAACTGCACCATGTAACACACCACAGGCTGAAGTAAGACACACACGTGGGCCCGACTGTTTGACTTCAGTCTTTCCACTGCTTTGGCATCTAACTTTGCATCTTCGAAACCAGAAGCCTCAGTGAGCAAACTTATTTCTGGGTCAGCAGGCCAATATGAAATTCGATTAACTCCAGCTGAAATACAAAAATATGAAAGGTAGTTAGCAGATGCCTGGTGAAATTAAGGGTTTTCTTGATAAATCCATTATACCATTGCGGTAGATCCTGAGGTCCCAACGTAATAAATGTCTACTACCAAATCACCAGTAACATAGTCCGAGTGTTGGCAAACTATGGCCACATGCCAAATCTGCCCCGTTGCCTACTTTTGCACAGCTTCCGGGTCAAGAGTGGCTTTCACAGTTTTAAATAGTTGAGAAAATCAAAAGGAAAATACTTGTAACACAATGAAAATTACATAAAATTCAAATTTCAGTGCCCGTAAAGATTTGTGGGAACACAAATCATTGACGTAGTCTCATTGTTTCTGTACTATGATGGATTACCTGAGCTGAGAGCTGAATAGCCGTATGAATACGATACAGCCTGCAAAGCCTAAAATACTTACTATGAGGCCCTTTATAGGATATGTTTGCTGACAACAAAGCCCATGGGAAGTATCTATGGAATCAATGGTTTTGCTAAGTGTGGTCCCAAAGCCCAGAGCTAGGAAGATGTACCAGGGTCCTCCCAGTAATGAAATGGCTGCTTCTAGAAATAGTACAGCATAACTGATATTGACTAGAGTTTTGAACCTAAAATAAACAATTCATCCACGAATGAAAAATGCACTGGTACTTTAAAGTCTTTCTCTGGGAAGCTCGTCTAAGAAAATATTTGAAGTAAAGACAAAAAATAAAAATTCATGTACGTATATGTTTCATGCAGCATTGTTTAAAACAGTAAAAATAGAAAAAAAATCTAAATGGCCAAAATGGGGGAACAGTTTAACACATTACAGGCCTCCTCATAATAAAATATAAAGTTATCCAAAACATCCACAAAGAATTTATAACGTGATAGGAGCAGGGAAGCAGGGGGAGAGGAAGAAGTGTGAACTGCTTTTATGAATGCAAAATTAAAGACAAAACAACAAACTGGAAGGAACATTTTTCAGTCAAAGTAGCGGAGGAAAAGTGAGTCATTTTAATCTGGGCTGCTGTGCTCAGCGGCTCAGTCATGTCCGACGCTTTGCGACCCCATGGGCTGTAGCCTGCCAGGCTCCTCTGTCCACGGGACTCTCCAGGCAAGAGGACTGGAGGGGGTTGCCATGCCCTCTTCCAGGGGGATCTTTCTGACCTGCATCAAACCCAGAAGCTGGATCAAACCCAGCAGTACTGCAGGTGGATTCTTTACCGCTGAGCCACCAAGGGGTCCCACCTTTAACGTACAGAGATCGAAATTCTTGAGAGCACATGTGAATTGACAAGAGAGAAAGTAAATTTACAAAAGAGAAAGCAAAACTGAATAGCAAACATGAAAACAGTTTTAAATTTGTGTTTGGAACTGAACAACAAGACGCCTGATACAGAATTAAATGCATAAATGTTCATCAATTAATTAGTATTTAAAACAAAGAAACTCCTTTGCTCACATTTTATATAATTTCCATTAGAAAAGGCATTTATGTTTTTTTATCCCTGTGCCCAGAGGTGAATAGACAGATGGCCCACAGGTTTTCTATATTCAAAATAATAAACACCTGAGTTGAACAAACGCACACTTCTATCTACTCCTTGCTACTACAGACTTGCTGAGGCTGGGGCTGCAAGGGAACTGTGAAAGCCTCCTTTGAAGGAGGCTCCAGCCACGAGACCACTTCTTCGGGAAGTGCCTATAGCTCCCCTTACCACCCATCTGATCTTTACTCTCCTGCATTGGCAGGCAGATTCCTTACCACTAGCCATCTGGGAAGCTCATGTAAAAGACATACCATTTTTTAAATAGGAAAATGGTCTGGATACATACCTAGGTGCAAAACAGAACCATAAACACAGAGATTAGAGACCAGCCCAGTGTGTATAGATAGCTATACACTAATTCTTTATGCTCCTCCTTCAAGGGGTAGAGTAGCCACTGGGAGGCAGCCACCCAGCCAGGAATTCCAGTTCCCACAATGGACACAAACAGAAGTGGTGTCTGTGACTTCCCCAGGCCAGGGTTTTTGCGAAACGGGTACGCTTTCTCTTGCTTTCCCTAGTGGCTCAGTGGTAAAGAATCCGCCTGCCAACACAGGAGACTTGCATTTGATCCCTGAGGCTGGAAGACCCCCTGGAGAAGTAAATGACAACCCACTACAGTATTCATGCCTGGGAAATCCCATGGACAGAGGAGCCTGGTGGGCTACAGTTCACGAGGTCACAAAAGCAGCAGACAAGACTTAGAGGCTAAACAATAACAAAGCAACATTTTTTAAACATTCAAAGAGTCGGACACGACTTAGTGACTAAACAACAACATGACTCCTCTACCCTGTCTCCAGACACAGGAGAGGCCAGCAGGGATTCCAGGAGCAATATAACAGAATATGCTGAGGCCCAGAGATCAACCACGTAACAGCTGGCTGCTGTTCGCTAACACCTGCATTGAACTATTACATGTGTGATGAGTGTCTAATATATTCAGCCACTGGAATGTTGTTGGTGTTTGTTAAAGCAGCTAGTATTAGTCTACCAATACACTGAGGGTCATCTAACTAGTAAGTGACAGCTAAGACCAGAATACATGTTTTCCGATTCTTCTTACAGTATATCAAACTGTCTTCATTTACATATGTATATTTTTAAATTATATTAGGCAATTTGATTTGTTCTCATATAAATGCGATTAATCCCCAACAAAGCCTTATCTGCACTTACCATTTACAATCATTTTCAAACAAGCAGAACACGGCTTTCTGGAAAAATAGAGATCACAGTTTTTCAGCTTTGACCCATGTTTTATCAGGGCAATTTTCCCAGCATGTAAATCTTCACTTGAACAGTGGAGACCAACAATTTTCATATTTTTCACCACCACAAGACCAGTTTTCTTCACCTATATTAAAATATAAAAGTAATTTATTTTATAATATCTAATGATCATATCATGGATTATACTTGATTTATGAATAAAATGAAAGTTTAATTCTTTTTTTTTTTTGTAAAGTTTAATTTTTCATCTGAACATAGTTTGAACAAATGTACATTTCTCATTAGGTCCAAAAAATTTTCTGAAGGTTTAAAGTGTTGACTTTATACCAGAAATTTTCTAAATCTAGGCTTTCTTAACCAAACAAGCATTTAATTATCACAAATTTTTCCTAGTAAAAAATGAATTACTTTTTACCCTAGTAAAGGGCAATAATGAAGTTGATTTGACTTGTTTCTTATAGCATATAGCCTAAGACTACTTAGTACTGAGGTTCTAGATAGTAAAAAGGAAAAATTTGGCAAACCCTGTGATTTTACACATGGGTAAGTGAAGCCCAGGAAATTTACATGACTTTCTGAAAGACTCACAGATGGTAAAAGCCAGAACTAAATCAGAGGTCATCTTAAATTTAAAAAAAGAAATTATTTTTTTATTGAAGTATAGTTGATTTACAACGCTGTATTAGTTACTGCTGTAAAGCAAAGTGACTCAGTTACACATTATACATTCATTTTTTTATGTACATTCTTTTCTGTTATGGTTAACCATAGGATATTGAATATAGTTTTCCATGCTATGTAATAGGACCCTGCCGTTTATCCATTCTATATAGATAAAAGTTTACATCTACTAACTAAAAATTTTTTAATTGATCATATTTTGCTTTTTATTCTTATTTATTTACTTATTTGGCTTTGGCATGTGGGATTTTAGTTCCCTGACTGGCGACTGAACCTGTGCCCTCTGCATTGGGAGCACAGTGTCTTAACCACTGGACCATGAGGGCAGTCCCTAAAATATTTAAATGCTGACTAAAATAAAGATAATTCCCAACTTCTTTCTAACAAACGATTCTACTAATTTTTAAAACTATGGCAGTCTAGACTAACGTGGTTAGGATCCACCTCCCACAAATATATAGGTTATTTATAATTTTGTAAATGTTTTAAAACATATCGTCAAGCTCAAGGAAAGGAAGACATAACCTCAGGTGTTAGAAGGAGAGAGAACTCAGAGCAAGGGCAGTAAGCCACAGCCGCCTCGGCGTCTCCCGCCCACAGCAGGGGGCTGGGCTGACTTACTTTTCAATCCCAGAAGCTGGGCATGGGCTGAAGGGCTAAAGAGTGGTTCCTTTAAACCTAAGGTGACCTAATTTATACAGATACTAATCAGAAAGGCAGCTGCAACAATCTTACATCAGATAAAACACATTAAGGTTAAAAATCAGTTCTGTGTGTGCCACAAAACAGCCTTTTTCACAGCAAAAGATTCTGAAGGAAGAGACATAAAACTAATCCTTGGGTTCATAAGGGATTTTATAATACGAGGGGGACTTGGGCTAAGAACAGTGTCCATTATTCGCTATTCCCTTTCAAAAAGATTTTACTCTAAAGTTATTCCCAAGAGGACACGTTTGAAATCACTTTCAAGAAGAGACAAAACTAAAAGAGCCAAGTTTCAGTTTCAGTTATGAGTATAAATTTCTGTAATGGTGGAAAATGAGACTCAGTGGAATATCTAAAAATCATTCTTAAAAAATGAAGCATTACTCATCAATTAATTTTTTTATTGGAACAATCTTTTAGGCCACATTTATCACTTTTTTTGTTGTTGAGAGTACTTTTTACTTTCAAAAATATCTTTTTTTCCTTCCCATTTTGTTTCTAGCTAGGGCCAAAACCTCAAGTTTGAGACCAGGATCCTCCCATCCCAGACTTAAAGCCAATAAAAGCCTCTGTTGCATTCCATTCTGGGACCTCTGCTCACTTCAACTCCCAGAAGACTAAATCTTTGCAGTGAGTCACTGTTCTGGATCCTGGTTTTGCTTCACTTCACTAACATCTTGGCAAGTCGTCTACGTAATCCTAATTACAGAGTTTTACAGTAAAACAGAACAGAAGTGAAAGAGGACAGTCTGTTTTGTATACGTTCATTACTTTTTTCCTTTTGCCTTTCTTATAATTAAAAACATCTAAATATCCTCAAACAAATTATTTCTATATTCTTGTTGAGCATTTTCGAGACTCACTCTCAGAAATAACCAGAAGTCTCCAGGAATGTACATCAAGGTAACTTTTTTGTACAACAAGGTAACTTTTTTCCAAATATGAATGTTATGTCTCCAGTCCACACCCAATGAATCACAGTCTCTCTGGAAAACTCAAAGATTAAGATAGCAAGGAAATACTATGCATATTAAAAAGAATGAGGCTCATCTGGTCAGGTTTGGGCTTTGATGTTACTCTACTTATAAGCTAGTAAATTGGCCTGGTACTGTTTCATAGATGATAGCAGAAGGCATCCTAAGTCAGAAACAACTATGGTTCACAGTACAGCAAGCAGTGTGAGCCTATGTCTGCGATGGTTCCTTGGCCCACAAGTGGTCATGTGGACAGGCCTATATAGGTTTCTAGACACAAAGTGAGCTAGCTGCGTGATAGGAGAGGAACACTGTGCTCGGGAATTCTGCTGTGTTTTATTGAGAATAGTGAGCAAACCTGTTCTATGTCCCAGAGAGAGACATTACTTCAACCTTCAAGGTTACCTGCTGCAAACTCAACTCCTGAGAAATGGCCTGGGCAAAGCACATTCTTGGTGAGACCAGCAGGATGTGTTGGAGTTTGAGAGAATATGGAACAGCGTTTCTCAACACATTCTATATGAACTCATATGGGAAGGTGACTAGGGTGAAATTTGAAAATGTTTTTTTTAAAAAAAAAAAAGAGCAAGATGGAGGAACAGATTATAGACTAAATAATCCTATCTGGTCTCACCTCCCCACCCCCAGCCTCTGGAGAGACATACACAGTCTTGTAAATGTATGATTTTTAGAAAGGTACACAAAAACTCTCCTGGAAATGGGAAAGGGGAACTTGAATATAAAAGAAACTTCTATTCTACTTTGTATCATCCCTTTTGCTTTGTTATTATGAACATGTCTTTTTTTAAAATCATAAAAATGCACCTGTTTTTTGTCAGCAGATACTCTGGCCGTCTCTTCATTGTCTCCTAAGGGTCCATGCTTTCCTTCCTCCTTTTCCTAATTAAAAGCAGATTGGGGCAGGGGGGGTGGGGGGGAAAGATTAGTACATAAAATGTGATTAATTCAATATTTCCTATGTAAAAAACAGGAAGTGGAGGAAGTAATGATGTTGGTAATAAAATGATGGCGGTGTGGATGGTGGTAGTGGTGGTGCTGACTGTATGTACCATGATAATAATAATACCTAACAGTTACCATGTATCTGGTCCTAAATCACTTTCTTTAATTATCCCAGCTTTACAAAGTAGCGATAATTATTCTCATTTTCCAGATGAAGAAACTGTGGATAGAGATTAAATATCTCAACCATGGTCACAGAGCTAATAAATGGGTAAGCAGGGATCTAAGCCCCTAATCCACTGTCTTCACTATTATGCTATATTACTTCTGTCCTGGAAAAGTATGTGAAGTCTTTCACCATAAAGATAAGGTCCCAGAGGACACCATGGGAAGAGCTGGGAGAGAAAGACAGTACATGATGTACAGAGAAATATGAGGGAACAATGCAGTTATTCTAAAGTCTTACTGAAGTAATATTCAGGAAATTTTAGGTAAGTCCTACTTAACTGAAATTTAAAACTATGAACCAGTAGGAGAGATAACTATTTTTAAATGACAGCCATGTTCAATAATAATAGATTTCTAGTCCAAAATATTTTTTTCAAATTTATTTATTTTAATTGGAGGCTGATTACTTCACAATATTGTAGTGGTTTTTGCCATACATTGACATGAATCAGCCATGGGTATACATGTGTTCCCATCCTGAACCACCCTCCCACCTCCCTCCCCATCCCATCCCTCTAGGTCATCCCAGTGCGCCAGCCCTGAGCGCCCTGTCTCATGCATCTAACCTGGACTGGTGATCTGTTTCACATATGATAATACACGTTTCAATGCTATTCTCTCAAATCGTCCCATCCTCGCCTTCTCCCACAAAGTTCAAAAGACTGTTCTATACATCTGTGTCTCTTTTTCTGTCTCACATATAGGGTTATCGTTACCATCTTTCTAAATTCCATATATATGCGTTAGGATACTGTATTGGTGTTTTTTTTTTTCTGACTTACTTCACTCTGTATAATAGGCTCCAGTTTCATCCACCTCATTAGAATTGATTCAAAGGTATTCCTTTTAATGGTTGAGTAATATACCATTGTGTATTATTCCAAAATTTTTGAGTACTTATGGTGTTTTTTTTCCCTCAGAAGTCCCATTCATTTATCTAGTTTTAGATTGGATAATTAAAAATTCTTATTCTTTATACTATGTATACTTTGCTGAACAATCCTCAAGACACATTCATACAGTGTAAATATTTGACAACACAGAAAACTCAGATAGCAGTTATATTGAGAAATGGTTGTAGTTAATAATTCCCTAAGGTTGGCAAAAATTATAATTTAAATGTGCAGTAATAAGAGAATAGACATATTACATTGACAGGATGGATTGTTATGCAATCATTAAGATGACAATAAAATGATAAAAACCTAGAAGAAAACAAGTGGTAAGCTTCTTGACATAGGTTTTGGCGATTTTTTGAATCTGACACCAAAAGCAAAAGAGCAAAAGCAAAAATAAACAACTGGAAATATAACAAACTAAAAAGCTTGTTGAGCTGGAGAAAATATTTGCAAATCACATATCTGACAAAAGGCTAATATTCAAAATATATAAAGAACTCACACAACTCAGCAGCAAAAAAAAAAGTCCAACAAATCCAATTAAAAAATGGGCAGAAGATCTGAATAGACATTTTTCCAAAGATATACAGATGGTCAACAGGTAAACAAAAAGATACTGTACATCATTAATTATTATTATTAATTATTAATTATTATTAAGTGCAAATCAAAACCACAATGATATATCACCTCACACCTGTTCAAATGGCTGTCATCAAAAAAGCTAGAACTGCCAAGTGTTAGGGAGGGTGTGGGGAAAGGGAACCCTCAGGCACTGTTGCTGAGACTGCAAATTGGTTCAGGCACTATGGAAAACAGTATGGTGGTTCTTCTAAAAATTAAAAACAGAACTATAACATGAACCAGCAATTTCACTTCTGGGTATTTATTGAAAGAAGATGAAAACACTAACTTGAAGAGAGATATGCACTCGCAATGTTCACTGCAGCATTATTTACTTACAATAGCCCAAATATGAAGACAACCTCAGCATCCATCAACAGATGAATGGAGAAGAAACATTGTGTGAGTATTCAATACACACAATGGAGTATTATTTAGCCATAGAACAGAATGAAATCTTGTCATCTACAACAACATAAACGGGTCTCAAGGGCATCATGCTAACTGAAGTAAGACAGAGAAAGACAAAGACCGTATGATCTCTCTTATATGGGATTCTCAAAAGAAACAATCAAAAATCCCCAAGTTCAAAGATACAGAGAACAGAATGATGGTTGACAAAGATAGGGGTAAGGGTGGGAGAAATTGCTGAACCACTGGCCACTCTGAAAGCATTAGACTAAGTTGCCACTCCAGTGTTTATAACAGTATTACAACATGAGCATTTTCAATGTTGTTAAGTCAAACGGGCAGGATACAGAATTAAATGATATCCAATGAATAAAGGAAATAGAGCAAAAAGATTGTGAAACAGCACCAAAACATTAGTAGTCTCCAAGTGGTGCAATTATGAGGGATTTTTTTCCTTCTATTTTGTAAATAATAAACATGTATTATTTTTGTAACACATAAAAATATTTTATTTTTAAAAAGACAAAGACTTTTAGAGTGTCAAAAGCAGTGTTTCCAATACAAGTACACGTGAAATGGCATCTTAAGAGTTTCTGTGGCTTACTTTCTATAGCAAAAGCAGGATAAAGAATTTAAGTGAAACGAATTTATTACTTTAGCTTAGAGAACACTTTTCTTAATAGGAAAAAGATCTTAACTTTGTGAACATCATGTGCAATTAATAGTGGAATTATTTATATAAATTAATGTGCCTGTCTGATGGAAAAGAACAAGACATATTTTAGGGGTGTGTGTGTGTGTGTGTGTGTGTGTGTGTGTAGTGTGTATGAATGAATTAAAATGATACCAAATTTTATATTACAAAAGTTTCTTCAAAATTATTAGTCAATTTGTAAAAAGCCCCGCTTTTAATTAATGTTTAATTGAAATACATTTGACATATAACATTGTAAAATATTAAGGTGTACATTAATTTGATACATTTGTATATTATGATTGCCATTATAGCAATAATTAGCAACTCAATCATGTTACACAACTATTCACTTCTTTCTAGTAGTTGGAATAGTTAAATCCTAGTCTCTTAGCAAGTTTGATGATTATAAAACAATATTGTTTTCTGCATTCCCTGCGACTGTGCACTAGATCTCCAGGGCTTATTTACTACTCATAAGCCTGTACCCTTAAACAACATCTATCTTGTCCCCTCAGCCCCCAGTAACCACCATTTTACTCTCTCCGAGTTTGGCCATACAGTACTTGTCTTTCTCTGTCTGACTTACTCATTTTGCATAATGTGCTCAAGGTCCATTTATTATGCCACAAATAGGAGGATGTCCTTCCGTCTCACAGCTGAGTAACACTGCAATGTAAAGTCCAACTTTTAAATATACTTTAAAAGGCTTAAATCTTAAACATTTGCTTCTCTCTCTTTAAGACAAATTCCATCAGCAAAAAAAAATCCCCAAACCAAAAAAACCAACGGCTTGGCAATCTTCTATTTTCATAAAACAATACTAAGCTATTAACAACTAGGAAGGATAAAGGACTTCAAAATCCATGAAGAAAATGAAGAACTTTCTCAAAGCCAATAATAGAAAGTGGTTGAAAAATAGGAAATAAAAATGCACAACATCTTAAATAATGTTTTATTTATAAAACATTTCACATAGGTATTGGGAGAAAACCACTCCAAGAACTATCATTTTATCATGAAGTAAATTCCCTATCTACACATGGACCTTACACTCTTCACAAAAGTTAACTCAATATGAGTCACAGGCCAAAAAACTATAACACTCCTAGAAAATAAGCATAGGAGAAAACCTAGATGATCTTGAGTATGGCAAAGACTTTTAAAATACAACACCAAAGGCATGATGCATGAAGGAAATCAATGGTAAGTTGGACTTCATTAAAATTAAAAACCACTCTGCAAAAGACAAAGTCTCAAGAGAATGAGAAGAGAAGTCACAGACTAGGAGAAAATATTTATAATAGACACATCTGATAAGACTGCTCTCCAAAATATACAAAGAACTCTTAAAAGTCAACAATAAGAAAACAGACAACCTGATTAAAATGTGGGCCGAAGACCTTAACAGCCAGCTGACCAAAGAAAATACAGATGGCAGTCTGAAAGCGTAACTGTTAATATTCTATTTTTAGTCTGGAAAGCGAAACCATCACAGCTATGAACTACAAGCATCACACTAAACCACGCAAGTGTTTTGCAAATTTGAAGGCTTGGTGAGTTTGTTTTTAAGTGTGACCGAAACTAGAGCAATAAAATCAGATTTTAGACCACCGCTTGCCTAAAAATTGAAAAACTATCTACGAAACAAATTATACCTGAGATTTCTGTCTTTGGGTTTTCACCGCTGGGAAGAGTTCCATCCAGAGACTGAGCAGAGTGAAAAGGTTGACTTTAGAAAGCCTTGGTATTTCACCTACAAAAAGAGGGGGCAAACACTTAAAACTTTTACTGATGATGAAAATCAGAACTAAGCTCACTTCCACTTGGGAGCTGCAGCCTTGGCTCCGCTGTTTTAGCAAGAGGCAGAGAAAAAGGATTCGTGTGCAAAAGAATCAAAGCACTTTCTTATCAGAAAGTTTCAGCCTCCATAAGGGCAACCTCTTCCAGCACCTTCCGAAGTTGGGCCCTCTTTCACCCAGCAGGGAAAAAAGAGTACAAGTGATGCACGTAGCTATGAGAATTATATTTTTAAAAAGTTATGACAAGTCTTTGCATCGGAGATCACGGTGAAGCAATCTTCACTCTGAAGTGATGAGGCGCTGCAACAAGGGCAGGGATTAGAACATAAACTAAAAATACGGTGACCTTAAAAGGTAAAGCAGCTGAAATACAGGAAAGCGCCGCGTGCGGTTAATTTTGGAATCAAATTTAAAAAACAACACAAAACACGGTTTAGGGAATTTTCAGGCTCGCCGATCCCCCGAGATCCCAGCTCCAGGACCTGGGAGGAAAAAGTAAAGGGGAGTGAGGCGTGAGAGCAACTTCAGAAGCCAGTGCAGCCGGGCCAGGAGATCCCGGTGACAGAGGCGGGGACGCGCCCGGGGCAGGGATGGGACACCCAGGAGCAGAAACGCAGGCGAAGAAGAGCAAGCAGCAAACCCGGAGAGAAACGGCGGGAGACGCGCAGAGCAGAGAGGCTGACGGCGGGAGCAGGATTCGGGGCACTCACCGGTCATGCTGCCCGTCTGGGTGCTGACTGACCGTCCGGCCCCCGCGCTCTCCAGATTTTGCATCTGCCCCACTTCTCTCATCCCCAGCCTAGCGGCCTCTGCTGCCCAGGGAACCTCTCGCTGTCCTGCATGATCTTTGCCCCAGCAACCCCACCTCGCGCCTCCTCCCAGCAACAGACAGTACGGCGACGGCCAACTCGGCGCATTCAGATGACGCACGAGCTCGACGGCCATTTCCGGGCGCCCTGTGTGACGTCACGGCGAGGCGCGGCCGCGGTGGCACAGGGGCTGCTCCTCCCTTGGCGACCCGGCAAGTAGTAGGGGACACGGGGCCGTGGATCATTTGACGCTCGTGTTTGCGTTCTTAGGGTTTGCTGAATGAAGTCTGGTCTCTTGACGATGTCTTGGCTCGAAGTCCCAAGTTGCGCACACTTGGCGAGGGCGAAGAGGTCTTCGCATACGTGAGAGTTGGCCCGAGAGTGAAGGAAAATTGAAATGGAAGTCAGTGTTAATCACTCAGTCTCTCCCACTCTTTGCGATCCCATGGACTGTAGCCCCCCTGGTTGCTCTGTCCGTGGGATTCTCCAGGCAGGAATACTAGAGTGGGTTGCCACTTCCTCCTCCAGGAGATTTTCCCGACCCAGGGATTGAACCCAGGTCTCCTGCATTACAGGCAGATGCTTTACTGCCTGAGCCACTAAGATGGAAACTAGCCCCCATTCAGTTAGCGGTCAGGGTCTCAGGGAGTTTGAGAGGCGAATGAGGTGGGAGCTGGGCGGTCCCAGGTGGTTATCCTCTAAGGTTGGCCGGCGCTGGGCAACTTAGTGCCGGGGACCGCCACAAGAACATCCTGCTGCTGCTTAAACACATGAAGACTTTGAGGGTAGAACTGTCCTCAGGAAATTGAGGATGGAGGAAGTGGCCCTTGGAAAATCTGAGAGGTATCAGACATTGTGGATTTGTGCTCAGTGCAATTTAGTTTTATTATTTTATGTGTCCTAGGCATGACTCAGAATGAAGCGCCTCCCTCCTCCCAGTGACTCAGCCCATTTTCCATCACCAACCTAAGCTGTTATCATAATTTGAAATATTTAAAAAATAGGCACAAAAACTGCTCCGAGACTATGAAAGCAAAAGCCAACGTTATGAGAGTACATTATTTTGTAAAAGACTGAAGAGAATTTTCAGTGTTGATGGATATGACTGTGGTTCATTAATTGTCACTGTTGTGTAGTATTTCATTGTAGCTATATACCACAATTTATTTACCCATATTTGAGTCACGAGGCATTTGCTCTATCTCCAGCTTCTTGCTATTGCAAGCAATGCTGCTTTAAACTTTTTTGTATTGGAGAAGGAAATGGCATCCCACTCCAGTATTCTTGCCTGGAAAATCCCATGGACTGAGGATCCTGGTAGGCTACAGTCCATGGGGTGGCAAACAGTCGGACACGACTGAGCGACTTCACTTATTATGTTCATATGGATGAGCTTCTTTAGGGACTATACTTAGAAGTAGAATTCTTGAGTTGTCAAGTTCTCCAGATACTGCTGAAAAGTTTTCTGGAGAGACTGGACCAATTTACATAGCTCTGTATCCCCACTAATTCTTGGGTATTGTCAAACTTTTAATGTTTACCAATCTGGTTGGCATAAAATGATATCTTGTGGTTATGATTTTCCCTGATTTCTACTTAGATGCATTGCTCATACATGTGTCCTTTCTATGAAATACCTGTTAACCATTTTTCTATTTTGTAGTTATTTCTTATTCATTTGTAAACATCCTTTATACATCCTCGATACTCATTCTTGGGTGGGAATGTGTATGGTAAATGTCTTCTCCCCATTTGTCACTTGCTTTTTCATTTAATTATTTTTTCAGTGCATAGTTCTTTATTTTAATGTGCCAAACATACAAATAATTTTCTTAAGTGGGTTTTGTATCTTTTCATAAAGCATTTTTATCTGTTTATAAAGATATCTTTTATTTGTCTATGTCAATTATATGTTTTTTAATAGTAACTTTTTTATTTCCTCTAAAAGCCATAAGTTTTTCCTTTCATATTTATATCATCATTCATCTAGAATTTAGTTTTGTGTATGATGTTAGGTTGGAATCCACTTTCTTTTCCACTTGGATAATCAGTTAGCCCAGCATGTCATGTATCAAGTTTCCATATGTACGTAAATCTGTTCCTGGGTTCTATATTGTATGTTATTGGTTTATTATACCTCTGCCCCCTTAACTCCTCCCCCCACCCAAAAAACACCTTATTTTCTTCAGGAGTATCCTAGTTATTCTTGACCCTTTAATCTTCCATGTAAGTTTTATTTTACTTGTTTATTTTTAAAATATTTATATATTGCATTGGAAGGCTGGAGTCTTAACCACTGGACCGCCAGGGAAGTCCTGTCAAATGACTATTTGGCGAGCTTAATCGGAGAATGGGGAAGGAAGGAGGGAGAGACAAATGGAGGGGATGGAGGAAGGCAGGGAGGGCTATTATGTTTATCACAAATTTTCTTAAAAACTCAATGATCCCAGGTAGCGCAGTGCCTGTAAAGAATCACTAATTAAGATGCTCAACATCTAACTAATTAAGATGCTCAACATCAACTAATAAGATGCTCAACATCACTAATTAATATCCCTCCCCGATTTATGTATCATTTACTTATTTTCTGTAGATAACTTGGATCTCTTCCTTTTATTCTAGGTCCTGCTGATTGGGAACATTGGTGCTAGCAGTGTGTGTATTTGGATAGAATCCTCTTACAATAAAACAAGCTGAGGTCCCAGGGAGCTCATTGTGTCTGTGCTGGATTTGTTGGTACTGGTGACATTTGGCAGAGACTGAACACCTGGCTTGTAGAAGGAAACCTACCTCACCCTCGGTCTTGCTCTGGTATGTGGAAGGCACACCACGACCAATGACCGTGCCTCCTGCATGCCTGGGGATGAGGTCCCTGCGGGACTGATAGCGGTCCCTGCGGAACTGATAGCGGTCCCTGCGGGACTGATAGCGACCCCTGGTGGCCAGTGCACCCTTGTACAAAGGATCGGCCCTTGTGCGGTCGTTTCAGGCAAGAAGGTAACCTTGAGCACCACCCTGCATCCAGAAATTGAGGTTTCCTGAAGAGTTCTTGGAAGGCAGTTCCTGGCGGCACTTCAACCTCAAAGAAGCAAAGAGAAGCCAAAACAAAATCCAGACGCCCTTCATGGCACATTTGCTTTGTTATGGAGGGCAGCGCTGCCAGAGAGAAGTCACTTCTCAAGTTTTCCACATATTGTCCCTCTTGGTTTCCCCAGAAAGGTAAACTTGGTGCCACATAGATCACTGCGCTACAACGTAAGGCTGTCCAGGGGCCCTGAGGACGTCTGTGCCCCCACGAGGTAGCAAGGACAGGCAGGCCCGCCTCCTGTGATGTCCTGGGGCTCTCCGCCATTGGCGGCCTGGGAGCAGCCAGGCGGTGGGCCTGGTATCAGGGTCCACGACCATGCTTCGTGAGGCTCCCCGTGTGTGCAGCACCTTCTGGACTGGGTTTGGGCGTTTCTGAAGCAGCAGCCTGAAGAGGTTCTCTGATAATTCATGTTAGAAGTCAAGGGACTGGAGGGAGGGGTAGGAATGAGAGGACAGGTAAGAGGAAATAGGGACCTAATGCTGGTGGACCAGCTACTTGAATCAACTTTATAACAGTGACAGTGGTAATGATAATGGTATCTTACAGTACAGAGCGTTTTCTACGTTCCAGGCTCTGTTATAGCTACTTTGCATGTGTTCAGTGCTCAGTCACGTCCAACTCTTTTTTGACCCCATGGACTGTAGCCCACCAGGCTCCTCTGTCCATGGGATTTCCCAGGCAAGAATACTGGAGTGGGTTGCCATTTCCTTCTCCAGGGGATATTCCTGATCCAGAGATTGAACCCACGTCTACTGCGTTGGCAGGCGGGTTCTTTACCACTGAGCCAATTGGGAAGTCCAGCCCTTTTTATATATTCATTGACTCCTTCCAACAACCGTATGAAGTATGTATTTTTATTTTTATCCCTACTGATAAGAACCGAGACATTGAGTACCTTGATCAAGCAGACACAGCTTGAGAGGGGTGGGAGAAAGATATAAATGCTCATCACTTCATTTAATACAACATCTATGATGCAGATTTTCATCATCTCCATTTTACAGGAAAGGAAGCTAAGGCCCTTGGGCCAGCAACATCAGCATCATTTAGGAGCTTATTAGGAATGCAGAACCTTGGGCCCTACTTCAGACCTACCAAAGCAGAATCTGTACAGAACCACCTTTTTTTTTTTTAAATCACTTGAAATTCTGTAGGCTTTTCTGATGTCAGTGCTTTTATTGGCCTGTGAGCTGAATCTGTGGTTAGTCTAGACAATATAGTCATACATTTCAAGGCCAAAAAGGCCATTCAAAAGTCGAGATGATTTCAACCCCATAACACGAACTAAAGTTTCTATTTTGTCATGCACTTTGCTCGGTGAGTATTTGTGGAGTCAATTAATGAAACACAAACCCTTCCCCAAGGTTGGTGCCTCACTTGAAAAAAGCTGGGGGGCTCAAAGAGAGTTCTCTCTGGGGGCAGTGAGAGTTCCCAGTCAGAGCATCCAGGACACCATCCGCAGGGCAGAGGGAGGCCCAGGACTGAAATCGCAGCCATCTAGCCCTCTCCAGTGACCCTTGACTTGAGACCCGTGAGGGCACTCCTCACATCTTCCCATGATGCCTCTCCCCTTAACAGCTAGTGGTCAACACAAGAGGACACTTTCTGCTGTGCTAGAGAACACTTTGGGGGTTCCCAGGTGGTGCTAATAGTAAAGAATCTACCTGCCAATGCAGGGGACATGGGTTTGATCCCTGGGTCAGGAAGATCCCCCTGAAGAGGGAAATAGCAACCCACTCCAGTATTCTTGCCTGGAAAATCCCATGGACAGAGGAGCCTGATCGGCTACAATCCATGAGGTTGCAAAAGGTTAGACATGACTAAACACAGAACAATTTTAGACCTTAGAACAACTTTTCAAATATTTTTGACTATGACCCACAATGAGAATACATTTTATTTTATGAACCATGAAAGATACCAACGGATACATAATTGCAACAAAAGTTTCACAACATAACAGTTGGCCTTAGTACACGTGATATACTGATTATTCTATTCACATTCCAATAAACATATGACAGACTGCACTCATCTCACAATCCGCCGATGGGTGAGGTGGGCATTTTGAAAGCAGGTGCCCAGCCACCCACAGGAGCAATGGAATTCAGAGACTCCATCTCAGGGACCCAGTGGTGATAAGAAAGGGTGATACTCCTTGTGACACCTGGAAACACACATCTGTCACAGGAAAGTGTGATGCAGATCCCTCTTTTCTAGAATCTGAACAAGAAAGCTCAAAGGAGAGCTCTTTGCTTCTAAAACTTTATACCATAAATAAAACATTATAAATAAAAACATAAAAGCATTATGCTATAAATAATGTATCAATAAAGTCCTTAGCCATGATTTTCCACAGGGAAGAAGCCACTCTGACTGCCCCAGAGAGGAACTCCCATGAGAAGAAAGACAGTGGTTGCAGCTCCAGCACATGTCCCTTCAGGCCACCAAGTAGAGGCGTGGCGGAGGCCCAAGGCTGCATGGAGCACAGTGAGGCCCCCCCAGCAGTGTCCCCAGCAACAGCGTCTCAGAGCCTCCGACATGGTCTTTTGTGTTGTGTGACTCTTGGGAAGGTGGGTGCAGCATGCAGTGTTTTTGTATCATAGCTGACCACAGAATCCTTTTTTCAAATGCTCTCTTAAAATCTGCAGAACACAGTTTAGGGACTGCTGCCCCAAGTGATGAGTATGCCTCTTCCATTAGTTGGCAGAAACACAAGTATAGACAGGAGGCTTCCTCGCTGCTTCACGAGGGCAGGGCCAGGGTGTTAGGATGCTTCAAGGGGACTTGAAGGCATCATGTACATAGCTAATCACATGAAAAAGCATGAAAGAGGACCTGGTCAGCATGTGGAGCAGACCCTTTTTTATGGAGTCACCATTTGTAGCTCATAGCTGAGCTAGTTGCATCCTGCTTACCTCCAGGGGCCACCATTCATAAGACCCTGGCAGTGGATGAGGCCCTTTGGAGTTCGCAGAGGCAGCAGTAGCCCTCTAGAAACAGGTTTATGTTTCAAACTGTAAAAAAACAATGTTACACAGTTGTTTGCCAGAATATCCAGTACAGTCTGTCTGCAGACTGGATGCAGACCCTGACTGCATCCATTGTTGTTGTTCAGTCACCCAGTCGTGTCCGACTCTTTGCGACCCCGTGGACTGCAGCACACCAGGCTCCCCTGTCCTTCACTGTCTCCTGGAGCGTGCTCAAGCTCCTGCCCATTGAGTCTGTGATGCCATCCAACCATCTCATCCTCTGTCGCCCCCTTCTCACGCCCCCAGTCTTTCCCTTGACTCATGTTTTTCTGTAAGTGTAGCTTCTCAGGGTGGGAGTGGGTAAGGCTCTTAAGAGATCAGACTCAGACCTGAGACTTGAATCCATCACTGCTTAGCCCACCAAGCCAAGGCAAATAAGGCATATTAAAGCTCTTACCAATGTGATTGCAGTCTCTTTGTGGAAGCCAAATCCTGCTGCAGCTCCCTGCCCGCAGGCTTCAGTGACTAGGTTCTGAACAGAGGGGACTGTGCCTAAAGTAAATGATTTTCTCTGAGCCTGAGAGAGGGGAGACCCCTGATCACTCAACTCTACCCAGAATTCCTTTCACTTGTTTCTAAACATTTTTGCTGCCATATGTAAACATTAAGTAATATCTTAAATCAAACTCTCATTATCCTGGATTCCTTGTAGATGCACCATCACATTTATCTAAAACATAAAACAAAAATGGCACGTAACACATACATCTAAAACAAAATACACCTCTGACCTCACAGGTGACAGTTTTTATGGCACCGTCTGTCTGGATTACTTGTTAACTGGAAAATGAGTGTCATATCCTGAGAGTAGGGGAGTGAGGACCTAAAAAACCTCTCCAGAGCACATTTTGTGATGTGGGATTTCAGGAGGATGAAATGAACTTCCCCAAGGAGGTACATGAAATGAAAGCCAGAGAGATTGGTACAGATACATCTCATACCTTTGTTTAAAAAAAAAAAAAATCCATGCTAAGTTGCTGACAAACTTGCAAAATGTCAACCACTCTTTCTTGTTATTGTTATAGTTGCTAAGTTGTGTCCGACTCTTTGCAACCCCATGGACTGCAGCATGCCAGGCTTTCTTGTCCTTCACCATCTCCTGGAGCTTGCTCAAACTCATGTCCATTGAGTCAGTGATGCCATCCAACCATCTCATCGTCTGTGGCCCCCGTCTCCTCCTTTCCTCAATTTTTCTCAGCATCAGGGTCTTTAACAGTGAGTTGGCTCTTCCCATTGGGTGGCCCAAGTATTGGAGCATCAGCTTCAACATCAGTCCTTCCAATGAGTATTTAGGGTTGATTTCCTTATATTGCAAAATGTCAGCTACTCTTTCCAATTCTCCCTAACAGCATCTGTTCCCCTTCCTGATTCTTTGCGCCCTACAGATCTGTTTTCCCTTAAGTCCCAGAGCCACGGGACAGGGCGCAGGGTTTAGCGGTGCTAGTTGCTGACATCGGCACGTTGGCGCTGTCCTCCGTGTAGCCCGCCCTGACACCGGCGGGGTTCCCTGCGGCCTCCCTGCTTCTGCAGAAACCTCTCTGTCTGGACCGTCTGGCCAGCAGCAGTTTCCAGGCCGCTGCTCTATACTTCTTTGAAATGAGGTTGTAGAGGATGGGGTTGATGGAGGCGCTCAGATAGAAAAGTTGCAGAGCAACGATGTTAAAGTACTGAGAGAAGTACATCATCTGGGAATCTTTGGTATTTATGTAAATGATTCTGCCAACGTGGAAAGGCAACCAGCAAACTATAAACGCCAGAACCACCACCACTGCAAGACAAAACACAGGCACCAGAATTAGCTAAAGCATCCGAAAACAAGAGTTCCCACTGAAGCAATAATTAACAGCGAAATAAATAAAACTCTTGCCTAGCCAGATCCCCACCCCAGAAAAACTACCAGGTTACAGACAACATTGATATCTGCTTTGAAATTGAATATTCGAGAACAACTAACAACAACTGAATATTCAGCTCATACATGCACTACCAAGGCCGGACATAAACCAGAGAGAGTGATTTCTACTAACAAGTTCTAACAAGTAGAAATCGTTTCTTTCCACAAACCTGTTTCAGAAACATGTTCTCTATTTTCCGTTGAAAAGAATTTTGCAACGTCTGCACAATCTTTATTATTTTTTTTGTTGTTACGGGCACGATTCACTTCAGTCTTCAGGATACCATAACATTTATTAAAGAAACTTTATCTTAATGTGAGGTATCCTGCCTTCTCCCGGGTTCTGTGAATAATTCCACATCTGCCGCGTCTAACAGACACAGGCGGTGGGCTTAAGAGCCTGCAATCATTCATCTTGGATCAGTTTAGCTCTCTGCTCACAGAGGCTTTGGAAATAATAGTTATTTACCAGACCCGGCTATCCCACCGTTAGGGGGTCTCCCTGGGTGACACAGGGCTCCTAGAAGACGGGAGATGGTTTTCTACGGAGAGTGGAGGGATAAACAGGTGGAGGCTGGGGTCGAACCACAAAAGGAAGCCAGCGCGCGGTTGGGGTGTTTGGAACAGAGGCGCCGCCACTTACGCAGGACGCGGACCGTCTGCCGGTGGCCCTTCTCCCGGCCGGAGGTGGTCGGGCCTCGCAGCTGCCCGCGGCTCCTCCACAGCTCGCGCCCGATGAGCCCGTAGAGGACGCTGAGGCATAGGAAGGGCAGGAAGAAGTAGGCGGTGGTGACCCACAGCATGACGCGCAGCGCGCCCACCCGCGCCGGGCTCGGCCGGCACTCCCGGCTGAACAGCGCGGCGGCGGCGGCTGCTTCGGGCCCCGACGGCGGGGACCGCGGGGAAGCCAGAGAGGACCCCAGGAAGGGCGGCGGCGGCAAGGGGGAGGGCCGCGCGGTGCCGTTAAGGTCCCGGAGCGCATCGTGGCCGGGGTCCTGCTCGACGCCCACCAGAAAGAAGAAGGGCCCGGCGGAGAGCAGCGCCACGGCCCAGAGAGCGGCGATAAGCGCGCGGACGCGGCGCCGGGTGACCAAGACGCGCGCCCGGAGCGGGCGGCAGACGGCCAGGTAGCGCTCCACGGCGAGCGCCGTCATGTGCAGCAGCGTGGCGTAGGTGCAGCCCTCGCCCACGTAGAGTGAGAGGCGGCAGAGGAGCTGCCCGAACACCCAGGGCCGCGAGCGCCACAGGCGGTACAGGTCGAAGGGGAGCCCGAGCAGGATGAGCAGGTCGGACACGGCCATGCTGCCCAGGTATAAGTTGGTGGTGGTCCGCATGTCCCGGTAGCGCCCGATCAGCAGCACCGTAACCACGTTGCCGCTCACCCCGACGGCGAACAGCCCCAGGCACACGGCGGTCACGGGCACCAGCGCCCCCAGGGGGAAGGGCGAGCAGCGGCGCTCGTCGCACGGCAGCAGCGCGGCCCACGGCGGCTCCCCGGCGCCCCGCCAAGCGTGGCTACGGTTCCCGGGGCTGCCCATGGGCGCGGCGCGCGGGGCAGACGCACGGACGCGCGCGGGGTCCCCGGGGCAGGGCCGGGTGCCTAGCGCCTGGCCCCGCTGCGAAAGCGCCTCCTTCGGCGGCAGGCGCGCACACTGCGCGCGGAGCTCCCGGCGCCCGCACGGCTCGAGCCCCGCTGCACCGCGCGCCGGAACGCGATTCCGCAGGGTCCGCTTTGAGGGCTGCCGAGCGGGTGGCGCGCAGTCCCCGCCCCCGGCCGCCGCCCGGTCCCTCGGGTTCCAGGCGCTTCCCTCCCCAACTGAACGCGGGAGGCGGCCGCCCCGGACCGCGCCTGCCCCGACGCGGGAAAGCGATTTCTGAGACCCCAACCACGTAGGTTACTGCACCCAGCGGAGTGCGGGCGCTTTTTTTCGGTTGGGTTCTGAGAGGGACCTTCTGAGGGACCTCGGCTGGTGACTGCCTCTCGATGGCTCGGGAGGGAGCCGCAGGACTAATAGTGGGAGAGGAGCTTAGACCAGAATCTAGAGCCCCTCCTGGGTTCTGGTGGTGGCTCGACGGCCGAGTCATCTCAGGTCAGCCCCAGCCTGAGGGGGCAGCAGTCAGTTCTCCCCTTCCGTAAATTTTCAAATGGTGGTGGAGTTGACCAAGTAATTTGAACGATCTGTTATGACTCTGAAATCTATGGACATGACCATGTCTACTCGTTTTAAGGGGCTTCCCTGGGGGCTCAGACGGTTAAGAATCCGCCTGCAATGCGGGACCCCTGGGTTCGATCCCTGGGTCCGAAGGATCCCCTGCAGAAGGGATTGACAACCCACTCCAGTATCCTGGCCTGGGGAATTCCATGGACAGAAAAGCCTGGCGGGCTGCAGTCCATGGGGTCGCAGAGAGTAGGACCTCACTGAGCGACCGTCACACAGGAAGAACTAAAATCCGGGGGGGAAGACTGAAAACTGATCCACGAGTCAGTTCAGTGTGGTCTTGATGACAGTAGCTGACGCTGAGAGCTCAGATGTGTCCGGGGCTGTTCTTTCCATTTAATTTTCAAGTTCTTGGGGCTGAGTTCTTTGTTTGTGGGTGGACACCATCTAGTTTTCCATCCATCGTACGGAGGTTTAAATCCTCAACTTCTTTTCCCGAGTTCCCTTCTTCTTCCTGGAACTGAAAGCAGGCTTTGCTCTAGCCTGGCTCCCCCTGCTCAGCTCAGCCCTCCCTCACAGGCAGAGCCATGGGCGTGGAGGAAGGGTACCGGTCACTGGCCTCATCATCACTGTCCGCATCTTTCTAAAACCTATCTTTAAATCTAACCTCCTCACACTGTGCCCTCTCCAGCCCCGCTCCCCCCATTCACCTTCATTCTTGAGAATTTTGGTGCCTGACCTTCATTTTCTCAAGAGCTCCTGATATTAATAAAATTCACACCCCTACACAATTCCTCTGCCTCTCCTGTCTATCCGTGGTCTTGTCCTCTTCCCTGCCTCAGGCAGTGGCCCCTGTGAACACATCCCTTCCGCCTTATCATTCCCAGGACCTGGGAGCTTGCCTTCATCTTAGCTTCAGCCACCGCAGATTCTGACCTCCACCCCCTGTCTTTCTAGCTCACTTTCTCTAATACCTAAATTCCTGCAGTCCTCCAACTGCAGGAGTTCAGTGGGGCCTCCATTCAGCCTCTCCTCCACCTTGTCCCTCACGAGCCTCAGGTCCACACTTCCCGACTGTAACGAATTTAAACTCCAAGAGCAATGATAAGGGCTTCCAGGAAAACACTCTCAATGCCTGTGCACGTTTCTTTCTGGTCTCCTTGGCCAGAGCTCAGCCGTAGCCCTGGTGAAGCTGAACCTCTGCTTACCTTGTGCAGGCTTCCAAGTGTCTTGAGTAGAGCTGCATCTCTGGAAATTGACAACCTTTAGCTGGGGGCTTAGTTTTCTCCCACCGTCCTCATCCTTATCCTATTTCATTTGCTTTTCCCACCCTCCAGACCACTCTGTACATCCTCCTGTCTCCTTGATCCTCAAGACTTCCTTCCCATCCTCACGCTCAGGTGGTGACCTTGTACTTTAATTCCTGGAAAGAATAGAAGCGGTTGGAAGAGAACTACATGCTCCCATCATCACAGCCGCCATCCCCCCAACCCCCGGACAGATGAATGAGTGGATATTGTTGTTCAGTCAACCAATCTGCCTCTTTGAGACCCCATGGACTGCAGCACGCCAGGCCTCCCTGTTCCTCACTATCTCCCAAAGTTTGCCCAAGTTCACGTCCATTGCATCGGTGACGCCACCCGGCCGTCTCATCCACTGATGCTCTCTTTTCCTTCTGCCCTCAATCTTTCCCAGCATCAAGGACTTTTCCAATGAGTCACTGTTCACATCAGATGACCAAAATACTTGAGCTTCAGCATCAGTCCTTCCAATGAGTATTCAGGATTGATTTCCCTTAAGACTGACTGGTTTGATCTCCTTGCTGTCCATGGGACTCTCAGGCATCTTCTCCAATATTACAGTTTGAAGCATCAATTCTTTGACACTCCGCCTTCTTTACGGTTCAGCTCTCACAACCGTATGTGACCACTGGGAAGACCATAACGTTGACTATATGGACCTTTGTTGGCAGAGTAATGTCTCTGCTTTTCAACACACACACACACCCATTCACCCCCTGAACAGATGAATGAGTGGATGGTACTTGTACCTGAACTAAACTCTGCCACTCGGCACTTCATTTACCTGCTCAAAATCCTAGAAATCACTCTGGAAGTTCTCTCTCACATACATCATCAGATTTTCCTCCCTCTTCTGGATCGTTTCCATGTTTTCAGCAAAACTCAAAAGAGCTTCTGCATCCACTGTCTCCCCTTTTCCTCCCTCCCCACTCCCTCTCTGCCTAAGTGGCGGAAATGTAATTTCTCCATCTCTAGTTGATCTGAACTCTCCCTTACTCCCTCGGGTAGCAAGAAACAATTAGCTAGCCTGCGTAAAGCATTGTCTGGTTGAATGAATTAGACAGCTCCTCTCAGCAGTGCTCCGTCCTCTTCTCTCCGATGGCTTCCTCCTTCTGCCCCGTCTTTCCCGAAGAAGGTCAGGTGGCTTAAAGGGCCTTAGGAAACCAGGAGGGAGGGGGTGCTTAGCTTTGTGTTGGTTCCTGGGGGGCTGGTACTTGCTGGACTCCAGTTCAGGGTCCTCGTCCCCCTTGGTCACCAGGCTCTCTGCTAACCTGAAGGCAGAGGTCTGTGGCGCGTGAACCTGTGGTCTTTTTCTTTGACTCCCCTGATGCTCCCAGGAGCACCTGGTAGGTACCAGCTGTCAGCTGTCATAGGCTGCAGCTCCCCCAATTCTCTGTCCTTGGGTCCATTCTGCTCCTTGGCCTGGTGGTCTGCCCACATCTGCTGAAAGGTCCCTCACCCATCTCCGCCACATGACAGCTCTGAGAAAGCCCACCGGGGCGCAGAGCGTGTCTGCACATCAGGCTGTCCATCTCGTGTCTGCACACCTCCGATCGGACGCTCCCCTGCACTGCTGTATCTTCTCTCTGGAGCTTATGACGAACTCACCTGCTGTTGAATCTACTTAGCTGTTTGTTATCCGGCCCCCCCCATCTCCCGACATCACATGCTCCAGAAGACAGGATTTCACCCTTCCCTAGTGCCCAGTACAAAGTGAGAACTCAATAAATATTTTTTAATCTCAGAGCATGAATAAGCCTCTCCAGAACAGGGCACCATTATTTTCTTTACAATTCCTGGTAATTGAGAAAAGTACTCTGATTACAGGGGGTGTTCAGCAAGCGCTCCTTGATAATCTGGTTGGAGACAGAATACTGATACGGAGAATTAGATTCACGTCCAGGTTTTTGTTATGTTTTGACTCAAGTATGGCTTGGCCCCTGGGGCAGATCTGAACCCTATTATGATGGCTTAGCCTTCCATGTTTTTGGAAGAAATGGGTCCAGATATCTGAAGAATGACTAAACCCTCTTTCTACTTTGTATTTCTAAGCCATCTGCCAGCTCATGATGTTGTTTTTCGTTGGAGGAGAGGGAGAATCTTCAGTAGTCCAGCTGTGTGGCTACCGTCCTCCTCTGCCAAATGTGACGTATCCACCTTCACATTTGCTGCTTGCATGGGGCAAAACTGAGTCTAGTTCTGACCCAGCTCTCCCCCTGCTTCCCTGGAAGCAAGGGGCTGGTGTCCTTAATAGGCACTTCACCCCTGGCTGGAAGCCTCATAGGCTGGAATGTTCTGGAAAAAAAAATAATAAAGCTAACTTTCTGCTGTGTTAGGCACATTTTCAAGTACCTGCATATGGTAACTCATTGAGTCTTTAACCACAGCCTTTTGAGCGGGTGCTTTCAGTATGTCCATTTTATAGATGAGAAGACCAAGGCATAGAGAAGCTGCCTTAGGTCATGCAGCCGGTGAGTGTCTGCTTCCCAAGGCCAAAGGCATGCCCTCTGTGCCAGGGCCTCTGGCTTGATAGGCCACAGCACAACCAGTCTTAGGAATGGTTCGTGTGATCAACTTCTGCTCGGAAAGTATCCTTTAGTTTGTATTCCATAAACCAGATTTTTGTGGACAAATGGAAACAGAAGTTTTTTTTTTTTTTTTAATTGAAGTATAGTTGATTTGGGGTCTTCCCTGGTGGTTCAGCAGTAAAAAATCTGCCTGCAATGCAGGAGACTTGGGCTCGATCTCTGGATGGGGACGATCCCTTGGAGAAGGAAATGGCAACCCACTTCAGCATTCTTGCCTGAGAAATCCCATGGACAGAGGAGCCTGGAGGGCTATAGTCCAGGGGGTCACAAGGGTCGAACATGACTCAGCGACTAAACCACCACCATTGCTGATTTACCACGCTGTGTCAGTTTCACATTTAGAGTGCCATTTCCCGTGCCCCTGGAGCCCTTGGAGGGCTGGGTCATCGCTGAGCAGGCTCTTGCCCCTCACCTTCCCTCGGGAGCTGCCCTTGGGCTGCAGTCTCTCTCATCTGCACTGGTACCTGGAGACTGGGCCACAGTAACTCACTTGGCTCTCAGGCAGAGTGAGGGGTCAGCGTGGAGGTTCTCCGCCCAGCTCTAATAGAGTAGAACCTTTGTATTCTATTACAGGTTCATCAAAGAGATGTTGCCTATAAACTTAAATGGCCCACCTCTAAGGAGCTCTGCCTCCCAAGTAATGAGCATTAAGCTAAAACACCTTGGGTAGCTGAACCATCCTGACCAGGCCCGCCTGTGAATGACTGTAGGGGGGAAGAAATGAACACATCCCCTCTGGAGGCTGACCTGGAACCGGACGTGTTTGTCTTTACTCCCTATGCTTTTAGCAAAAGAGAAGCCTGAATTCTGACTCAGGCAAGCTGGCTCCCCAGCTTCTTGGTCGGCTGGCTTTCTGCATAAGGTTGCTCGGTTTATTCGGCCTGTCATGTGGCGAACAGTACCAGCGTGGACTTGATAACGAGTTTTCGTGCAGTCAGCCAGGAGCCTTGCTACTCATGGCCAGCTGGTGCCCTTTGGGGAGTTTTCAGGTAAAGCCCTAGCAGCTGCTGGGACCACTTGTCTTGAAAATCTTGCCCTCAAAATGCCCCAGAGTGGCTCTGGCTGCCCCAGCGCTTGGCTGACAGGCTCCACACGGTAGGGTAAGTTGCTCTGGTGTGTGCAGCCAGAAGGTTTATTTCCTCTCTGTTTGGGGCTTTTCTCCAGAATAAGCCAATTTGTTTTGTATTTGAGTGGGAAACCCTGTTGGAGAAAGGAAAGAGCTGTTGGGCTTTTTACCTGATTCGTGAGCCCGTTCATTTGTTTCTTCGGATGCTAGTGTTTGTATGTGCAGTTTGGGCTTTGTCTTTTTTTTTAAAGTCATTCACCTTTTTTTTTTTTTTTTTTAGTTACTCACCTTTTAATTGAAGGATAGTTGCTTTACAGAATTCTTTGTTTCTCTTGAATTTCTGTCTTTAAAAATGGAGAATTTTTCAACTATTCCTGAAGAAAGACCTCTGAGGTGCATTTTGGATCAGTGCTCTGATTACAGCTGTGAACCCATGAGTGAGAGGAAGGTATTTTATTGAAACAATGTGTGGCCACAGTGCCTGTTAGGATTTCCAGGAGGGCTTGAGGCAGGTTATCTGGGGACCCTGGACACCTTGTACTGCTATCCTTGTTGTGTTAATTAAGTCATTTAGGGTCTCCTACGTCATTGGCATATGGTTTAAAGCCCCCAAGACCAAAATTGAGGGTTTCTTTAGATTTTCTGATTGTCCTTTGGTTTTTTTTTTTTTTTTCAGTTTTGCTTGGTACTCTTTCCCCATTTATAGCCAGCCCACTTTTGTGATATTTAAAATTTTTTTTACTAATGTCAAGTGGAGGAAAGGAACAGGAAAAAAAAGCAAAGAGAAAACAAACTCTCTTTTTGTCCAAGAGTGGGATATTCCCAGGAAGAAGAGAAATCCTCCACTTGGTTCCTAAAATTACCAAAAGCTACAAACAGAAATAGACATGTCTTTTCCATGAATATTAATAAGGGGTTTTGCCATTTAGACAGATAGGATTTATTCTGACAGAAACCCAATTTGAATCCACTCTCTTTTGTAACTGATGGGTTATACAATGTTATACCTGATTCATGACTGAAATTTTGGCATGGGAACTGTGTTTGTTTGTTTGTACATGTTACAGATATCTGGCATTGCCAGAATTAATTTGTAAAAGAATTTAATTGACCTAAAGGAATTTAGGCTTCCCTGGTAACTCAGCTGGTAAAGAATCCACCGGCAATGTGAGAGACCCTGATTTGATTCCTGGGTCGGAAAGATCCCCTGGAGAAGGGAAAGGCTGCCCACCCCAGTATTCTTGGGTTTCCCTGATGACTCAGATGGTAAAGAATTCGCCTGCAATTTGGGAGGCCTGGGTTTGATCCCTAGGTTGGGAAGATCCCCTGGAGAAGGGAATGGCTACCCACTCCAGTATTTCTGGCCTGGAGAATCCCCACGGACAGAGGAGCCTGGTGAGCTACAGTCCATGGGGTCACAAAGAGTCAGACACGACTGAGTGATTTCCACTTTCAAAGGAATTTAAGTGCTTAAATAAACACTCAAATATTTTTTAAAACACTGGCCAGAAGGAATTTCAGGTTCATGTGACCTAGGAAATATTCAGTATTGAATTAATGTCTGGTATTAAAGTTAGCTTAAGCTTGTTTGTTTGATTAATACAGACATGTTTTAGGTCATCAACATCAAGTATAATACTTTTATTGTGTCTAGGTTTGCTAGAAATCAAATACTGTAAGACCTTATTATTCTTATTACAAAGTTTGTCAGCAAGAAAAATAACAATATGATAAAGCTTTTAAGTAAATAAAATAGGAATAAATGAGGTAAGAGTTTTCAGTAAACACTATAGAAATAGCTGGGTCTTCCCTGGTGGCTCAGCAGTAAAGAATCAGCCTACCAGTGCAGGAGACATGGGTTTGATCCCTGGGTTGGGAAGATCCATTGGAGAAAGAAATGGTAAACCACTCCAGTATTCTTGCCTGGGAAATCCCATAAACAGAGGAGCGTGGAGGGACTATAGTCCATAGGGTCGAAAGAGTCAGACATGACTTAGCGACTAAACAACAAATAGGAATAATTATGTTTTGGGAATATCTATCTAAAATAATTTCTCCAGATTTATGTAACTTGAAATTCAACAAAATTAACTGAAGAGGATTCATTGAATATCTGGGTCATTTCAAATGGGATAAAATATTAGAACATATTTGCTGGGCATGTCTAAGTTTACCTACTTTTGCCTTCTCAGGAGAGGAAGACTAAAGCTCAAGTTTGTCAGTTAGGAAATGCGTTATGACAGTTTCCAATTACTTGCTTCTTGGTTTTTCACTAGAGGTGAAGGTTTTAAGGTTCAGAATTGTAAGGTAAAATTTTAGCATGCAAAGATAATAGGACATGTGTTTTCAGCAAAGACGGTATGGGGAATGAAAATGCATTTTGCTAAAGCAGAAAAGGTGGTTTTGTCTTAGAGATGACTGTTTCTTTTTTATACATAAGTTTATTTTTAAAATTTTGGCTGCACTGGGCCTTCATTGTAGCACGTGGGCGTCTCTTGTTACAGAGTGCGGGGTTAGTTGCCATGTGGCACTGACCAGGGATCAAACCTACATCCCTTGCATTTGAAGGTGGATTCTTAACCACTGGACTACAGGAAAGCCTTGAGCTGATTGTGTCTGAATGGGAAAGAAAGTGAGGGATAGATTAACACAGATACAGAAATTGTAGAGGGTTCTTAGATCAGGAACACTGAAAGAGTTTTGTGCATGGTCAGGACTGGCTAAGATAACACTGAACTGAGTTAAGAAAATGAATTTTAAAAATAATGTACAAAACCTGTTCTCTAAGAGGACAAGATTTTCTTAACATATTGAACTGCTTTTGATAATTGTGCGTTTCCTTAAATGATCTGTATTTGTCATTGAGATACTTTTTTATCACTGGTTAAAACTTTTGATATTTTTGACAAACTGCCCAAAGATCAAATTCTAAATGAAGTTCACGGGACCTCAAGCTAAGTTTGAGGCTTTCCAAAGGGTCCCTGGAATACCTCAAATTATTTTCTCTATCTCAGAGGAATATCAAGCTAATTAAGCTTGTTTGGTATGTTAAACTACATAAGAAGCATTGTAAAATAAATGGTGATGAAATCGATTGTATCATAGAACTTCTTAGATTGTATCTATGGGTAAATGTTAATTATATACATTTTAGAAATTATGTGAAATTCCTAAAATTCTGGCATATCCTGGTAAATGATAATAAGTCATAATTTTAGTAATTATCTTAAATTGTATGTCACAGCAGTAGCCAAGTGTCTTTTCATCTGCTTTGTAATCCTAATTGGTTGATGCCAAAGCAAAAAAGCATCTTTTTAATAGTTAGAGATGAGCAATTGCTATTTATGGCTTTACGGTGGCTTTTCAATGACTTTGTAGCTGTACTGGGGCTTCCCTGGTAGCTCAGTTAGCTGGAAAAGAATCCGCCTGCAATGCAGGAGACCCCAGTTCGATTCCTGGGTCAGGAAGATCCATCCCCTGGAGAAGGGATAGGCTACCCACTCCAGGATTCTCGGGCTTTCCTGGTGGCTCAGTCATTAAAGAATCTGCCTGCAATGCAGAGACCTGGGTTGGGAATATCCACCGGAGGAGGGCACGGCAACCCAATCCAGTATTCTTGTCTGGAGAATGCCCATGGACAGAGGAGCCTGGTGAGCTACAGGCCATGGGGTCGCAGAGAGTCGGACGTGACTGAGCGACTAAGCACAGCACACATACCTATTTTGTGAAGAAGCAGGATTTCATCAGGTTCAAATAGTTGTAGATAAAAAAAAGAAGATTGATTAGAGATTCTAAGAATATTCATCACCTCCATTCAGGCTAAGAAGTAGCCTGAACCATCTTCATCCTTTTTCCCACAGGATTCTGGAACTGACATTGACACTGGGGAACTGTAATAGAGAAGAACCTTTGTATTCTATTACAAATTAATCACTAAAGGGATATTGCCTCTAAACTTAAATTATACATAAATGGCTCATTTCTGGGAACCCTGCCTCCCAGCTAATGAGCATTAAGGTAAATACCTTTGTTCAGCTCACAGGAAACATCCTGACCAGGCCCACCTGTGAATGACTGCAGGCAGAAAGTAACTAACACGTTCTCTCCAGCGGCTGGCCGGAACCAGGAAAGGTTTGATTTTATTCCCTTCCCTTTTAGTATAAAAGAAGCCTGAATCCCAACTCTGGCAAGATGGTTCTTTAGGACCCAAATCTCCCATCTCCTTTCTTGGTCTGCTGGCTTTCCAACTGAAGTTGCTGTTGCCCCAACAACTGGTCTCTCAGTTTACTGCCCTGTCTTGCAGCAAGCACTGCGAGCTTGCACTCGGTAACACAACCAATAGGCTGACACCCCAAAGGCTGGGAGACGCCTGGGGAATGGCATCGTTGGAAGCTCATTCTCTGATGGTCTGGCCTGGATCCAGGAAATCTGAGGACAAGGGCACCTGACCGGAGTACCTCCATTATTCTGCACTTTGTTTTTTAGCTTAATGATTTATCTTGACACTCTTTCCAGATCAGTCAATAGGAAGCTACCTTAATCTCTTTTGCTATAGCTGCATATGGTATTCCATTGCATTGGGTGTACAATTTATTTAACTAGTCTCGCACGGTTGCTCATTTAGGTCGTTTCTGGTCTTTTGCTGGTACAAACGGGTCTGCAATGAATGGTGCTGTCCAATGTGTCATGTTTGTAGATAAATATTTGTTAGTGGACTGCCTGCTCAAAGAGTGTAAACAAAATTTAATTTCCCTTCATAAGGATTGTATAGCTTAAGCTCCACCAGCACTATCTTGTTTTTCTACAGTTATCAATGGTGTGTAATCAAAGCTTTGCATTTTTGCCAGTGAGAATCAAAATGGGTTTTCCGGGTTTTTATTTTGTGCTTCTTATTTCATTTCCATATTTCAGAACTTACATTTTCCTTATTAGAAAGATTAGATTAGCCCTTTTCTGGGATATTAGTGCAAATATTTCCTGGTTGGCTATTTGTTTTAACTATTTTTTGTTTGTTTGTTTACTGCTATACAGAAGTCTTTATTTTTATGGCATTAAAATGATCAGTGTTTTTGTGACTTCTATGTCTTGAGGCACAATTTGAAAGGCCACCACAACTCCAAGATTATAAAGGAATTCTCCCATATCTTCTCATTTATTTAGTTTCATCATTTATATTTATATTCATTTTGAACTCATCCTGGTATAAGGTGTGAGATGTGGCTCCAACTTTAATTTTTAGCTGGCTACCCAGTTGTACCAATATCATCTGTTGTGGTGGTTTAGTTGCTAAGCTGTGTCTGACTCTTTGGGACCCCATGGACTGTAGCCTGCCAGACTCCTCTGTCCATGGAAATCTCCAGTCAAGACTACTGGAGTGGATTGCCATTTCCTCCTCCAGGGGATCTTCCCAACCCAGGGATTGAACCTGTGTTTCCTGTTTGGCAGGCAGATTCTTTACCCATCGTTTGTTGACTTGTTCATTTTTACTCCACTGATTTGAGGTGCCAGCTTTATTAAGTACTAAATTCTTCTATGTACTTGGGTCTATGGACTTTCTAGTCAGTTCCAAACAAATCTTTTCTGCTGATATTATTAAGGCTTTATAATTTAGTGCAACTAGTCCCCTCTCATTGCTCTTTTTCAGCATTTTTCTATTTTTGTTTTTCCAAATGAATGACAGTTTACTTATTTACAGTAGTATTTATGCTGGCTTTTAAAATTTGGTGTTCCTTTAAAATGTTATTGATGATATTGTCATAAACTGTGTGTGCTCTTTCTAGAATAATGTGTACTCCCTGGATCCTTTGTAGTTTTATACTTGTCACCCCTCTGAGGTAATTTTTTAAAAATCTTTTGGTTAAGTAACTAGACTGCTTCGCATCTCAGTGGCGGTACTCTGATCTTCATTCTGTCAAGCAGGCTCTACAGCTGTGGCATGCGGGCGTGGTCACTCCTTGGCACGTGGAATCCTAGTTCCCCGACCAGGGATTGAACCCGGGTCCCTTCATTGCACAGTGGATTCTCAACCACTGGACAACCATGGAAGTCCCCCGCTGAGGCCATTTTGAGCCAGATTTACAATGATTGGAATCCACGTTGTTCACAGCATGACTGGATACTAGACTTCATGCTGGTTTTAAAGGTCTGAATCAAATTTAGAGAATCATAAATTAATTCTCTGAGTATTAGTACTTGAAAAAAGTGGAAGTTGCTCAGTCATGTCTGACTCTTTACGACCCCATGGACTGTAGCCTACCAGGTTCCTCTGTCCGTGGAATTCTCCAGGCCAGAATACTGGAGTGAGTAGCCGTTCCCTTCTCTAGGGGATCTTCCCAACCCAGGGGTGGAACCTGGGTCTCCTGCATTACAGGCGGATTCTTCACTGTCTGAGCCCCCAGGGGAGCATTAATACATGAATTTTCATCACATGATTTGTAGGTTGCTTTTCAGAACACAGGCTGTAAGGAAAAAGGTCTTATGCTGCCCTATATGGACTTCTTACTGCAGAGCTACTGTCATTGGCAAACTGAAACTGTAATAACTTCCTCTCCAACATCCCTGGGTCATCCTAGAAATGTCAAGAGTCAGACAGAGCTGGTAACTAGTGGGCAGGCCACATCATTTAGTAGCTATTAACGACACCCATAAAAGACTCCGTTTTACCAGGCACAACCCACCAACTAAAGGGAGTGGGAACACCCAAGGACATCAGGGAAGTTGGAAAAGGAAGTGAGAAGTTGGTCTGTGTCCCTGGAAACGTGGACTTAATGACTAGGTCAATTTATTGTATTGACTCGATGTCCAGGATTCTCTAGTCATGTGCTATCTGTAGATCAGTCTTTAGGAGTGTCTTATAGTCCCTTCTAGAAATTGAAGTAAAAAAGTCACTGAAAATTAACCATCTTAAAGTGAGCATTTCAGTGGCTTTTATTTTGACTGTGCTGGGTCTCAGTTGCAGCATGTGGGATCTAGTTCCCTGACCAGGGATCGAACCTGGGCCCCCTGCATTGAGAGCATGGAGTTTTAGCCACTGGACCACCAGGGACTTTTGGTATAGTCACAGTGTTGTGCAACACCCACCTACTTCTGTCAAGTTCCAAATCATTTCTCCAGCAAAACACCATACACATTAAGCAGTTACTTCTCATTTCCTACTCCTTCCTGCTCCTGGCAACCACTAATCTTTCTACCTACATGGATTTCTTTAGTCTTGATATTTCCAATGAATAGAATCACACAATATGTGACCTGCTGTGTCTAGTTTCTTTCACTCAGCCTGTTTTCAAAGTTTCAGTCACATTGTACTGAGTTGATCAAAAAGTTTGAGTTTTTCTGTAGGATGTCACGGAGAAGCCTGGATGAACTTTTTGGCCAACCCAGTAGCTATATTCCCTTTTTGAACAAGTGAGCATGTCTCACCTGTGGATGAATGAGTGTTTAAGAGAATGAGTTAAACCTAGGGCAGGGTGGAGGCTCAAAATGGGAATCAGTGTATCCAAGGATGAAATTTTGGCAGAAAGAAATTAGAGCTTTATGCTTGGTCTGAAATGCCTGTACCAGATTCTCTATGTACTTGGGACTATGGGCTTTCTATTCTTTTCTGTGTATGTGTGTGCTGGATTGTAAGTTCTTAAGGCTTTATAATTTAGTGCAGCTAATCCCCTCTCATTGCTTTTTCAGAGTTTTTCTGTTTTTGTTTTGTACCAGATTCTCCTAGTCTGATTTCTTTTTGTTCAGTTTTAAGGGGACTGTGAGCTGCTTTTGATGTGGTGAGGTGTTCAGCTTGACATACAGGAAGTATTCAATAAATGCTCTCATAAATGCAATTAATTAAGGTCAATTATTGTCTTGATTTCCTTGAGTTTAGGGCTTCTCTGGGAGACAGCAGAGGAGAGTGGTCAAGTTTGGGGGCACCAGACCAGTCACACGGGTTCAAACATCTAATCTCGGGCTTCTCACTTATTAGCCATGTGATCTTTAGCAGGTAATGCCCTGTGCTCCAGTTTATACTTAATGGAGCAATTTAAAGGATTGTGAAATAACTAAGGTAAAACACCGAATACAACGTCTTTAACACACTGAGTGGTCAATAGATGTTGTTATGATTTGAATGGGTCATGTGGCTTTAAAATGTTTTTGAAACTTTTCTCTTGGCAAATTTCCCACAGCATCCTGTTATATATAAGATGGAAAATAGTCCTTATAACATCTAAACATTTGAAGGCACCACTGCAGACACTGAAGGTTTGCTGACCCCAACTATTAAAATCTTAGTTCTTCTTTCAACTTCTCCTTTGAGTCAGGGAGAAAACAAATGAGTAAAGGGACACATACAGATTATTCTCAATCTGTGATATTTAAAAGCTTTCCGTGGCTCAGACAATAAAAGAATCTACCTGCAATGTGGGAGACCAGGGTGTTTAAAAAACACAAAGCACTGTGGTCACTTATGTTGATGGTAGGTGTTTAGATTCTAGGATGACAAGTGTTAGGTTCAGGGGACCCATTTCCTTTTTGCAGGCTGTTTGCCTGACTGAGCCACCATAGACATGGGTTCCTCCTGCAGAGAATCTGCTGATGATGTTAAGGTACATACACGTGTTGGAAACCAACCCACAAAATGCTTAAGCACAACATGTAATGTTCCTATTTCCAATCTATAGGAAAAAAAAAGAGGTGACGCAGAACCCTGAATCCAGTATCCTGTTCTTCTCAAGGGTGGATTCCAATTCAGTTGCTTCCATGCAGCAATGCCCCTACGTCCAGTTTCTCATCTTCCCCAGCCTAACATTTTAAACTTTCTTGTGGTGCCTACAGTTGCAGCAATTATAGATCCACTTAGATTTTAAAAAGCAATGTATCCCTGGATGAGGTCTGTGGGATGGAAATTTTTAGATAAATAAGGGATGTTGAATGTCCTGGTACATGTGAGAATTTTATGGTATTAAGTAGGAGGGAATGTTGAACCTTCTGGTGGAAAGCAGACCTTGTTCTGGGCCCCTGTAGGTGGGAAAGAAGGCAAAGAATGCAGGATAGGTGAGGAGAGGTCAGATTTTCTTTCCAATGGGAAGTTTACCTCAGACCCATCTTTATTCATTAGATATCTTGTTTTCTTTATATATAGATATATAGTGAATTGCACAAAATCAGCTCACTAGGATAAAACTTGACCTTCTTGAATATGGATCCTCTCCTGTTGAAGATTTAATTATTTTGGGGAAACTGTTGTAAGCCAATTGCAAGAGGGGAGACCTTAACATTTCATTCTCCAAAAAAGAGGCAGCAAATAATGTTTATGAATACAATAAACATAGCTCAAAAAAAGAATGATACAACTTTTATTTTCCATGGATTTTAAAGATATTTTTGCTACATAGTTTATGTATTTTTATGAGATTATATTTTTTCATCTGTATGAAGTTCATCCTTACACAATTTTAAGGTGATATGTTTGGTAGTGTATCTATAATCTTTAAAAAGTTTAGAGTTTTTGGAATGTACAGTATATGAGGTAAAATCAAGATTACATTAAAAATTGTTTCTCCTCTGCACTCATTTTGCAGTGAGGCTCAAATGGCAAGTACACTATTAAATGACATTTACTATCAAAAATAGGAGTTCATTTGAGATACTATGAAAAACATAAGCCACTGTAACTGCCACAGTGGCACATTTTACCATTTTAGACATTCAACTATATAGAAATCTCTGGGCTATTACACTCAAACTCATTTGTACTGCCAAATGTGGCACTTTTAAGAAGTTTCTAGAAAACAATCACTGTTTTTGGGGAAGTTATCAGCCTACATATAAGAGATTAAATTTAAATAAAATGTAAACATACAGTATTTTATAGTGACAGATCATTCTTACCACTTGGGAAGGCCAAGTTTATCCATTTCTTTTTTGAACAAAAGTTAATGTTTTTTTTCTACAGCACAGATCATTTGACATAAAACAATTACAATACATGCCCATTCTAACAGAAGAAATTCTTCAGAGATCTTCAAAGCACAAAACATACGTCCTTTTTTTCAAAGACTGACAGAAGTGCTTAGTAATCACTAAAATGCTAACCTCAGCAACTAAAAATTAGTGATTCACTATCCTAAAATTCAAATAATAAATTAAAAAGGCTAGTTACAAGTGTTTTACAGATAACAGATGTGATAAAACAAGAATTTTAGATAGTTTCATTACAAACTGTATTATTACTGGCAGTCATGGACATCTATGCAAGATGTAAAATGTGATACTTTACAAGATTCAGTCTGATCATCCAATAACTCACAAATGCAAGCTCACAAAACATTAATGAATTATGTAATTGCAAAGTGCTCTAATGCAACATTAACCACATGCAATCAACAACTGGAACAGTATCCAAACAGACATTACATTAAACATTAGTTTTTCAAGAAAGAAAGCAGCTTGAAGTTTACTGGTGCAAATTAATTTTGTCTTCAGATTTGGTGCCCCAAACAAAAAGGTTAGGTTTGATTATGAATTCTGATGGTGATGGCAGTAGTTATGGGAGAAGCAGCAAAACTTATGGGAGTTCTTCAAAATTAGCCTATACCAGATAGATGGAGTGAGAGTGTATGTGTTTGTGTGTATATATATTATATATATATATTTCTACACTTGGTATATATAAAGCCATATGTACGTGCATGTCCTTATACACACACATATAGTTCAAAGGCTCAAAAATCAAATAAGTTTGAAATTCAGAACTGATTATGAAGTACTTTTAAAAAGTTAACTATCTAAAAGCCCTCTGTTCTTTTCCATGTTTTCAAGACCTGAAGATGTATTTCTGAGTAAATGTTAAAATATTTTTAGGCCAAGTAAACTGTCTGTGCTTTCTTCAAGTGACTTATCTGTGAATTCATGGATATATACTTGTAATGAAGAACTCCACATTTATCAAACAAGAAGCTTTTTTCCATGCATATTCTTTCATCCAGTTTTTGTCTGCTAAGCCCCTCCAGTTATTCATCATAATCCCACTTACCAAATTAAGACAAATGAGGAGGTAGAAATATAGCACTAGATTGCTTTCACAGCATCATCATACTTAAACATTTTTATATAGTATGTTAGTGTGAATTTTAACCATTCTGAATTTTTCACCAGGTAATAATCTTTAGAACAAACAGATCAGGATGTCACTGTTATACTCATGCCGACTGGTCAAAATATCAATTATAATTTGTATTGTTGCCTCTCAGAAATTTTGTTTCACAAGAAGGCATGTCAAAAAAAAGAAAGAAAGGAAGGAAAAAAAAGAGCCCCAACCAAACAAAAAGCCAAAAATTGCTATTTCTGTGGCTTGCATTCTAATAAGGTGCCAGCCTCTACCTAGCAATATAAAGCATTAAAAATGGCCAAAATGATGTACTAGAGTCTCAATGCCAGTGCTAAATGCCACTGTTTTTGTAAAAGCAATACAGAAATAATTTTAGTACATGACAAAATAAAATGTAATATTAAAAATAAAGTTATATTTTCACTTGATTACAAAGTACTGGATGATAAAGGCAATCAAAATGGAAAAGAACGCAAAGAGCACGAGGATGACGGCCGCGCACTGCTCGTCGCTGAGTGCCCGCCCGGGCCTCGAGCCTCCCACAGTGTCTCTGCCGGCGCTGGCTGGTGGTTCAGTCCTCTGGGAGATGAAGAGCACTGTGGTGCTGTAGGGACCGACGAGGTCCTGATGCCCCGCAGGGTCTTGGCACTGGCGAATGGCACACACGCGGAAACGATATTCACAGTTCAGCTGAAGGCTTGAATACCGGAATGAAGAGTCAGGACCTCTGTAAATCTGACAGTAAGACACGAGGGAAAGAAGAATTGTATGTGAAGGCTGGGTAGAAAATCTGTTAAAATTGGCTAGGTTTAGAGTTATTTTTGACATGGATGCTTGTGACAGCCACTGCCTGGCTCTTTTAAATGAGATTTTAAAATACCTATATGTTAAAGAACTCAACTGTCTGCTGTATAATTGCAGGGGAAATCTGAAGAGTCAGGGTGTGCCATCTCCCCTCACAGAGCCTACAGAGCAGCTGGAGAAGGAAGAAGTGCCCCCAGAGTGGCTACAGAATAAGCACGATCGGCCCACAGGCGCCTCTCTGGTTTCACCAAATGTACGAAGTCAAACTTTGTGAAATCATTCCATGAAGAGAGGGACAGTGTCTGATCTTCCTCTCCCATGGTATCTTTGTAAAACTGGTTTTCTTTAATGTTTCAAACAGATGTGATGAATGAAATAATAAATGAAAAAGGAGAGCTTGCTGCAGGTGTCTGTGGCAAATCATTTTATAAACTTCAAAATGAGAGATCACTTAGAACCATAGAATTAGATCTTAAAACCCAACTCTTCTGCTCAATCCCCCAAAAGGGCAATAACAAGAATGGAATTCCACATATTTTCAAAGCAGAGGGCTAGTGACTGCAGGGACTGGGCTCCGAGCTCTGCTCTACCCCTGCACATGCCGTGATGGTGTGATAGTAGTCGTCCTGTATGGTAATTATGAGAATGAAGTAAACTAATGTCATGGCACTTCTTAGCACAGTGCCCAGCATATATCGAGTGCTCAATATATGGAAGCTCTCACTTCCATTACTGAATCCCTTCACTCATTCTCTGAATGAAAAGACCAAGACTCAATGGTTTCCCAGTTGAGTCTCCCCAGCTAGCTGGTGGGTTACAAGTAAGGTCAAGCAATTTTAGCTGCCTTGTTTGTATCCGTGTTATAAATCTAAATTTTTACATACTGGTTTGCTCCTAAATGAGCAAGGTAAGATCTTTCCCTCAATTCTGTGTCTCCAGCATATAACAGGTACTTATTAATAAAAGGCCACAATATTAGTATTCACTATGTATATATCAAAATGTGTATTGGTAGATACTGAAAAGATATACAAATGAATTTTTATTGAAAAATCAGTCTTTAAAAAATGCTGAATATGCCTTAGTCCTGAAGATGCAGATGAGCATTTCAGGGAGTGGGAATGTAGAAATGATTTATGTCTCATAGATGGTAAAAGGATGAACTTAAGTAAATCAGAAGACTGTATTAGAAAGCAGTGTGAAACAATATACATACAATAGGTCAATTTAGTAAAAGTTAAAAAATATGTATTTGTCCTATAGGTACAGTGGATGATACTCATTTTTGCCTTTGAAATTTTCTTTACTTTCCAATTTATCTCCAAATGATCATGATAAAATGATTTAGGAAAAAACCTCAACAAATGGGATGAGGGTGACAGGTGGGGCGATTTGACACCGAGAAGAGGACCATGTTAATACACTAACTGGAAATTAGGTCTAATTCCCCAGGGGCCACTTTACTGTGTGCTATTTAAAGTGTTTAAGGAATTCTGATCATAAGGTTGAGTGAGGGATTGAGGGAGTTGGGCATGACAGGGGCTCTTGGCGATAAAAGCACAAGGTTTCAAGTGAAACTGTTAGTTGCTCAGTTGTGTCTGACTCTCTGCAACCCCATGGACTGTAACCCGCCAGGCTACTCTGCCCATGGAATGCTCCAGGCAAGAATACTGGAGTGGGCAGCTGTTCCCTTCTCCAGGGGATCTTCCCGACCCTCCTGCATTGCAGGTGGATTCTTTACCAGCTGAGCTACCAGGGAAGTGTTTATGGATACCGAAGTGTTTATGATAGTGATAATTGAGGAGGAAAGTGGAGAGAAGAGACTGGGAAGGAAGATGATAAAATCATTTTTTCTTAGATGTTGGGAAGATGTCTAAACAGGGAGACATCCTAGAGGTAACTGTAGATACAGGACTTTGCTGAATGTGATAAGGAAGAGTAAGTTCCCCATGGCAGGCAATGAACACTGAGAGAAACTATGTCCCTGATGACTGCATTAAGCTCCTGGATCAACCTGCCTACCTACAGGCTTCTCTCTAAGAGGATTTATACTTTATACACTAATTTGAATTAATTTTCCTAGTACCTGTAACATTAATGAGTTTGGACACAAGAACTGTTTCAGGTACAGACTCCCAAATGGGAATTATCTACTTTGAAGGTGGTTCTACTGTCCCCCAATATTTTTACTTCACTCTGTTATACCACTTGAAATGCTGCTTTGGTTAAAAAGCACTTGCTTTAAAAAATGTATACACTGCTGGGAGGATCAAAGAGCCAGCAGACGCTTGACTTTTGATATGGATTTTCCCAAGCAAAAAGTTTTTCTCCTAATGCCCATAAGGTCAGTTATACTGTGGAGATGAGAGTTACAATGTATGTGAGGGAGGGAGGCAAGAGTCAGGGCAAGAGTGTAATTTTAGAGAACTAGGCCAAGCCTCGGTGAGGTGCCACAGAGCGGGAAGTCTGGTCAAAGCAAATGACTGATCAAACAGGGCAGAAAAGGTTAGAAGATAAAGAACTCTAAGTGCGGCCCAGGGTCAGAAGTACTGGTTGCTGCCATGCTAATTTGCTTTCAGATCCCCCAAACCAGCAGCATTACAGGTTAAACAGGTCTTTATAGGCTAGCCTAGAAAGTCAACCACCAACTTTTAAAAAAATAATCCCCTACTTAAAAACATCAACAGTTCCTACTGCTGTAGAATAAAGACCCACCAAGACCTGGCCTCCTCCACTCCACACTCCATTCTTGAGCCTTTCTCAAGCCACACTTGAGTCACACCAGCCCCTCAAGAGTCCCTTCAGTGATAATCCTTTTGGAAAACATTCTAAAGTCCAAGGGGAAAAAAACCATTCCTTCTTATAAAGTATGTTTTATCTTTATTATGACCTTTTGTTTGCTTACATAAAATGTCAATTATAGTATTTCTGCTTGCTTGCTAATGTGTAATAAGTGGAAAATAAGAACAGTAATATTAATAATGTAGCCCCCTCTATTTCTTCATATGTAGTATTTAATACATGTGTATTGAATATCAAGTAAATTTTAAGTAAAATATTAAATTCCACAAATGAGATCAAACTCTTAAAAAATGACCTTCAAACTTTTAGAATATAATTTGTCAGTAAATTATAAAATTATATAAACATTTAAGAGATTTAGATGAGCATACGTACATGCATATATATGATGAAGTTCTAAGGAAATCAGTTTTACAGTATGCTTACAATCTAAAGTAAGAGTGTTGATAGGGATAATTTAGCTTTTAAATTAGAATTAGCACTGCTGTTTCATGTAGTGATGTGTTCACATACTACTCAAATGTGGGATCCCTATTTCCTTTAAACATGTAATGCAATTACATTTTCTTTAGTATTAATTTTATTTCTTCCTTGGAAGGAAACCTGCTTATCTGTAAATTATATTCAAATCCAATTATCATGTCAATTTGCAGATGACTTAATAAAGAAAAACCACCACATTCCAAATTTAATCTGACCCTTTGGGGCCTTCTGTAATTTTGGTTAAGAAATTATGCTTCCATATTTAGCGAAACTTGAAAGGAAAAAATTATACCTATATTGAGAAGTAATCTATTATTAATAATTATAACAGCACAAGAATGAAATAAAACAGATGAATGACCGATTTTTCTACTGGGAAAAGAAAATACAAGGTAAGATACTGAATTAAAAACAACCCAGTTTAAAAGCCCTCAAAAATCAAGAAGTTCGACAGCAAAAAGGGAGAAGCAGATGAAATGCCTAAAGAAATAAGGCTTTTGAGTTGCATAAAGACCTCTTTTATAAGTTATAATGAATACTGACAGCTCCTTACTTCATCGACTATTCATTCTCTACCAGGAACCTGTCTTTGAAACTTCTCGGCTGGGAAGGTGATACTTCCTCTAGGCTTCCATACTGCAACTCTGCCCTCTGACTATGACTATTACCAACATTGTCAAAGTCACCTCAGTGGTGTCTCTGCATCTGTCCTCATCCTACTCTGGTCACAATGACCTTGTGCCTGATCATGTGACTACTCTGGTCACAACCCTCCACTGGCTTCTCATTTCACGTGGAGTAAATGCTGGAGCGTGGCCTATAACACCCTGCATGACCTCCATGCTGCTCACAGACCCTCCAAGATTAACTCCCTGACATCATCTATTATTCCTCCCCTTGGTCACACTGCCCCAGCCACAGTGACTTCTTGTCATTAAATTTAACAAGCATGCTCCTACCTCAGGGCCTTTGCACCTACTGTTCCTGCTTTTTGGAACACTCTTCTCCCCATATTCACTTCCTTTGAGTCTCTGTTCAAATGTTACCTGCTGTCCTGTATGAAACAGCACTAGCTGTCCCTTGTCCTAGTACTCCCTACTCCTTTTATCCAGTTTTATTTTTTCTCCATTATGCTCATCACTATCTAACACTGATACAGTGATGTGTTTATCTGCTTTTAGTATCTTTTTTCTGCATTCTAGAATGTAAGCAGCATGAAGGCAAGGACTTTTTGTTACATGCGTATCCTGAGTGCCTGGCACAGAGTTCAATAAAGCCTATCAAATGAATGAATACTCTGTTTAAGTACAGCTCATACCTAAAAGATTTTGAATGCTGATATACTGTGTAGTTACTAATCTTTGGAACACAGTAAGCAATGAACAAATGTTTCTGAATTAGGAAGATAAAGGTTAGTCAAATCTTGTACTAAAAATACGTTAAAGTGAAAAAGGTAAAAACATGTATCTATAGAATTATATTTTGACACATACCTGTTTGAACTCTGAATCTTTTCCCACCATAACCTGGAGACTGTAAATAACTGGATCACCTTTCATTGGCTGTAAACACTCCCATGTAATATCACAAATGTGATCATTTACTTTCTCTATTTTGGGGGCTGTAGAGAAGAAATATAAATAAAATCTGCTTGACTTGATTTTTCACTTGACACATCACATACTTTTGTTTTAATCAAAATCAACAGACTTTAAAACCTAGTTATAAACTTGAAGCAAGCATCAGTGAATTTTTGAAATCTGCAGAGAAATGGTCAATGGCTAACTCTTATATCCTCCAGGCCATACAATCTATAAGCATTACAGTGCAGACTGATTAAAAGATTTGTCAAGATAAGTACTGTTTTCACTGAGCTAAAAAGCTAGTGGTAGTTCTACAACATCTTTTATGGTACTTCAAAGAGCATAACTACATGAAATTTTATAATTTAAGAAATTTCCTAAGAGAATGAGTTGAAAAACACCCCCAACTTCCTGACCACACATATGACTCAGTAGTGGGGTAGAAGGTATCAAAACCAGCAATCTTCTTAAGGTTAAGAGACAACCAAACCAGATGAAGAAACAGAAAAATAACTCTGTGAAATCCATTAACATTATTAGAAGGAGTATTCAAGAATAATCTTGATATTATGGGTCGTTAACAGATGGTACATGCAAGTATATGATCCAGGACACTGTACTAGAAGTGTTTGTGATTTGTCCTCAGAGGGAAAGGAATTTTAGCTTTTTCTTGGCTAAATGCACAAAGTGCAATACTTGCCAGGGTCACTTTAAAATAAGAATTCTGCTGAAATTAATCTTAAATATATAACACACGCACAAATGTGTGAATGTGTATGTAAATTTGACTTAAAAATTCAAATTAACTGAGTATTTATGTTTTGCTAAATAGATGACCTGACTTTCCCCCTGAAATCCAAATGAATGAAATAGCAATGACTCAAAACAACAAGAATTTTGATTTTTTTTTTCTTTAATAATAGTGAAAACGGTAAATGGCCCTATTAGAAAACCAGCCTATTTATTCAATTTAGTATGTTTATTTAAAAGATGAGTGACAAAAAACAGCACTGTCTGATTATCAATATGCCAGAAAAAATAGCTTTTATTATTAAGTGAAACCCCAAGTAGGCCTGTCTAGCTCATTTCCTTTTTATAATTTGAATGTTAGACACATACTAGATGATAAATTTTAACTGTACAAAAAGTACATTATGAAAGAGCACTTAAGATTAATTTACTATTAAAGCAAGTAACTTGAGGATGGAGAACTTACCTTTCAGGGCAGCTGGGACAGATTTTGGAGTAGTGAAAATATATTCTTGGGAAAGAGGACCTTCCCCTGCTTCATTACAAGCTTGAATACAGAATTTATAGGACGTTGACTCGTTAAGTCTTTGTACTTTGTATGTATGACATGGACCTCTGTATAAGGATACAAACCTAAAATGGAAATGACTTATGAAAAATAAACCTTGGCTACCTTATGAAAAATGTTTAAAAACCACTAAAAAAGAACAGTTCAGACATTATTTAGGAGCAGTAAGTTACTCCTAGAATTTAATGCCACAATGGTTTGTCACTCAATAAATCCTATTTTTCATCAGATGAAAATCACAGAATTAGTTAATTTCCCAATTTGCCATAGTTTCCTGAAAATTTATTGCAAAATTTCACATCCAATCACAGTAACTGTTTCTTTTCAGGCTTCTGGTATAGCTTCTGACTGCTGTTTTTGAATGTATACATCTTAAAAGACACTCAGAACATCACAATTTTCATTATCAATTGTTTCTAACTAGAGTTACAGGCATACAGTTTGTCACATAAAAAAGAAAGTTCCCTTTCCTAGGCATAATTTTAATTGATTTAGTGAGGTTTTCTTAATGTTTACCTAAAAGTATGAGATAACACTGTATTTAATTTCCCATAAATTATCCACTTGAACTGTTCAATGGAAAGTTTAGTGTCAGACTGTGGATCACAATAAACTGTGGAAAATTCTGAAAGACATGGGAATACCAGACCACCTGACCTGCCTCTTGAGAAACCTGTATGCAGGTCAGGAAGCAACAGTTAGAACTGGACATGGAACAACAAGGTGTTCATTGGAAGGACTGATGCTGAAGCTGAAACTTCAATACTTTGGCCACCTCATATGAAGAGTTGACTCTTTGGAACAGACCCTGATGCTGGGAGGGATTGGGGGCAGGAGGAGGAGGGGACGACAGAGGATGAGATGGCTGGATGGCATCACCGACTCAATGGGCATGAGTTTGAGTAAACTCCGGGAGGTGGTGATGGACAGGGAGGCCTGGCGTGTTGCGATTCATGGGGTCACAAAGAGTCGGACACGACTGAGCGACTGAATTGAACTGAACTGATGTCATACATATGCTGAATGTTCTCCAAATTTTTAATTGGCTGTTTTAAAAATTTTTGGAAATTGAGGAATGAATAATGAATACTCATGTAGTTCTAACAGTCTGAAAATTGTAGTTAGTTTAAAATGAAGGAATACTTAATGATCATTAGTAACACTGTTTCCAAGAAGTAGTAATTGGATAGCCTTGCCTTTTGAATCTCCTTTTTTTTTTTTTTAAAACTGAGAGGATTAAAAAAACCAGTGGCAAAGCCACTGTTGTAAAAAGCTGAACCATGATAAAACACCTGTGGTCAGGGAACAGATGAGGTAGCATTCCGACACGATCCCACAACAAATGTGAAGAGTTGTGAAAAATCAAAGGAAAGAAAAGATATTAAATTGATTTAATTTATGAAATTCATGTGGTAAATTTACAATATCATAAAACACTTTATTTTCCACAAAGACCATAAGCCATACCCCATACCCTGCAACAGTTCTCTAGATGCCAGCTAAACATTAATCATGCTTAAAGTTCTACAATAGAATATAGACTAATATCATCTATACTTCATAGAATCTTGGTTCTATTATTTTTCAACCAAATACCAATTAAGTCTGTTTCTAGTAAATCTTGCATGACCCTAAATGTAAATCAATTAATTCACCTAACAATAACAACATATATTAAAGATAAATGTCTATACCAAAAACGTGCAGCAAGGCAAAAAATTTACTTCCAGATGTAAGGTTACAAAGAGTACATAAAATTCTGCCAGGAGCAAAGGCTAATATTCAGAGAGGCACAGATTTCAGGAGATAAATGATCAATACTATCTGCTCTGTGTAATGCTCTTATGATTGATACAGGATGTTTAATTCTGTATGCTATTTTAAATGTGTAATTATTTCTGATAGAAAGTACTGATATACAAGTACCTTGAGTATTCCATTGTTGAATATTTGGCTGACATACAAACCCAATGCAAAAAAACAAAGTAGCCTTGGGAAAAACTGTCACTAGTACTCTATCAGACACACAAATTTATTTCTAACAAACTGAGTGAAACATAAAAAACATAAACAAAACAAAATTCTTAGAAGATTAAAGTAACAACTGGGGAAGATATATGGCATTGTTTATTTTTGATTTAATATCAATATACTGCCCCAGATTGGATTTTGAGTAATTTGCACTAATTACTTTGAGTAACACTATAATTCAAATGCATGATTTAGTGGAATAAAACAGCACGCATGTCATGAGATGGCAAAGGACAGCAGAACAGAGAGGAACCTGAGTAGCCAGGGGCTGGACTATTTATTAGAGGGTCTAAGATCTGATGGTGAGGAAGTGAACTCCTGCATTCACATGATGTGCACGCCCTGTGAGAGTGTGGGGGAGGGTGAGATATAACCCTCAAGGATCTCAAAGGCCTTATGCCAATCAACTGTTTACTGTAAAAACTGCCTCTTGCTGGAAATCAGCATTGAAGAACTTATTTTGCAGTAAAGATTGTTCCTTTTACTAGCTTGAAGAGAGTGAATGGGTTAGACAGCCAAAAACCAGCTTCCCTATTATTTTCTCTCTTCACTATGTCTTCTGATGTTTCAAAAATGGCATACTTAAAAATTATTTCTTATGAGACTTCTGTTTTTGAAAACTTAATTTATTTCTAGTGTTTAAAAAAAATTTATATACTTAATACCTAAGAAACTATATAAAGAAGCAATTAGAAACACCCACCTTCCATTCTTATCCTCCATCTGAAGGTGGTACTGAACCGAATCTGTTGACAATGTCTTTGGGGTTCCTTCTCCCCACTTCAGTTTAAGGTTCTGGTGGCTGAAGGCAACGCATTCCAGACGAGGTGGATCAGGAGGGAGGGGTTTAGTTTTTAATTTTATTGTGTGGCTGAAAGGACCAGCTCCAAGGCTATTCAAGGCTTGAATTCGTATTCTAAGTGCCATGTTAAAAACAAACAAACAAAAAAAAAAACGTTTAGTTTATGATTATTCTATTTAGTGTCTCTCTGGTCTAGGCAAAAATTAAGATAGTTTTTGCTGTGTACCTGTATGTTGTATCTGGCTGCAGATTGTCTAGAATGTAGTTTGTAACCTTTCCCACTGTCAAGGGCTGTTTATCTCCAAAGTCTATGCTGTAGGCAAGGATTTCTGAACCATGATCACAAGGCTTTCCCCAGCTTATTGCAAGGCATGTAGATGGTGAATAATTGGGATTTTCTATATCATCATCACTTATTTCTTGAAGACAAGTCACAATAGCAGGAACTGATGGTGGAGTCATACAGGCTACTACTTCACTAAAAGGGCCTGCACCCACAATGCTCAGAGCCTACAAATTAAGAGAGCCCCAAAGTTAAAGACATAATCATGCAAATGCTCACAAAACACAAAACTCTAGATAGGGTGACAAGACCCTAACCACCTTTACCTGGACTCTGCAATAATAGGTAGTTGCTGGTGAAAGTCCTTTTAATTCGTAATTGAGACCGGGCCCGCAGTAACATATCTGCATACTTCCTTCAACTCCTCCCCATTCCAATCGATATTCAGTGACATCAGTTCCATTACTCAAAGGGACCTTAAAGTTAAGAAAAGGGGATAAAGTCTTTTGTCTTAAGTTCTGATAATGATTACATAGTTTTGGGGCAAAAATGTTATTTACCCAAACATGTAAAAAACTGAACTGTTTTTGGATGTCTAAAAAAATGTTTAACAGAATATAAACTGTTTAATATTATATTTTTATTCATTAAGGCCACCTGAATTAAAGATCTATCAAAAATATAACTGTTTTCAATCAGACATAGAAATATGATTCAATCACTTAAGAGTATCTTAAGGTAAATATACTTTAAAATAATTCTGTTAAGTAATATACATGTTAAATCATATGAGGATATTTTCTTTGTTAAATTTCAAAGGAAACAGAAAATGTAATCATCATTATTGATTACTACTATATGCAGTAAGTATATGGAAGATAATGAACATGAGAGAAAGAGTACACACTAATTCCTATGAATGTTTGTTCTGAACATTAAGTGCACCATGGCTAAATATCTCAGTACTGAGATGGGGCACCATCATCAACAAGAATCTAAATACTTGTAAACATATACCTTATTTAAATACTTCAAAGAGAAAAAAGAATTTACTTTTTACCAAGTGAATTTAACTAGGACTTTACTCTTTATATAATTTATGGAGATGAAATGAGCAGTATCTTCATTCTTTTATGTAAAATTATTTTAATCATTTAAAGCAAATATAAGTGAAGGAAATTACAATACCTCCCAGTTCACTTGTGCACAAGTTGCAGATCTGCACGTCACTTGAGGGGGCTTACACTGATCTGGTGGTCCAGGAGCTGTAGTAATATCATGTTTTTCTGAAAATGGCCCAAACTAGAAAAACAAGTATTAATCAGTGTTTTCATTTTTCACCTACCAATTGCACAGCTCTCCATAAATATTCACAGATAATTAATCATCCCTTTCCTTTAAGACTAATTAGTCATAATAAAATTCTCCTAAAAGAAATCACAGAAAGTAAAGATTTAATTAATGATCATGGAAGTAAATATCTGAGGTATTTTAAAGTTTCATTTACTATAGTTTCTTCTCTTGCCCCTTATTCCTTCATGAATTGGTTTTTTGTAAGAAGGGAGGGGAATTCAGGAATTAGGTCGAATAAAAAGAAGAAATCATGTCAAGAGTGAAGAAATGAATACCAATTAAAGGCATGAGAGATTATAGGCATAAATTATAACTTAAGTAATAGCTTTAGTAGGGTGTAAAAATGCATTCTGTGAAAATATAGGGAACAAATATTTACTTAAGATGATTCTGACAAGTTATTAAAAACCTGAAAACACAGATTATAGACACTAGTATTAAAGATGCTATCCCATGTATTGCAGCTTTGTGGGGCTGACAAGATTATCAGAGTTTACTAAAATCTGAAACAATGGGGAAAGACTTGTCAGTTTAATTTCATGAAATTTTAATTATACTGTGTAGTTTAAGAAATACAGTGCTAACTCAAAATCAGAAGTAACTGGCTGGTCCTCAGAGAACTTTTATTTCAGAGATGAAAGATGTCACAGTTGAGCAGAAAGGGTTTTGGCTCCAAAGTCGGACAAAGTGACTGATGTCTCCCACTTTTTAGTGTGTGTGACTGCTGGGGCAAGGAGTTTAGCTTTCAGGTGCCCCAGCTTCCTCAGCTATAAAATGGAGATATCACCTATTCTGTCCACTTTATGGAGTTATACAGATACAGAGATAATTAAAAACAAACAAAAAAAAATACACAAAACCAGAAATGCTTAGAATATAAGTTTTTTCCCTTAGGCAAAAAAAATGAATCACGAGTAGTTGTCAACTGGAAATAAACACTGCGTACAACCAGCCTCAAAACACTTACTTACTCTTAAGTATTTCCTCTTATGATCATGTTTCTACTCTTCTTACTAAGTAAACTCCATCAGCACTGCCTGAAAGGCTCAGCTCAAGTTCAAAGTGTCATATATTAGTAATTGGAGTTTTAAAGTACTGAGATTCTGTAACAGTTAAGCTATGGTACATACTGACTTCTCATTTATCAACAGACGCTTATTAAAAATTGTAAAATTTGGAGTCACATGTTGAAAGCAAAATGGTCAAATAATGGGCACAATGACAGGTTGTATGAAATACTACTGGGATTTATAATTCAGTCAGCTCGGTTTTCCTACCCCCATTTTGTTAGCTGCACGTAGTCTGAAGCTGTAAGTCTTTCCAGGAAGAAGGCTGCTCACTGTACATTCTACTTCAGGACCTTGGTAAACTTCTCTGGGTTCATCTCTTTCTACAGGAGACATTTCCACCCCATAGCAAGAAATGGGTGATCCACCATTGACCAGAGGGGGTCCTAAAGGTGGAAAGATTCACGCAGTTAAACAAGAGGAATATATTTAGTACCGACTTAATTATAATTTATTACCAAAATGAAAATTACCCCATCGTAACTGTATTTCTTTTGCTTTGGGTCTACCCTGTAATCTGGGAGGGAGGCATGGGCCAGGAGGCACAGCTGGAGTCTGCACAAGTAAAGATTCAGATACCTGCCAAAACAAAAGCAAAAACAAAACAAAAATGCCCCAAGCCAAATAATCAGACTGCTTTTTGTTAAAGGAAAATAAGACAAACACAAAGATGGCACCAATAATTTGCATCTGAGTATCAAAAGAAAAGGAATAAAGTTCTGAATAAAATAAAATCTAATTAAATCATTAAAACAAATTTTACACAGGCAAGTATTACGTGCTTACTAGATATAAAGTTACCAGAAAAACAAAAAAACAACACAACAAACACCAAAAAAGAATTCTTTTCTTCTTTCCATAATTAAAAAAAAAAACCTCCCTCATAACCTAATGGACATTATTTTTGGTGTCCAAATGGATCTACAAATCTCTTCTAAAGAAGAATGTTTAACATTCTATAAATGCTGTTTGCTGTGTTTTTAGGAGGTTTAGACTATTTTGCCCACTTGACTGTATTTTCAACCTAAACGCTAATATTAACAAAAATCTTTTCTTTCACCCTAAAAATAGTTTAAAGATCAGATAAGTGTTCGCAAGTACTTGGCATCTTTCTAGGTATTTGGTATTAGTTTTCATTTCTATGCTACTTTTAATTTTAAATAAAATAGCTTAAATAAAAATAAAATAGTTTAAATAAAAGTTTATTTTAATAAAACTTTTAGTTTTATTTTAAAAGAAATTCTCTTAAAAGCACTGACACAAACTCAGTGCTATATTCATTATCTGCACTGTATTAAATTGGATCCAAAGCCTGTTGTGTATGACTTGCAACTCAATTTCACTGTACTCTCATTTTCAACAAAATGCTCCTAATTCATTAAAAAAAAAATTACTTTCATTGCATTAAATCTCATTTGAAAAAAATAACAATTATGAATGCTCTAAGATACATTATTGGTTGAATTCATTAAAAAAATCACTCCTATTAAAAAACATTATACTTTTCCAGAGTATTACAAATGTCTCATATATAATCAATGGCACATTTAAATCCATTTCTGTCTCTAGTAAGAAATAAAATAATTGCCAAACTTTTCTGAAATAAGTGTATATTTAGAATTTGTGTCTAAATAATTATTTTGTTTCTATTTCTGTTAGGTAGGGTTAATTGAGCATCATTCTAAAATTTATAAAATTTTCTACAATGTTTTTGTATACCTATTTTCTCCAAAGCTAAACAGCAACCAGACAACAGATATTCACTACAAGCTAAATACTGCATTAAGCTAGTCTGGTCACTAAAAATTTAACCACCTGGGTTATACATTTTATGGATGTACTTCAATATTTGAGGTGGCATCTGATGATTTCATCTCACTTGACCAAACTTGAGAAAAACAATCTACACGTAAGTATTACCGCACTCTGTCCTCCATCACTGATGCAGTAAACTCGAAAACGATAGAAACAGCCTGGATTCAGTCGATCACAAAGATGTTCCCTAGTAGCTCCACTGTATATCATATCCCATTTGTTTCCTGTAAGATGGAAAAATTATGCTCCATCAGCGACAAGGTAATGTTTAACATTTTGGTATCATGGACGTGGCAGGTATCCTAGCTTCACTAAGTACGAATTTATGTAATTTGTCAGAAACGATTTAAGCCTGTTTTTTGAGTTTCCTGGAAATGATCTAATTTTCTTTATATGTACAGCTTCCTAGACAAATTTGCATGGCTTTGTTGAAGTGAAATATCTCTGTAACTCTGTACAGACTCTGACTTAGATCTATAATTTGCTTTTAATTAAGCATTTTAAATGTGCTTACTGGCCCAGAAATAACATTATAACACACAAAGAATAGAAAGAACCAATACCATAGGAAGTTTAGTCTTGATTAAAAGACATCTTTATTTTTTGCAAGGAAATAGGCCATTTGATATAAAGATAAAAATGTGTGATTCAAGAATAAAGTTCACTAGACAAAGAAATTACTAAAACTACTATAAGTTAAATTTTAGAAGATTTTTCTGATACATCTGGGTATAAATTTGAGTGAGCTAACCTTCAGAAGACTTTAGTCTAGGTATACTGAAATTGAGCAATGCAAACCAATGAGGAAAAAAATAAGAATGTAATAATATACATATACAGCAGTCTTACATTTGAGTCACTGTATATCTGGAGATTACAACTTAAAGTGGGTCATAACAGGCAAAATCTTATCTGCTACAAACAAAGGAAAAAATCAAGAGGAAAGAAAAAACATCATGTAAAATTTAGAACCATGAAGACTAAAGGCAGACCGACTGGTTTAAATGATCAGTTTTAACAGTTATTCTTACCATTAGAACCTTCTGCCATCTCTACTACATATTTATTGATGGCTGCCCCTCCATTGTCTTTTGGTGGGTCTATCCAAAGAAGCAAATGTGGTATTAGGCAGAGTATACACAATTCAAAAAATGACATAAACTCATAATAAACAGAATACCAAACTCAGGATTGCTCTAAAAGAAAGAAGAATCACCTACAATGACTTTTTAAAAATTAATACCAGCATCTTATTTACTCTTTTGTTTTTACACAAGCAGATTCTCAATAATTTTTTGTTTTAAATGAATAAGTAATTTTAATTTCTCATAAAAACCAGAATGAGCCATGAAAACTTTAGCTAAAAGCTCAATAATCTTTCACTTCACACAGGCGGCCCCTGCTCACAGTTCTACAGTTGACCCCAAGTTCTTCCTCCGTCAAACCTGAACTTAGTATCTATGAGTACAACACTCTCCAAAAGCGATCCTCAGTGAGTCTCACATTTCTCAGTGAACTTACCCGAGCTAACAAATTTACTCAAGTATCTTAAAAATGATCTAAATATTCAAATAATTTAAATCAAATATAAAAGTAATGACATACAAATATGTATAATATCTTACCCCAAGTTATTTTAAAACTATGTGAATGTATCTTTCCTTTAACTGAAGGCTTTACAGGGACTCCAGGTTTATCAGGACAGGTAGTAAACTCTACCACCTCACTTGGACTACTTTTACCTTCTGAGTTATAAGCAATAACCTATGATGAGAACACAAAGACATAATTAATGTCTGATACTTAATGATACTGGCTTAATGAACAAAGTGATGGGAGACAAACAGGGTCAATCAAAGATTTATGTGAGAACTGCTTGTCTTCAAAAGGAACTCAGCACATATGAAGAGAATTCAGGTATAATCCCCTTTCAGTCAGTCCTGAAAATACAAGTGAGTCTAACATTTTGATACTAAACAAGAGTCATCACTGGAACAAGCTATATAATCTGATGATACTTGGCGAGGCTTGATTTAACTTATTCTTTTAATATTCTTCAGGGATTTAAAAAAATGTCAGATTCTCTGAATTTCCTCTCTTTAAAAGATAAAGGTTAACTCCTCCTTTTGAATTGTCCTTAATAACTTGCTTCTAACAAAGTGTGTAGCAGAAATGATGGTGTGTGTAGCTTCCCTATGGAGAAGCCCATGTGGTGAGGTTTTATAATTGTGACTGAAGCAAAAAGGCAATCCAACATCGTAAGAGGAAAACTGGAAAAATGTATGTATTCCTTAGATACTTTGTAAATTGTGTCAATATAAAAACTGTATTTGAAAATTAAAATGACCCAGTGCCATCAGAAGTTTTGAAAACGAAGCTAGTATACAAAGTAAGTATTGCAGGCATGCTCCTTACTGTCTGAGCCAGCAGGGAAGCCCAGAATAAAACATAACAGATATAATTACGCACTACATAAACAACTTTCCCGATATCACTAGAATTTTCTTTCTTAGGTTCTCAAGGAGTAATAAAGCTTTTTAATAGTGAAAACACTTTACAATGGCTTCTATTATTTATTTGGAATAATTTGTTTAAACACACAATGGTAGGAAAATTCAAATGTTGAATCTCTCAACTAGTAAGCATCCTGTTACATTTTTGGGAAAACCTCTGCATGAAAATGAAGGCTGGCTTATATTAAATTGTATATTAGCTAATTCAAGGCCCTGTCTGCCAAGCAATAGCAATGTATATCACTGACCAAGTCAAAGATAGACTATATCCTAGAATGGATGCTTGGAAAGATTCAGGATTTCAGGAGTCTCCATAGGAGACTTTTCAAAGCTTGCTATTGCTTCAAGTGAGCAAGAATGATATGTAGAGTCTCCCAGGCCTCCAATGAGCAAGAATACAAAAAGAGTATCTCTACTTTCCTAAAATAATTAAGTCGGAAGGCCATCAGATGGGACAGTGAGACAAGCACGTGTGATGGGGGATGGATGAAGGTTGGGCGGAGGCAGGAGCATTCACCCTGCACAAACTCAAGTGCTCTGGATAGGACTTTAGGGAAGGCCAAAAGGCTTACTGGGTTTCATCCAGTAAGTAAAATACCATGAATATAAATGGGGAAAAGTTTCTCACTGATGATGATGGGTGTTAGAAATAAGGAAAGTGAGAAAATTAGAATTAATCTGTGGCACTAGATCAAATGGAGGTATAGGGTGCAAACTCATGACTTTTAAAAATAGATATATATGTAGAAATATGTGTTACTGCATGTAAAGGGTCTATGTGTGTCAACACATACACAGAAAACATACACACATATGTCTAGTTCTTGGCTTTGTCCACTGAGAGGAGGCCTAGGAGTAGCAAAATCCTATAGCATTAAGGATTACTTAATTATTACTTAATTACCTAATTACACTTACTACCCAGATCCTGACTTCTAAACACCACTGTCTGCTTAAAGGACCCAGGTGCTCTGAGAAATGGTCAATGTCAAATTTGAAGAAGAGAAAGTACATGATGAGAATGTAGTATCATGTGCCAGAAAGGAGGGGCTCAAAGAATGATGGGGTGGGGGACATGTCAAAAAAATTAGAAGTCAGCTTAACAAGGGCTCCCAAAATCTAAGATAATTTGAACCTCATAACTGATAACCACAGCAACAAAATATAACCCACTCAGTAAACAGGAATCCATGAGTTCATACTAATATAAATGAGAAGAGAAAGCTTTTCCTTATATTATAATGCCAACTAATCAATGTAGAAGAAATGTTAAAAACCACCACTTGGCAACCATTAATCATGGTTACTGAATGATTCAGGGCAAGAATTATCAATGGATGTTAAAACTAGTGGGTGAGACTTTGATGAGGAACAAGATGTCTATACAGTATTTTCAAAATACTTATTACAAAGGGAGAAAGAACAACTTTACAGCAAAGAAACAAGGCAGATATCACCTTAAGTAGCACTTCAAAGAGTATAACAGCGTTACTTTTTTCTGATATACCTGCCAAAAAAGCATATTCTGACTATGTTCAACGACAGCCACATTTTAAAAGATGTTTTGTTCACGTTTTACAGAGTCCTGTTAAGCATTAAGACTGCTTTGAATTTAAATACATAAAGTTTGAGAAGCATTATTACATAGTAAGAGAGTAAAACAATAAAGCTCATGAGAAAAGGCCAAAATATTTAAGATTTAAAACTATGGGAATGAGGCATGTACTTGGTTTTAAAACAGAACAGTAAGAACAGTAAATCTTTCAAGGGCTTTCAAAGCTTACCTTAAATTTATACTTTGTACTACGTCTGAGATTTTTCACTGTGTAAGCAAGGTCTTCCCCATCATATTTAGGCTTAAAACCATATCCCTGGAAAGGGAAAAAAAATCTTCATTAGATGCCTAACAGCAGAAATACGGGGAATAAGAAATATGTGAAAAGATTCAGGTCCCCTTCATCTTCTGCTGTGTGCAATGTGAGTAATGCCTGGCTGACTGTGATCTTTTCCCTGATGTTTCCATCTTGAGAAGACAGATCAAGAAATGCTGCTGACCATTTATAGGAGGACGAAGACCACCACTGATTCTCAGTACATACAGTAACCAAGAGAAGGTCTTTGTGTTGAGGGAAAATAAAAGACAATGGTAACATCACCATCAGTAAGCTTATCCCTAGAACTAAGGGAATTTCCCAGACGGATGCTGCAAGAATTAAACAAAACTATAACTATTTAACATATTCAACTCTCTCTGAACACACAACTGTGTTTAGGTGAAAGATGAGTGATTGGTTGGGCTGGCAGGTTGAGATGTCATTTAGGTTTGGCATTATTATTTCCAGCCCTAGGGACAATGCTTCACTACTTTCACAATGTTATTTTTAAAAGTTAAAAAAAATAGATATAATTCACAAACCATGAAATTCCCATTTTAAAGTATAAAATTCAATGGTCTGCAGTATATTCATAAGCTTGCAAAACCATCATTTAATTCCTAGTTCCAGAATAAAGCCTAAATAAACAAAGTACTTTTATTTTCTGGTTGGCAGTCACTTCCTCTCTTTTCTTATACACTAATATACTTTCTGTCTCTATGGATTTGCCAATACCTATATAAATGGAATCACATAATGTATGGTCTTTTGTGACTTTGCTCTTTTATTTAGCATGATGTTCTTAAGGCTCATTCATGTGTGGCATATGTCAGTACTCAAATCCTTTATATGGCTGAATAATATTCTACTACATGGATATATTACATTTTGTTTATCCAATTATTAACATTAGTTGACGGACATTTCAGTTATTCCCACTTTTTGGTTATTATGATTAATGCTGCTAAGAACACTGGGGTACAGAGTTTTGTACAAATGTACTTTCAGTTCCTCTGCGTATATATCTAGGATGGACCAAGCTATTTTCGACTCATATTGCTTCAAAGTAACTCTGAAAAGCTATGGCGCTAAAGGTAACTAACAGACGACAGTCTATCACTTGCTCAGCTCAGTGCTCTCACAGGAGCCGAGACGCTGTGACTGGACAGTCTCATGTGAGGCTCTTCAAAGTCTCTGTGGCACCGGGGGAGCAGCGTTTGCCCACCGCTGGAGAATGCAGACAGCTCTTTCCTTATCTTTTAGCGCTGCTTAGTCTGAGGCTGTGGTGATCTTGCCCTCTCTCTACTGTCCCCAGAACATATACACTTACATGGGGTCTGTGCTGTTCCCAGGCACAGAGTGCATACACACACACACACAAACAAACCCCCCTCCCACATACTGAGGGAGCAAAAGGCCAAGCTGCTCCTCACGTCCAGTCCTTTCCAGACAGTGACCAACCAAGGCTTCAAAGGGCCTGGGGAAGGAGCTGGCTACTGTGGCAGCATCTACTGTACCAGGATCAATGTCACACTGAATGTTCTATATGCCCTATTTAAATACACACACTTACTGAAGTTTCTTCCTCCATCTCCAAAATGTAGGAAATCCCTTCGTCTGATGGCGTCCCTGAGGGTTTACTCCACTGTAAGGATAACCAAGTAACCCCGGCTTTAGTTAACACAGGACTTGCGGGCATAGATGGGGCACAGCCTGAGGTGTAATACAAGACTTCTTCACTAAAACCGCTGTTGAAACAAATGGTTTTTAAGAAGGAATGAAGAAAAGTTAATTTTCTAAAGCCAAAAAACACAGTTTTGATAAATGACATTTTTGGTGAAAATGATAAATTTGATAATGAATTATACTCCAATAATGTATCTTTGATGTGATAATAGCTTTATGGTAACTAGGTCAGATACCTAACGATGAATTATTATTTTTAAAAACTGCCATTTACATAATTAAATTTCTCTTATAGCTTTTGCTAGGTTAATAACGTGTTAATCGTATCAATAAAGTGATAATAGACTAAGGCAGAATTTTCAGTGGTTAATTTGGACTGTAAATAATTTATACAAATGAACAGTCTAAAATATCTATATTAAAATGCATCTTACCTTGTACCATAATCATTTTTGGCTGATAGTCTAAATTTACAACCCATTGCTGGTGACAGTTTAGTAATTTTAAATTGCTTCTGTAAGCCCATATAACACTGACAAAAGTCTCCATTTCCTTTTCCCTAAAAGAAAGTTTTTATACATCAATGTACATTAATGTAAACAGATATCCACATTAATTCCTGACAGCAACATATTAGCTAGTATACATTTAAAGTCATCTTTGTTACATATATGTCATGAATCTCAAGAAAAGGTTGAGATAACACATCCTTTACATAATACTCATTGTTAATTAATGCAAAATTAAAAAACCAAAGAGTAGGCATCTCTGTATAGCTTCTTGAACTAAACATCCCATTTTAGAGCTGATGGTAATCCTCTGGCTTTTAATAAAAGAAACTCTTTCTGGGTATGGACCCCACAACTCTATGGAAGGACTGGTAATGGTAGAAATAGATTGATCTTCAACATGAGTATCTGGCTGCTCTCCTTAACCTATGCATCTTCAAACCACCTGGACAGCTGCTAAACATCCTTAAAGACTTTGATGCTACTACTGATTAGATTTAACACTGAAAAAGTATAAATAGATAGAAAAACTCCATTATATGTATTAAGATGGGAGGGAGAAAAGTTTGCAGTTCAGGACAAGTGAAGAGTTTTAGAAATTTAAGTGTTATATAACATCTACAAATTTCTCATTTTCTACCCATTTCTCTTTATTGTGTGGTAGAGGTAAAGGATAGGGCTTCCCAGGTGGCGCTAGTGGTGAAGAACCCGCATGCCAATGGAGGAGACATAAGAGATGCGAGTTCAATCCCTGGGTCGGGAAGGTCTCCTGGAGAAGGGCGTGGCAACCCACTCCAGTATTCTTGCCTGGAGAATCTCTTCAACTGAGGACCCCTGCAGGTGGGCTACAGTCCATAGTGTCACAAAAAGTCAAAGTGACTTAAAACACACACACACACACACACACACACACACGTAAAGGGTGGTTAGAACAACCTCTGTCATAGAAAATCTTTAGTCTGAATTTGGTTGCTTTGTTCAACTCTAATGTTAGTATTAATAATGTTTATAGTTTATTCTATTGAGTTATCTAAATAGAAATTCATATCATCTCTAAACAATGATAATTTTGTTCCCCAGGCCAGCCACCATAGCTCTACCTCTTTTTTTTGACACTCTTTAGCTGTAATTTCCTGAGTAATGTCAAATAAAGGTGGCAAAAACTGGTAACTTTGACTTATTTTTGCTTGGCTAGAAATGCTTTTATTGTTTAGTGATAGTACTTCACTTAATACAAAACTATCAAATAAGGGATTACTCTTTTATTCCTAATTTGAGTTTTAAATGAAACTGGTAATAAATTTTATCAAATACTTGTCATAATTTATCAAGATGATATAGTTTTTCTTCTCAATTACTCTGATACTGCAACAGATTGCCTAATTCTGTATTCACTTAGAACTTCTGGAATAAAACTTCCTTGGGTTGCACCTCATTACTGTTTTAATATATGGCTGGAATTTCTTCTACTCCCTCTGGACCCTCCTCTTTGCTGCAGTGAAGCAGCAGGGCAAAAAGAGAACATGACAAATGACAGTAAAACAAAGTACTAAATAGTAAAGCCCAAGATGCTTGCTGTGGTAGGCCCCCAAAGGTACCCAGATCCTGACCCCTGGAACATGTGAATATGACCTCAGATGGCAGCACAGGCTGTATAAATGTGGTGAAAGTCAGGCTCCTGAGATGGAGAGATTATGCTGGGTCATCTGGGTGCATTGTCAGTGGAATTACAAGTATCTTTTCTAAAGGGAGGCAGAGAAGGACCTGAAGATGGTCATGTGATAAGGGCAGCAGGGGGAGAAAAGGCAATCTGATGTGGCCATGAACCAAGTAATGAGGAAGCCTCCAGGAGCTGGAGAAGGCCAGGCAATGGGTTCTCCTCTAGAGTCCCTGGAGTAAGCAGGGCTCAGGTGCCACCCTGACTCTGGCCCAGTGAAAGCCATTTTGGGTTTCTGATTTCTAGAATTTTAAGAATAAAAGTGTTGTTTTGAGGTGCCCAGTTTGTGGTAATTTGTTAAAGCAGTCACAGTAAACAAACATGCTTGCCTTTAAGGCTGATGTGAAAGAAAATATTCCATTAAGTTAATTAACCAAGTGATTGCTTTGACGGTTGGTTTAGTTGGAAAATCTAAAACATCAGGAGGTCTGGTCAGTAACATTTTCTAAGAACACCATCAACTGACTCAAGCACCACATGAGATCATTCATATTGTTTTTAAAGAGGAAAAAATTATTTAACAGAAAGGCATTTGTGCCTGAAGGTATACATACATTTTAGACTAATTTAAAAAGTTCAAATGTACTTACCTCATCCCATTCTAAAATAAAACTTTGGATTTTAGAGCCATTGTCACTAGGTGCCTAAAACAAACACCAAAAACAAAACAAAACAAAACAAAACCCAAAATGAGTACAAGTTAGTACTTTCATAAAAGGTATTGGTGATGATCTAATCTAAGGCATCTATTATGCTATAGATGTTCTCTGGGATTACAGACATAGATGTACATCCTATAATCCTTTTAACTGCCAGAAAAGAAAACAAAGCATGAGGCTACTCAGATATTTCTGAATTCTGAACAATCTCTTTTATCAAGAACTATCTTTTATCAGAAAGTTTATCATCTTTAAGCTTCTGGGATAGATCCTGTCATTTTCATTAAAACTCAGCTTATCAATACAGTCTGCAAGTGATACCATGTAATACACTAAAACGTAAAAGAGCAAGTGTGCTGACAGGAACTCCAAGGGCGCATACTATCTGGATCTCCACTTCTAGGCTCCACGTGTTGACTGCCTAAGACTGTTAATTCATCAATCTGTTACTTTTCAGAGGTGAAAATTTCAGTTCTAGTCATTTCCCCCCAGGATTTGGTCACTCCAGAACTAAAGAATTTCACCTTTATTTCAGAACACGAAAAATTGTATTTTTTCTCCAGGACTTTTTTTTTGAGAGCCTATGATAATTTAAATTTTTTTTCTGTTTTTTTACATCCTCTTTTTGGCAATTTCTTTAATTAATTGGAAGATAATTGCTTTACAATATTGTGTTGGTTTCTTCCTCCAGGACTTTTGAACGTATTCCTGGATATCCATATAGATGAATATCTGTTTATAATTATTATAGCCTAGAACCTGATTCCATTTTCCAAGGTTATCAGTGGTATAATTTTAACAGTGTATTCCCCTAAATGCAACTACTATGCAATTTGGGAAAGACTGTACTTAATTTTATTCAGAAATTTACCAAGACTGTGTTACGATTTCAGAAAATCATGTCACCGATGACAACAATGCCTGTTTTATCTAGGATCCAATTCTATCTAGTGTCTATCCACTTTATTACATCTTCTTGTGTAATATTGGGTCCAAATAATTATACACTAAAAAAAATATAAAGAAACTGCCTTTTGATGCAGGAGATGTAAGAGACGTGGATTTGATCCCTGGGTTGGTTAGATCCCCTGGAGGAGGGCATGGCAAACCACTCCAGTATTCTTGTCTGGAGAATCCCATAGACAGTTCATGGGGTTGCAAAGAGACATGACTGAAATGACACAGCATGCATTCTATTAGAAATAACTTTATTACTCCTTTATGGCATCATATTAGTATTTGGGTTAAGTTATTATGAATCTCATTTTAGGATAAAATTCAGGATATAAAGGTATTACTACAAAATATAGAAAGCAGCCTGAGAACACATTGCAGTGTCATCACACATTCAGCAAAGGACTGCTAATTTAAGCCAATCTTTTGTTATATTTATGTTACATAAATGTTATATTTTTCTGTTTCTGTTTAGTTTTATGTTTCTGTTATATGTATGTTATATATAACATATAATTTATTTGTAACAATGTTCCTGTTATATTTATGTTACATTTATATTGTGTTATGTAAGAAAAACTGATAAGAGTGTTATTTTAGGATACAAGGAACAATGCCTATTTAATATACCGTGAAGAGCAAGAGCAAGTTAGCTTAAACCTCTTTTTGTCTCTGAAAACAAATGAAGTTTAATAGTACAGGGAAAAAAAAAAGGAAACAAATGTCCAGTTGGAAACACTCTATAGTCTTACCTTCCACTGCAAAGTAAGTGAATTTTTGGTCCGATTGGCTATCCTTGGTGGGTTAGGTATGTCAGGTTCACAGCTCAAGGTGGTAAAGGTTTCAGCTTCGGAAGGAGTTCCCTTTATAGAATTGTATTCTGCCTGGACTCTGTGGTGATAAAATAAATAGTTTTATCCTGCAGAATCACTGTCCTACCATTCTATAGCATCACCTTTAAGTATGTGCAAGTCAGTGAAGTGCCCTCTAAATGTTCTATCGAGAAATACGCATATCAGAAGTAAAGGGTAACGCTTAAAAAAAAAGAAAAATAGAATAAAACAGTGGCTTTCATATTTTTCTAACTGCTCAAAGTAAGAAATACGTTTTAAACTATGACTGTCTCTGCAATATGTATTTATACATATGCGCACATATACCTCACACACACACATACATGAACACACACAACAAAAGTAGTATTCTGAAACAATATCCTTAATTGGATAATATACTGATATTTTCTATTCCATTTGATTATATTTAATTAAAAAAATTCTGACTATAACCCACAAAATTAATTTCATGATTCAATGGTGGTTACAATCCACAGTTTGAAAAATATTAGGCTGGATAATACTTAGGGTTCATCCACAGAGAGTATAATTGAAGACAGTTTAATAGTTTAATAGGATAATCTCAAGTACAAGTGTTCTTTTTAAAAATAGGTGACTGAATAAACTGTTATATGAGTCCCAGCTGGGGAGGCCCTATAGTCTAAAAAATAATTTTGTGAAATCATAATAGAAGAACTGTGCAGAGTAAAACAGTAGTATCTAAGCTGTCCCAACTAAGTGTTATGAAATTCTAAGTTTTAATATTCCAAACTCTTACAAAATAGGATGGAATAAATATACATTAAGTGGCAATTATTATTTATGATTTTGCTTTGTAAAAATTTCAAAAGCTGGCACAGTCTTCCAGTGCTAAATCAGGTATTACAGATATAGTGTACATATTATCTGTCAATTCAGTTCAGTTCAGTCGCTCAGTCGTGTCCGACTCTTTGTGACACCATGGACTGCAGCACGCCAGGCCTCCCTGTCCATCACTAACTCTCAGAGTTTACACAAACTCATGTCCATTGAGTCGGTGATGTATATTCATTCTAATCCCTAGGTCCTACAAACCAGGCCATTTACCCTTCAATATAACATTTAAGTTAAATGTCTTTTTGGGAAATGTGTTGATAATTATAGTAAAAGAAAAATCAAAATCCACAAACTCCATGTTTTTAATCCAAAATTAATACTGAAACTATATTCTAGACTTTTAAGGAAATCATTAAAAACAAACCCTATGCTACAATATATCACATAAAAGTAGCATACAGGAAATTCCTTACTTTGCGTGGTAATCTGTAGCTGGTTTGAGATCATTTAAAGTGACACTGGTTTCTTCTCCTCTGGGGGGAAAAAAGGTAACATATCATTATTTGATAAATATAGCATTTTTTAGAGAATGTGTGTTATGTATACTACAGTTTGTGGTATTTTATGCAATTATACTGCTTCTAACTTTCTCAACTGTAACCACATTCAGACTGTATCAATAAGCAATTTGCATATTTAGGATATATGCCACACTTAGGTATGTACCTGCATAACACATGTGCTAAGTAAATGAACTGTATATATAAGACTTTGTATGTGTATGTGTGTACTTAGGGTAGATATTTAGTTTAACTGAAGAAATGGAACCATTTTCAGTTACTGGCATATAGTTAAAATGCTAAGTAACACATGAAATCAAAACTGAAATCAAAACTATCAAATTTTTACAAGGAGTCTGCCACTATTGGATTTTATTTAAAATATAATGTGAAACTTTATTTAAAATGTTACAATTTAATGAGTAGGTTTCTAAAAAGTGAATCACAATTTAAGGTAAAGCATTTTTTGTAGCCACTATTACATTTTCAAATATAATAGCACATATTTTCTTAAATAATTATTTGCTACCGCTATTATTTAGGCATGTAGCCAACAAGTTAGCCTGTTTTCTCTTCCTTTTCTTTTAAATCACTGTTTTTTGTTCCATTTCCTTCAGTCAAGTTTCTCTCCTCTCCACTTAATGGATTTCTTCCTCCCACCCCCCTCCTACTTTCCTTCCAGGTATCCTATTTCTCAAATCAAAGCCAGTGAATAGTATGAGAAAGGAAACAGGTCTCACTGATGGAAGGACACCTTACTGAATCAGGGCAGTTGTAGCAGCAGCCTCAGAAAGAGGCTTTAATTGGCACAGGGTAACGAGGTGACTGAGGCTGACTAATGTCCCTCCTGTGCTCTCTGGTCAGGCTGCAAATGGAGATAAACTCTTTCCCTTAGGAAGCAGTCATATCAAACTAGAACAGCCACTAACACAAAAAAGAAGCCTTTACTTTGATGGTCCTTTACTCTCTATTTACCCCATAGGTAGGTTTGCTCTTTTAAGAAAATGAAATACAATACACACAAGGGAGTCTCCAACAAACAGGAGGAGACCTTGTTACTAGATGACAGTCACTGAAGCAGTTTCACTTTCCCTTCTTCCCCACACTAGCTATTTTTTCTTAAAAATACACCAAGAAGGTTGATTTATCCAGTGTTTTGTGTTAATAACGATCATTCAAATGGCTAACCACGTCCTGCTTTACAATCTTCCTGGTAAAGTTACATAACAGTAATTGATTTTACTCTTTTTCACCAGAATAAACAATTTCTATATGAACAAGAACAGAAAAATAATTTATTTTACAGCTGTCAATCACAAAGTCACAATTTTAGCCACTGACACTTTCTGTTTGTTGGGGTATAATACAGTTTTGAACCAAGAAAAGAGAACTATGGCATTTTCAATACACAAATGAGGAACAATGGTACTAAATTCATTTCACAATAGCACAAGAGGTTGTATATGTAAGAATGAAATCCAACTCGCTAGAAGAGCAACAGTGCATGAGTTCACAATGTAAGAATTCTCCGTTTCTGGTCCTGGCTTCTACATACTACATACTACAATTTATATTTATGTCTTAGGAATATGTGGATAGTGAAATATCTATTAGGGAGCCTATTGAAAAAAAAAACAAAAACGCTGAATGTGGCCAATGAAAGTGAGTTATTCCAAGGGAGTTGTAGACAGAAATGTGAACCAGCTGGCATATGGACTATTTACATTGAAATCAGTATCAATGGTCAACTTATAGATTCAAAATAAAAGCATGAAGAGGGAAAACAGCACAGAATTAGTATTAAGCTCTTTATGATAAACCATTAACTTACATAACGGGAAGGAGTAAAACAAAACAAATACCTACGCAAATACACTTTTGTATTTCCCATCTTTTCCAGTGCTTGAGAGCAGAATTTCATAACCATAGAGCTCTGGTACAGTAGTCTCATCTGTTTCACCATTTATGAGGCTGGAAGGTGGTGACCAGGTAAGAACTACTGTCCTTGCCTGGATGTCTGAGGCCTGCAAAAACATAATATTTAAAAGCTCTATGAAACAACTGTAATGTGCACAACAAACAGCACAAAATCTAATATGGTTTCAAGATTAAATAAAATTTATCTGTAGTTATTTACATAAAATGATTCACCAATAGAAACCTGCCCATTTGTAAATGAGATACAATTTGCCATGAAAGGGTAGATGAGTTCGACAAAGTTCAAAGACCATTTTTTTGGCTGTTTAAAACGATTAGTGTAAACATCATATACAGTTGAAAGAATGGCAGAAAAAACTCACTTGTAACATACTTGAAAGGATTCATTTCCTCACTTTAGAAAGTGTTTAACAATAAGAAAAAGACCAAAACCTTAAGAGAAAAATGAGCAAAAGACTGGGACTGTCCAAAGAAATATAATTGAATAGTATTTAAAAAAAATATATCTAACTACCTTCATAATTAAACAATCTGTACAGAGCATAACTTTCTCCTCTTTTCACTTGTGTAAGTTTTTAACTGAGAAATAAGACCTCACCATTTCAGAAAAGTTTGTATTTCTTTTGATTACTAGTGAAGAACTCTTTGGGGTCTTAATGGGTCTAAAAATTCAGTTTGTATGAGCATTTTACTTAGTATTAATCTTTTATCTGATGGAAATATTTTTCCTATCAGAATGATAGCCTTTATTTAGGCTATTTTAAAACACACAGAAGCTTTTCAGATGGCGCTAGTGGTAAAGAACCCGCCTGCCAATGCAGGGATGCAGGTTCGGCCCGTGGGCCAGGAAGATCCCCTGGAGGAGGGCATGGCAACCCACTCCAGTATTCTTGCCTGGAGAATCCCACGGACAGAGAAGCCCGGTGGGCTATAGCCATAGGGTCACAGAGTTGTACACGACTGAAGTGACTTAGCATGCACGCATGCAAAATACACAGAAAATTTTATGGAGCCAGTTTTGCTGTCATACATTTTTCTGATTTCTTCTATTACATCTGCACACAAATAGCATTGGGAAATACTAACTTTCTTCTATGGTTTGATTTTAACTCTTTTTGCAACTGGAGTTAATTGGATGTACTTTACATGGAAATAACAAATTTTTTTCTTTAAATGATAATCAGTTGTACCTACACTCGTCATTAGATCTTTGCCCAGTCCAGTGATTTTGAATGTCATTGAGCATATACTAAAACCTTGTTTAAAAAATGAATTGCTGGTTGAGTATCCTGCCACACTGATTAACAGCCTCGCTCTCCTATGTCAGATCTGTACTGATCTATTATTACTGATCTCACATTCCTTACATATAAATTTTAAGTAAGCCCTGAACCTACCAAAATCCTATGTGAATATACTAAATGTAAATGTCAAGAAAATACATGTGATACTTACCACTGGTTTGACAATGTTGGAAAGAAGTGCTTCAAAAGCTTTAGTTTCTTCATCTTTTTCTTAAAAAAAAAAAAAAAAAAAAATTTTTTTGGGGGGAGCAATTAAAAAAAAAAACAACTTAAATGCAATATACTGCTCCCTTCACAATATGTCTTCTAAAACATGTAACAAGAGGTTGGAATTTGAGAATTTTATTTTCTAGTTTCTACTCCTTAGTTCATATTCAGCAGTTTGTGGCTTTTTATAGAGTTCTTTTGCCTCAGTTTCTATTTCCCTTTTAACCATAATAACTACTTATAGTACTACTACATATATCCCTTTAAAAAAATAAAGTACTCTCTCTCTTAAAAATCCTTATTTGCCAATCTCATACCTCTTAATGACAAGTTAACTAAGCATTTGTTTCATATATGCCTTAATTGTGGTTCCCAAAATAGGAATATAATTGACTAGATCATAACTTAAAACCACCACTGAAGTATCTGAAACTTTAGCTTAACTCCTCTGAAACACCAATGCTGAAAAGAATGATCAGAAGGTCTCAAAAATATGGGAGAACATTTTAATAAATGTTTATATTACAAGCCAAGAGGCTGTTAAAGCACTAAATGGATGGGAAATAGAAATTTTAAAGAAAAGGAAGTAGTGCTCAGAGTTCATATGGTGGAAGTCACAGGTTAGAGGAAGGATCTAAGGGAAACAGAAAAGAACTTTTGAACAAAGAAAAGGAGAAGACTATATCCTAACTATAATATTTATAGAGTATATAAATGGATTGGTGAACTACATAACTAGTTGCTATCAGGGACTTGTATAAGAAGAAGCTGGAAAGAATAAGAGTTCTGATTAAAAACCAGTTTAGCCTTATTTAGGTTCAGAAAGAAGAAAGGAATCTGAATGAACTTTGAGTTTTCCTATCAAACAAATTTTTCGTGGTTAGTAAAATTTATGATATAGGTGTAAGTATTGATTGAGCTTTCCCAAAATGTAAAAAGAAATACCCTAGTAACAATTCAGGTTCTAAAACTTACCCCTCACATTTAGACAGTGCTATGCTACCAATCTACAGTTTATGTGAAGCATGATGAAATGACTGAAAGGTCAGACTATACTCTTAGTAGGTTAAATGATGAATATATTTTAAATAGTTACCTTCTATTTCTGTATCAATTTGTACACCACCTTTTCCCTTTCCTGACTTGTTCTTCACTGATCCTGTGTTTGTACCACTAGCATTCTGCCCTTTTGTAAGCCCATTATGTTCACTGATAGGAGAAGGGCATTTCTGGGGTGATGATGGTGGACTGCTCATCTTATCTTTCTGTGTTCCTTGGCGATCCTTTAATTTTTTCTGCAAACGTTCATATGTTTTACTAGATCTTTCATCTCTAAAGTTGGACCTTCCATGTGAAGAGTGAGCATCTAAGGAGAAATAAAGTAAAAATCATTTAGAAAAGGTTGCTTTCTTCAAACACATTTATGGCATGAGAAAAGAGTAGGAAATAAATTATCATTATATTATATAAAACTTATAATTCAAAGAAAAATCCTGCACAACACAAAGCTATTTCTGTGTCTCCACTAACTAAAGAGAACCAAGCTTTATGACCTGATTATAATTATAAGCTTACAGATATTTGTTTCCTTCCTCTTTTCTCAAGTATTAATCTCCATAGAAACAGCTTGGTCCTAAGCTATGACTGTCACAGGAGGGGAATAAGACCTGAACTGAGCTGTGTAGAGTTCTTGTATTCTTTTGTAGCCATTAATTTTAGCATCTCTTTCAACTTCAAACATCTCTGAATAACAATGGCTTTTAACAATGTACAATAGTAGTATACTGTAGTAGTTAAGATTTTTCTTATAATTTTCTCACATTTTAAAAAACTAGGTCCTAATTAGGAGTAAAAAAAATGAAAGAGACTGATTTGTAGTATAAACTCTTGCTATCGAAAGTATGTTCATTGGGCTACTGCACAAGACTTACCTGGGAATTTGTCAGAAATGCAGAAAACCAAACCACACTCAGACCTACAGAATTAAGTCTGAAATAAGTCTGAAATAGACTTATTTCAATAGAAATAGAAACAGCAATAGCTATTATTGCTTATTTCAATAGCAATAGAAGTAAGTCTGAAAAAAATGTAATATATGACATAATATGTAGTATATCTACTACTTGCAGGCTGTGTTGCATAATTTAAAATCTGTATTTAGAGTTATTTCTTCTACAAATTTACTAAGCTTGAATGACAAGTACTGATTAAGTGCGAGGAAAACAGCAATGAAAAAAACAGATTCAGTTCTTCAGGCAATTACAGTTAAATAAGGGAAAAAGACTTCTAAATACACACACACAAAAATCAAGTTGTGTTCAGTTCTGTGAAAGAAACAGGTTTCAGAGATTGACAAGGAAAGGTTATGGGAAGATCTCTGAAAGCTTAAAACCTAAAACAAACAAACAAAAAACCCAAAGCAGCAGCAGCTTGCATGCAAAGGGGGGAAGAGCACTTCTGGGAGAGAGAACACCATGTGTAGAGGCATTGAGGTAAGAAAGAGCTTGGCTCTGAAAAACCGAAGGTGGGAACAAGTAAGACCAGGCAGAGGCCAGAGCAGGATCTTGCCCAGGGCAGTGGCCCCCAGGGGTTGCCTGGCAGCGTGCAGAGATGCTGAGTTGTCCTAGCTGAGCTGGAGGGGGAGGGGCGGAGCTGCCTGCTGCTGGCGGCTGGCAGGTAGGGGGCGGGGCTCCTTCTAACACCCTAGAGCCAGTTCCGCCCTCCACAGTAAAGACTCTTCCTCCTCCCAAGATCAAAGTGTTGAGGTTGAGAGATTCTGGTCAAGGGGAAAGGTTTAGGATTTTATTCTAAATGTAGTGGAAAGTCACTGAACTCTATGAACTAGAAGAATGGTCTGATGCGTATTTTAAATGACTCCTCTAGCTGAGTGTGGATGGTTGCGGGCAGGAATGACAGCAGAGAACCAACTGGAAGGCTGCTGCTGCAGGTGTCCTGACAAGAGGTGATGGTGGACGAAGTCTGAGCAGCAGTGGAGAAAAGTCGTCACATCTGGGAATCTTCTGACAGTAGATACCCACTGATGTGGGGGTTCAAAGAGGAGGAATCAAATTTGGTCATCTGGTTTTCACTTGTGCAAACTGAGTGGACAGTGGTACCATCCATGGAGATGAAGATGACACAGAAAATCAAGTTCAATAATTATGTTTTAAAATACTATAACTGAGATGTATGAGACACTTAAGTGGAGTTATCAAGAAGGCAGTTAGGAGAGTAGACTGGTGGCCTAGTGGTTAGGATTCCAGAGTCCAGGCTTTTAATACCATGGCCTGGATTTAATCCCTGGCTTGGGAATGCAGCACAGTCAAAAAAAAAAAAAAAAAAACCAAACCACAGACAGAAATAAAAGTCTGGGACTCAGAGGAGAGGTTTTTGACTGAAGATACAAATTAAAAAAAAAACTGTCAGTCTATGGATGGTATTTAAAGCCACAGGAAAGAGTAAGATGATTATCTTGTGTATATGTAGCTGTCTATTCTTCCCAACAATTTATATTAACTCCCTGAGGGTAGAGATTATGTTTTGTTTTCTTTCCCCAGTTTCTTACAGAACCTAGCAATGTTAGTTAGTGGCATCAGAGGCTTCAGAATTTAACAGTAGCATGATCATTCCTGGCTAAAAAATTTCCTCAGAGAGCAGCAGAACAGACAAGTAGACCTCTTGTTTGAATGTGTCCCCAATGAATGTTGCTGCTTGATGTGGGTTACTTTCCCTTCCTGATTTTCTGTTTACTCACCTGCCTTGAAGGGTGGGCATGAAAATGAAATATTTAACATGTTTTTTAAAGTTAATTTTTACTGGAGCATAGTTGATTTACAATGTTGTGTTAGTTTCTGATGTATAGCAAAGTGAATGGGTTACACATATACATGTATCCACTCTTTTTTAGGTTCTTTTCCCACATAGGTCATTACAGAGTACTGACTAGAATTCCCTTAACACAGCATTTGAGTGACAGAAAATTATTGTGATAGTTACCATTTTTTTCTTTTATATAATGTGATAATAGCACCTATTATATCCAAGCAAAGAACAGCCAACCCCACAAAACAAGAATACTTTCTAGATGTCTTACCTACATCTCCATACACTTGTGAAGACTGATACTGTGGCATATACTGTGTTGCCATGTCTCCAGCTCCGGTTACTGGTGAGTACATGTGGCGTGGTGGAGGGGGCATCATGGCTGGGACAGGAATGAAACCGGGCAGAGGAGGGTGTGGAGAGCGATGGATGACTGTGTGACCACCAGGGTGAAACTCTGGTGCCTGAGGAACCACAACAACTCTTCGAACACCATTGTCTTCAATAACCTATAAAATGAACAACAGATTAAAGGTTTCTTCCATAGGACGTAAGCAGTTTTTTCCAGATATGTGAGAGGAAGAATTATTACACCGATTAGAAGTTAATTAAGAAATTTTACAGAATCAACATGAAAAGGTTTTATTAAATACATTACATACATGTGAATTAGCACTGAACAGCATGAAGTTGTTTTTGTTATACAATGCAATATAAATCTTAAAACACTGACAAGATTAGCTAAATAATAATATCCACAGTGAGTTACGATATTAGGTATTTATCTTAGGTGTGACATGCATTTAGTGATACAGTAAAAATGTAGCAATGGGACCAAATGTTTCAAGGGACCTTCTGGTTTCAATGTAACAGGGTCAGGAATTTTTTTTTTTGTGGGGTAGGGGAAAAATAAGATATGGAAAGAACAGAAACTGTGAAATAGCAATGGGGAAGAAAACTGGACCCAAACTCCTCAGATCAACTGTATATTGAATTTAGGCATAAAACTCTTAGGACCATGACCAGAACAATTTTGATAGTTGAAGATCCTGTCAAGGGAGGCAAACACCTCATATATTAACTCCCAGTTAAGGAAAACATCTGCGGCTCTAAGTCTTAGAAATCACGTATTTCTACACAGGGGTCACACTGTGGAAAAATATTTTTAAAAATGACAGATTTACTCCCTTTGAACCTCACTGGAACAACAAGAACATATAGGAAGGACTAAAAAGATACAAGATTTTACCTTAAAATTAGAAATCCTTCTATGAGAAGAGTTCTTTATCTTTCAGACAAATAATTACTACTGAAGTATAACAAACATTTAATAACAGAAAATGATTAAAATGTAAAGCAGTAACTTAAAGGCAAATCCTAATATTTTCACATTTTACTATGGAAGAATAAGTTTTACTACACCTAAACAAATAGCAAATTTAGTTATAAACATACGTGCTTGGTAGGGATGTTAGAAAACACAGTTACTTGGATACAGATAAGCCTAACTTACAAATAAATTACTGCTTTAGAAAGAATATAGTTGCTATTAAATAGGCTATTAAACTAACTTTCTCTGCTGAAGTGTGAGACGATTCGTGAGATAAGACAGAACCAGAAGAGCAAATGAATCACTGTCTTGATAACCTAGGTAGAGACTACAACATTTGTTTCCAGCACAATGGAGACCTCATATGCCATGTCTCCCTATTTAACCCAGTTCTGGATTCAAGCCTGGACAACTGCCTATGACTGGTGGAAAGAACGTCCTATCTGGAACACTAGCTGAAGATAAACTGGAATTTGTTTACCATTTTTCAGCCTCTAACCTACAGGAAGGGACCTGAGAGGAAGTCTGAAATGGATTTTAAGTGAGCCAAATCACAGTGTCTGCCATTAACATACCACTTTCACCTTTATCAACTGTCTGACTCACAAATGTTAAATGACCCCCACTGCTGATAGGATTGCATGGTACATACTCTTCAACCTAGCATTCCATCTGGTTCCAACCTCTCATTATAGCTGTGATCTTTCTTCCACACCAAATTCTGAACCCTTCATTCCAGTCAGGCTGGTATACTAAAACACCTATCTTCATACTTACCTGCATATTTCTTTATCTTGTACTTTGGCTTATGCCATCTTCCCTCTTCATTTTACTTTCCTCCAGTCTAAATCTATGAAAGTCCCATCTATCCTTCCAAATCTAGCACTAACCACCTCCATTCATTAAAAAAAAAATTTGTTTTTGAACAAAAAGATAGTGGTAATTCAGCAGAGAAAAAAACTGTGACATGTTCGTGTGGGCACACACACTCACAGGGGCAGACAAACATGACATCAAAAGTCAATTATTTAGCATGCTGCAAGGTGATAAACACTATGGAAAAAAAACAACACACCAGGTAAGGCGGATCAGAAGTACCGTAAAAGGGGAACAGTTGTAGTATAAAAGAATGATCAGGATAGGCCTTACTGGCAAAGTGAAATTTGAGCAGAGATGTGAAGGAATTGAAGGAATTAGCCAGGGAAAAATCTGAAAGACTGTTCTGGGAAGAGGGAACAGTCAGAACAAAGCCTTTAAAGTAGGAATGGCTAGGAGGAAGCCAGTGTGACTGGATCAGTGTAAAGGAGGAAAAAAGACAGAAGCAGATGAGATCAATAGACACAAAATGGTAGAGATGATGGCCAAGTCAGGCAGGTTGTCCTGTATAGGCTATTAAGGACTTACATGTACTCAGTGAAGTGGAGGACTATCACAGAAACAAGTGGTTCTCATCAAGGGGTGATTTTACTCCTTAGAGCAATAGTCTTCAACTTTTAGGAGGACTGGTTTTATGGAAGACAATTTTTCTATGGACTTAGGGTAAGGATGGTTTTGGAATGATTCAAGCATATTATATTTATTGTGCACTTTATTTCTATTATTATTACATTAGCTCCACCTCAGATCATCAGGCATTAGATCCTGGAGGTTGGGGACCCTGGTTGTAAAGGACATTTGGCAGTATCTGGAGTCATTTTTAGGGCTTCCCAGGTGGCACTAGTGGTAAAGAAGCTGCCTGCCAACGCAGGAGACCTAAGAGACACAAGTTCAATCCCTGGGTCAGGACGATCCCCTGGAGAAGGGCATGGCAACCCACTTTCAGTATTCCTGCCTGGAGAATCCCCATGGACAGAGGAGCCTAGTGGGCTACAGTCCATGGGGTCACAAAGAGTCAGACACAACTGAAGCGACTGAGCATGCTTGGAGTCAGTTTTGGTTGTCACACCTGGAGTTGGAGGTACTAACTATTTAGTGAGTAGAGGTCAGGGATGGCGCTAAATGCCCTACAACACAGAGGACAACCCCCCCAAAACAAAATATTATTGGCTTACACTGTTTATGGTGCCAAGATTGAGAAGTCCTGATATACCCTTACATTTAACAGGGTTACTCTGGCTGCTGAGTTGAGGATAGATTGTAGGGCAAAGCCAAAAATGGGGAGATCATTTAGGAAGTCATTGTAGAAATCTAGGCAAGAGATGGTGGTGGCCTGGACCATGGCGGCAGCAGTGGAGGTAGTGAGAAGTTGCCCACATTCTGCGTACCTTTAAAGGTAGAACAAGATTAGCTGGTAATTCCACTGGAGAAGTGTGAAAAAGTTTTGGAGTGATGTTATTTCACCAACAGTGAAAGGGAAAGCTATAGGTTAGAACAAGTTACTTTAGCAAAGTAGGGAGAAGATCTGGAGTTTTAGGTTTTGCACATGTAAGTTTGGTAAGTCTATAAGTGGAAATGTTGAGTAGGCAGTTAGAGAATAGTGGTCTGCAGTTCCAGAAAGATAGGAAAGGACAAATAATAAGGCAGGAAGAAAACTTAAAAGAGTGTGGAGTCTGGAAGTTTGGTTAAGTATACCAGGGAGAATGGATCGATTTTGTTAAGTGTCGCTGATAGGTTCAATAAGATGAAGACTAAGGACTGACCATTGGATTTAGCAATTTGGAAGTCACAGGGACCTTGAGAGAAGTTTTAGCATAATCATAGAGGCAAAGCCTGAGTGGAGTAGATTTAAGAGAGAAAGTGGGGAGGAAAATTAGAGAGATAAATTTTCTCACAATTTTGGAAAGTTTTCCTGTAGAAGGGAATATGTAGGGTGGTAACTGACAATAGAAAAGTCAAGCAGCTTAAAAAATCTGTTGCTGTTTTTAGTGGGAGCAATTACAACATGCTGATATACTAATGAGCATGATCCATCAGAGTAAGAAACTGATGATGTAGGGGAGAGAGAGCTAGAGTAATGTCCTTGAGCAGGCAAAAGGAGAGGACAGTCAGGACTCCAGCTGGGGCACAGGATTTAGACAGGAGCAGAAAAGTCTGTCTTTGATCTAGATGAAAAAGAAGTACGGACTGATGAAATGAGAAGGTAGAGAATGTAACTTCAGATGCTGATAAGAGATGTGGGGTTAGGAGTCTGTAGTTTTCTTGATTGCTCTCTGTGAACCCTTTCCTAGATACCAGAATTTCAGTGTTGTCTCCTATCAATTCTATTGCATTTATTCTCTATCATCTGTTTGGTATCCCTAACACTGTAGTACTTGTTAATTTTCCAACATGTCTTACTCTATAATTTAACTGTAAATTTCTCAAGGGACATGTGTTAACTATTTGATCCTCAAAACAATGCTAAAATAGGTAGCATTATTATTTCCATTTTTTTAGATGGTGAAACTGAGGCATAGAGATGTTAAATAACTTGCAAGGTCACACAGGCAGTAAATGGAGGAGCTAGTAACTGAACTCAGGTAAGCTGGCTTCAATTTCATGTTCTTATTCATTTTGTCGGCACAGAATCCACAAATACCTGCCTCCTAGTGCCTTTTTAAATTTCACAAACACAAGTGAGATCTCATCAGTTAAAAAAGAAATGGCTAAACTGCTTATGAAATTAAAACCACTTTTCTGCTGAAAAAGAACACTTCAAATATAAAGATAAGCTGAGGGAAGGGAGACTGGGGAGTTAATTGTTTTAAAAGGTTGTGAAATGAATACAAGAAACCTGATTTAAAATAGTCTGGAAGCCCTGAAGAAGGGGAACTCTCATGCACTACTGTTTGCTGTCCCTTGCAGATTCTAGCAGGAATCACATTTCCCAACTGGAAGGAAGCTTATTTTATATACCCCAGCTGGAGGAAGGAAAATTTTTTTTCTGTTTAGTATAGCTAATGAGAAGCTACCACAACTAGCCTAATCAGAAGCATCCATAACCCTCAACTCTCTTTCCTCCAATGGACTTTGCTCAAAAACCATCTCTTCCCGACTCCCCTCTTTTAAGAATGGTCCTCTTCTTTGTTTTGGGAACTTGTCTATGGTTTGCTGTAGTCTGCATGTCCTGCACTGCAATTTCTCTGCTATTCCTGAAGAACATCATTTTGCTGTTAACTATATATTTTATTTTTAAGGCTGATAAGGTACAGAGTTCAGTTTTGCAAGAAGAAGAGTTCTGGGGACAGATGGTAGCGAAAC